AAGGAGATGCATGGAAAGCTGACCCAAAAGCCACTGACAGCATTTTGGAGAAATGACGACGTTGTCACATAAAGTCACATGTCACATCACGTGCTATTTTGGTTCTGCATAAATCTATAAATGCATACAGTTTTGGTGTCTCCCAACCATATGCATTGTGAGATAGTCAACTGTAATACCTTTCTTTACTGACTAGTAAATAAGAGTCAGAAACTCTTAACCAACCCTTAATACTCTATCGCACACCTTTTTCGTGTACTTTCTTGTCTGCCGTTGGAAACTCCGGATCCATTGGTCTAAAGGACCAGTTGAAAAGTGTTTGGGCATATATGTAGTTATCCACATCCTGGATTCAGCACACTTTCTCGAAAGATATGTTTCGGCGCAGGAGTAATCCACTTCGAAAAGGAGCAACGTCGAAACGGTAAATATTCAGTTGGAAGCATGGTCGCAACTGGCGATTCTTTAAGTGAGTCCGATTCTAACGACTTATCTTCATACGGAACGTTGAGTCTGGTTTACGAGACTAGTCCGACTCAACGAATCCGGTCAGCGCACAAGGTCTGTCATTCTGTCAATGTCAGTGTTAAGACCTAGCCCAAGGGGTCAACATTCACGGTCGACGTTGCCGTTTCCAGGGTATAACCTTGTGGAAACTACGTTGTTACAACGGGAACTGTCAGGTACGGCTACAGACGGCACCGATGTGCACGTTACGCTACCTTTTAGGTGCTGATGGAACGGGAAGTTTTACTTGCCGATAAAAGAAAACAAAAATCCTATTGAGGGACGGAATATCAGCTCCATTACATATGTGGCGTCGCCGCCTCCCGCATCGGACTGATAATGGTGAGTGCCACTGCAGCCTTTATCCTCGCCAAAAAGTAACGCAGTAGCCCACCGCGAGGGTCGAACTCGCAGCCTTCAGATTCAGATGCAGCCACCTTAGACATCCTAAGAGTCTGACGCTCTATCCGATTGAGCTAGGCGGGCGATGGCGACGAATTCAGAGCATATGATCATGGGAGGAGCGCGAATCAGTTCAGGAACCAGTGCTGAGTGCTGAAACTGCGGAAATTTCCCAAAAGTAGCAGGCCGAAAGTAGCGTGACGGCCGGGTTCACGCAGAGCAGGAGTGCGAGCTGGCGGCCGCCGAGCCGGTGCGAACTATCGGAGCCCGGGCAAACTAAGGGTAGAAAAGGAAGAGACAAAGGGCAAAAAAGAGGAGAGAACAGCGTCAGTAAGCAATGTAGAAAGACGAGGTAAGCGATGGGATCGCAGCAATACGCAGCAGAAAATTGGACGAGAATGGGTAGAGAGAAGGGCAGTGCGAGTGGACGTGAGAGAGATGACTAAGCAAAAGCGCAGCAGTCATATTTGGCAATGACATTTCATAGATTGTTTAGCTTTCGACCCCCCACCACGTCCGCAGCAACGATGGCCTCCGCTTTTACTTTCGACAACTTTGACTATTCCAAGCCCAATACCCAGCAGGGCCTTGATTTCCTATCCTTTGCAGCGCCCTTGGACGTTGTAGCACCTCATCCTGACCTCTTCGAGAGTGAGCTTGACTCGAGTCTCGCTGGAATCGACCAGGCGCAGCTGCAGCTGCTCACCGTCGACTCGAACGACGCCTACTCGTTTTTGCGATCGGACACGCCTACACGGGGCCCCCCTTCTGCAATCACAGAGAGCTCAGCACGGAGCTCAGCCTATGAGAGCTCCTACGACTCTGCATATGAGTACCCTGCCTCCAACTATTCCTTTCCCCTAGACCTAGAGATGGACTTTCAGCGAATCAGAGTCGATGCCCTTAGCGACTATTCTCCTGCCAATGTCGACCCAACCTCCTTCGGCTCCTTGCCGCCAACTCCTCCCCTTTCGCCGCCCTCTGCGGCTGCGAAGCAGTACGTAGCTCGCACCAGCTATTCTGACTACGGTCCGCCGTCCAGGTCGCCTGGCTACTACTACAGTATGGGCCAGACCACCGTGTCGCCGTCGCATGTCTCGACGCAGTTGCCCGTGGTTCCCACCGTTCCGCCCATCCGCGTTGATGACCACAAACAGGACCCACGCAAAAAGTATCAATGTCCTTCGTGTCCAAGAGGCAAGTTTCCCTCTCCTCCCTTCTTCTACCGCTAACTTTTTTCTCTGCAGCTTTTGCTAGGGCCTATAATCTCAAAACTCACATGGCCACTCATGACCCCAACCGTCTCAAGCCACACGTGTGTCCCCATCGTTCGTGTGGCCGCTCCTTCTCCAGGAAGCATGACCTTGGTCGTCACATCATCTCCATCCACCGCGATGAGTCTGTCGCTGGCTCTCACCATTCTAACTCGTCCAAAAATTCCATCGGTGTCGACCAGGGAAATCGTTCTTGGTGTGATGTCTGTGGCAAGGGCGCAGTTGGCCGTAGCGCCCAGTGTGACTGCGCGGAGATCAAATAGAGCCTTAAATAATGATCCCGTCTAAATATCTATGTGGGTCTTCTCCCTTCTGTAATATTTGTCGCCATGTTCTCAATCCTCTCTTCAGCCTTGGCTTGTCCAACCCCCATGTCGTCTGACAACTCGCACGCCGTGCGCTTTTCGACTGAACCAATCTTCGTACCGCCTCATGGCCCAGTGACGGACTTGGTCTCGAATTGATTTTTAATCGTTTATTTCGCATAGTATCTAAATATAATCTTCCGGAAACTGCTCGCCTAGTTTTTTTCCTCCGTGCCACAGACTATGTAATATCAAATGGTCATTATGAATAACACGTTGTCCTTGCTCCGGTGCCTCGCGCGTCCGTTTCAGTGTTGCACGTATCACTTTGTTTCAGTATTCCCTGTGCCAATGGGTGTTGGTAGGTGCATGTCAGACTTCACCTTTCTGCTTGCTTCTCTTCTCTCTTGTCAAGGGCGGAAACATGTCTTGTCTCTTCACATACTCGCTCGCCGCACAGAACATTCCGGATTCGCGGGAAGAACCAACACTAAAATACGACACACGGCCAACAACAGTCCAGACACACGGCGTCCGGCCCCAAGTTCATGTCAGCCCGCCCAAGACACTACACCATATGAATTAGCGACCAGGACCACTCCCCATATCCCATACGCCACGACGGCCAAGATCCACCCGTTGCTATGGTCTTGACCACCCTCCACGCGCATAACGCGCCTCGAGGACGTGAGCCAGATGAGTGGGAATGCCACGAACGGCAGGACGACGCTCAGAATCACCTGGGAGACGACGAGGAGACTGTCGATGCCAGCACGGCCCACGGCAATGGCTACAACGACTGAAGGTACCAGTGCGAGCGCACGGGTAAGCAGACGCCGAAGGAAAGGCGACACACCCCAGTTGATGAACCCTTGCGAGACGATCTGGCCAGCAAGAGTAGCTGTTATCCCCGATGTTTGTCCTGCCGAAATCAGGGCAAGGGCAAATACGAAGGCGGCGCCTAGGTTCAAGAGATTAGGTATGTACCATTATTGCCAAACTGCACGATGACATACCCTTGCCGATCCTCGCTTTTATCAAATCGTGTGCATCAAAGAGACCGGCCATGATGATCTCATCCGGCTCGGACTCAGAGTAAAATACTGTGGCGGCCATTATCAAGATGCTGAGCCACTTCTCTGTCAGCTGAATCGCTTGGAGAATTTGTACTTGAAAGAAACATACGCTGAATTAATCGGGACAGCTAGAAATAGTAAACTTGAGATAACGTCTACCATTTCATGCTTGAGGTGCTGCTGTATGAATGTAGGAGAATGGTTTTCCCTCTTCGCCTCAATGGCATGGATGTTTTTGTCTGCGGTAGACACGGCAAATAGCTCTCTAATTCCCTTACTGACGCGTGAAGAAAGGTTTACCAGAGGGAGCTCAGGTCCAGCAACATGATCTGTACACAGAGCCGGCGAGCGCCGGTCTTGAGTCGCCATGAATGAGCCCAGGAAGAGAGCATGCGGCATGACCGTTGCACCCAGAATTCCTACGGCTGGTATCATGTTAGCTGGGGCAAAAGTAGCAACAACATCATATACCTGAGTAGACGGCATCTGGGTCCGATTTGAAGAGTGCTTTGGATGGTATATACCCCATAAATACTCCCGGCCAATCAGGCTTAACTTTGACAATGAGCACAATGAAACAAGCGAACACCGACACGACCAGGACGATAACAACCATTTCAAACAGTCGGCTATGCTTGTGAGTGGGGTCAGAGATGAGGAGAAAGAGAAAGACGTCAAGAGCTGTGATTACTACTCCAGCCCAAAGCGGGAGGGATGGAAAGATAAGACAAATTCCAATGGCGGATCCTAAGAGCTCTGCAAGGTCGGTAGCGATGATGGCTACCTCAGATAGAACGTATAGGGGGTAGAGAATGAGACGCCGTACAAGAAGGGGATGCTTAGGATGATCGTGCAAGAGGATACGACAGTGGGCTGCTAGGTCAAGGCCTGTTACACATCCCAGTTTACAGGACAGCGTCTAAATACTAGCATCAATTGCTAGGTTCTTTTACGATGAAAGAGGCAGTACTTGTAGGACAATAGCGCCCAGACCGGCCATGAGGACGACGAACAGCATCGGTCTGTAGCCAAAACTGGAGCCTGCCTGGAGATCGACACTCCAATTTCCACTGGGACACGTCAGCAAGAAAGAGGAATAAAAAGAAGTAAACACTCACGGGTCGAAATAAGCTACGGCGCATACAATGCCCATGCCTACGTGAGCTTTGACATGATACAGTACAGTGTGCCAGAAACGAAGAAATTGCAGTAAAGGCATCGAGGAACAGGCAGACAATAGAGGAAGCACAAGGCATGGCAACAAGCACGAGCAGATAATAAGTAAAAAAGCAACCCAATATAGTGGAACAGCACAGAGGAACCTGTCCCACCGGCAGACCGGATCGACGTGAAAAGCAGAAGACGCGCTTCCTAATTTGGACTCCCATGGACATCAACGACCTCCATCCCCCGGACGACTACAGCCATCGTTTCTTCATCTGGCACGAATGGATACAGGTCTGCTCCTGCTCGCCGTACCAGTTCCAAGCTGATTCTCGCGACAGGCTAATGGCCCCCTTACCAGCGAGAATGTCTTTGAATATTTCACCACGTCCATGTTTTACGACAAACAGAGCAACAATCAGGTCCTGCGCATGCAGACGATGCATACTGGCGCGACTACTATGAACGAGGCGGAGGAGCTCAAGTACGTGATAGCATTGGAATCTACACCTCACTAAGCCGTCGTTCTGCAGGCGGTTCACTGGTGTCGAGTTCGCGGTCGTTCATGCCCAGCCGCCATCGTTTTTCATCATACAGAAGCGCGAAAGGCATTCACCTGAAGAAGGTACGCTGCTATGACTTTTTCCTTCATTTCCCAATTGACGCGTCTTAGTGACACCGCTGTCGGCGTATTTTATCATCAACAACCGAATCTATCAGTCGCCTGACCTCTACACTGTATTGTCGAACCGATTGGTCGGTTGTCCCCTCTCCTTTCTGCAATAATTGTTGAGCATCTACAGCTGACCTCTTTAACCTCGTTACAAGCATCTCTGGACATTCTCCGTTCCCACCGTCCGGACTATACACCCCGGACAGGCTTTGTCTGGCCAATCATGGATCCGTCGCTCGACGAGACAGCCAAGAAACCTACTGCGGATGACCTCACAGGTGCTGCGAATACGCCAATGCCTGACGACAACACCAACCCAGCAGATGGGAACGGAAAGCGGCAGCAAAATACTATGCTTCTCTTCAACGCGATGCGGGCAACTGCTCTTCATTCCAGCTCGGCGGTCTCCTCGAGTGCCTTTGCACAAATGGCCAATAGCACTGTGCCTCCAACAGATGTTCAGGTCCATGCTCAGGTGCAGACGCCGGCCGCTGGTACCCAAGTCTCGACAGTTCCTTCTCAGGCATCTACACCTGCTCCACCTCCTCAGGAACCCCCTGGAAGAGGCCCACCTGGTGGAGGAAAGAAAAAGCGGAAACGTATGCTCGTGTCGTGGCTGCCTGACATATAATTGTCTCATTGGATTCTACAGGAACATTGTTGCCTGTTCCCGCGGGAAAAAGCTAGACCGGATCTTTTATCTTTACTGTGTATACATTCCACATAATATACAAGCGATGTTGGTAGCACTTCCGAAATGATGTACTTACGGTCTGACAGTTTATCGTCATCGGACGCCCGTTCCAGTCAGCCTACCAATCCAATCCAGAGGTGTTTTCCCTCGCGAGCCAATGGAGCCTACGCCAAGAGAAAGAGGATTCGCAGACACAAACGAATCCTTACGCGCTTTCGTCATATTTTGCACTGTCGCACTTGGCATGAGAACAGATAAACGATGGCAAATATTTCGCACCAGCACGGTCAATTTCATCAACGTTCGTCTCGAGTACCACACCACCCTGGATGATCTCTGCGAGAATATGGTGCGCCTGCATGGTATTGAAGAAGAACAGAGGCAAGCCAAATAGTACAGAGCATACCTCATCAAAGTGGAACACAAGGTCCAGCTCGCACACGTTCTCAAATGTTCGGTCAAGGGATTCCACGAATACCTGCCACGGTATTAAATATAACCACTCAAAATGATTCTGCAGACGCACCTGTATCAAATCCAATATTCCCAGCTCACTCTCTGCGCCGTCGACGACGAACACAAAGTATAGTGTCGCGTAATTCCGGTACACCACCCGCCAGCGCTCGTCCTGGCCGTCTTTTGGACCCAGAAATGCCTCGAGCTCGGGAGCATCGAGAAAGTTGCATAGGCCAGGCGGCCGGGAACATATGAGCTGGAATATCTTTTGGATGACGGTCTTCGAGGACTGGTGAAGGGGTGTGTAGAACTTGGACAGCCTAGGTACACCGGACGTGTTGACTGCATCCAGAATGCGTCACTGAGAGGTCCAGAAAAAAAAAATAAACTGGAGCGACATACATATCAGGACGGCATGGATCATCGTTAACTTTTAAGATAAAAGTCGATCAATATGTACACGTGCCATTACTACGAGTCATCCATCTCTCGGGAGAGTCCACCCAGCCTGCAACCGTCCAGCAAGGTTGCTGACAGGTCCAGACAGCCCCCCCTGGCTCTTGAAACTTTCTAAAAAGTTTTTAATGAGATTGTAGTCCATCGCCTCTTCTTCGTCCTCTTCCTCCCTGCCCTCTAGAACCTCCTTCAGCTCTGCCTCCATGGCCGCTTCAATATCTCCATCTTCTTTCTCAACAGTGGCCTTTGCCTTCCCTTTGTCTCTATACGACGGAATCGTAGTGTTACCGCTCCATGTCACTCTGCGTGATCGAGCAAGCTCAGCGTCCATCGCTTTCATGACAGCTTCGAAGGAGTCAAGATTCGGATTAACGTTCGGGCGTGCCCCGAGCTCGGGAGTTCGTCCCTGAGCGTTCGATTTCGGTGACAGGAACGGAGCAGTCGAAATGTTTTTCGGCACAAAGGCTGCAGTCTTATGAGCCACAAAACGTTCAAATGAGATACAATCATACCTCCCCGATCTTTGCGATCTTTGACAATATCGCTCCATTGCTCGTCATTGATTCCGAGAGCCTGTCGGGAAAACTCCAAAAATTCCTCCTCTTCCTCTCCCATGTCAACTTCGACGTCTCCAACGACTTGAGGACGGTCTTCCTCATCGTCAGAATCTATTTCAGCGCCTTCCTCGTCGCTTTCGTCGTCAGAATCAACACCGTCATACTTATCGCGGGGTAAAATAGGTGGCCTCAGGGCCTTTCCAGGATGTTCTGTGTTGGATGTGGCTTCATTATCGTCTGTCTTGTTCTTGGTGTCATTTTCTCCATCCATAGGCCCGACCTTTTGAGAGTTGCTATGGAAGGACGCAGGCATCTGGCCATACTCAGAGGGATCTAGGCCGGGAACAAGCTTGTCCATGTCTGCTTGCCTCTTGGCTGGATCTTCCTCGTCTTGGTCACCTGAGTTTGTAGACATAGATCCATCACTGAATTCCTCATCGAAGAAGTCCTCGCTGCACATTTAGCTCAGCCAAGAGAAAAAAGAAGTAAGGCTGTGACGAACTCTTCAAACTTGGCTCCCTCCATATCCCCTTCTCCTTCAACGAATTCTTCGACTTTGGAAGCCAAATCTTTGAGCCTTGAAGCCTGATCAGAAGCCATCTTGTCCTCAGAAGTCTCATCTGGCTTATCAACATCCATGGCATCGGATATTTCACTGTTTGATGCCTTCTGCAGCAAGTCATGGAAGTCTTGTGCATCAATGGTGAGCCACTCGTCGTTGTCCTCCTCTGCTGTGACATAGCTCACCGGATCGCGAGCTTGTGAGATTGCATTTGTCACAAGAGAGGCAAACGATTGTCGTGTATGATCGCTATGCACGATATAAGGGTGTCATTCCCCAGGATTATAAGGATAGTAAACGCACTCCGGTTTACGCACATCCACGAATATTTCCACAGCTTTCTCCTCAAGACTATTCCAGAGCTGGGACCCATCAAGTTCACCTCTGAAATATCCGGCAGACACCAAGTTTTTTATATATTTGATGTACTCAAGGTCACGGCGCAAAGCATCTTTTTTGGCAGTAATCTATAACTGAGGTCAGGAAATTGTACATACATATGCACAAACTCACAGATGATGATAAGCCCTCAGCAGTGCCGTTGGTCGCTGTCCATCGTCCTTTACTTTCCTGAAATAATATCTCAAAGCCAACAGCCTAAATACAGTCAACTCACAGCCCTGCTGGAGTCGAAGACACCCACAATTTTCATTCCTGTGTCCTTCCATCGCCATTCTTTAGATCCTTCATCTTCTGACCATCGGCCAAAGCTTTTGGGAGGAAAGAATTTCTGGCCAGTCAACTGCGCATAGGCCGTTCTTGTCATTTTAACGGTAGAGAACACCGAGGTACTGGGGGAAAACCGCGACATTTTGTGAGCTGCCTATATTAAAAAATTGGGGACTGAATAACTAACAGTTCAGAGATAACTTACCCGTAGTTGAATTCCATCTCGAGTGTAAAATGCCTCTACAGCTTTCTGGACTAGATGCGGGTTTACAGCCAACGCTTTCGCGATGTCAGCCGGAAGATAAGCTTTAGTGACATGAACATGTCTTCGAATAGCTTCTGGATACCTGAGGAAAAATCAGTATACTAACATTACCAGAATAGTATACATACTGCGGGATTCTATCCCAGACGATATTTTCAACCGCAGTAGAGGCCCTCGTATCGACAAATGGGTCTCTGACAAGTTTCAACGCGTCTTCGACGACAATAAAATCGTCTTCGTCTCCATCTTGAGTGGCACAATCATCCTCATCATTATCTTTGGAAACTGACATCTTTCGACGCCGGCGCTGTCTAGATGGTGGGGATACGTGTGAGAGTGGTATAAGATGTAGGTGGAAACTGTAGATCCAGACCTGAGAAACAATTAAGATAAAAGAAGAAGAATGTTAGGCGACGAGCGCACCCTGTTTTCGGCATTTGATGGTGTAACCCAGGACGGCAAAGCATCTGCTGCCTCAATCAATAAAAATTCTCCATCTATATCCCAGACGCTTGAAACGAGTCTCAGCGAGTGCTCCCGCACTATGGAATTACCGCATACCTAATAGCAACGTCCCATTTGTTTGATATTTCCTTTAGTAACCAGACGGTACACCATTCGTCATCAACAGAGTCTCCCACCCTCATTCTTCCTTCCAGTATCCATTCTCCTTCTAGATCGGGATTCGGAGTCACTTTCAACTCGAAGGCGTCGCGATGCCAGATAAAACCGGGCAACAGAGAGTCGACATAGGTATGCATGCATGCAGCGAAAGTAGTCACCGAAGGCTTGTCCGAAAGAGATGGAGGCAAGTAAAGCGCATATTTCAGGGTATCCTCTGATATTGCTGGTGGTCGGTTGAAGATATCCATGGACGACATGGTAAGTAGAAAGTGAAGCAGACTTGTGGCACACACAAACAAACAAGACTAGCCCCTTTCTTGACATACGGTCAACCGTCAGCGACCACAATATGGCAACGACAACGTCCACCAAAGACCGGAATCTGCTCGCAGTCATTGGGGACGAGGTATAACGTTAGCTCTTCTCATTTCCGAGCCTCCTTGACCGTGTCTGTAGGACTCCATCACTGGTTTACTTCTCGCTGGCATTGGGCATATAAACGACAAACAGAAGAAGAACTTTCTAATCGTAGATTCCAGTCAGCGGCTCTCGTATCGTTCTCGTGCTTATCTTTAAGGGATCCTGCAGAAACACAGGTGTCGACTATCGAGGCGGCCTTTCAGGAATTCACGGAACGGAAAGACATTGCCATTCTGCTAATAAACCAACATGTACGAGTCCAGACCTCTATTCTGACTCATTGCTCATGTATTTCAGATTGCCGAGAAAATACGGCCAACAGTTGACAAGTACCAGCAGGCGTTCCCGGCACTGCTGGAAATACCCTCAAAAGATCATCCTTACGGTGAGCATCCTACTTGTCATGCTCGGAAATTCCCACTGAATCAATTATCAGACCCTTCCAAGGACTCGGTCCTTAAACGTGTTCAGAAACTCTTTGGAGAGTGATAGTCGTGATATCCGTATACATGGACTTGGATGCTCCCAGTTGTATTATAATGATACAATTCTTCAACAACCCCAACCGCTTGCCCAATTTCCGGACCAAAATCGAGAAGCATTACGCATACCACCGTCTGACAGGTTCGCTCTCTCTCACTCCGCCAGTTCTCTCAACAAACACTCGTATTGATTGAGGTTCTCGAGAGTCTACAGTGAGCCGTCAATTGTTAATTTAAGGTATTAGCAAAGGCAAACATACTTGGTATATCAACCAGAAGATATCGGAACACGAAATAACCGTCGTTATTCTGAAACCCGGAGTCAGAGTTGAAATACTGAACCGTAAATATGACTGACCATGACAAGTTCGGCATGAACCTCTCCATCAGTGAATACCCTACCATCAGCTGGCGGCTCTGTATTCCCTCGCGACCGCCGCAAGGAGGAAAACATGCCCGCTAACTGCCACATAGTGCTCTCCTCCTTCCCCTTGGATCTGGTGTCGGCAGATACAAAGGCTGGCTGTGAAGAGGAGGGTGCTGGTGCCCCAGTCAGGTACCTGAACACCCGCTTAAATTGCTCAAAAAGATATTTCTTTCGATCCTTCATCCACTCGGTTGCACCGTCAATTGTCAAATCTGATATACTTGATGAGGTATCGCGTATCCAGCTGATCATAGCCTCGTAATTTGACTTTGACTTGGCCTCTCCTGGGGGGCGTCCCTGCACGAAGAAATTCAAAAACATATGCTCCCGACCGGTGGCATCAAGCATGATCTCAGAGGTGACATGGTGATTCCTATGGCGGGGCCTCCCTAAGGAGGGGGGGTTATTATGGAAAGTCAGTGGCCCATGGAGGTATTTTGCGACCTAGTGCAGCAATGAGAACAAAATGATTCAGAAAGGTATTCGTCCAACCTGAGGAGAGGCCTTCAGACGCTCACAAGCATCATTGTGGAGCACCGTGGGTGAATTTTTTGAGAAGAGTTCAGAAGTTAGACAGTACCCAAGGACAGCAGACAATCCAGCGCCAAAAAGAATAACGGTCAAGTTAGTGGTTCGGGCTGTTGTTCTTTTCACTGTTATTGAAATAAGGAAAGATGAAAATTTCACTTTTGACGGAACGCACCTTTGCCTGTGGCACTCAACTCTGACCATTTTTTGACATTCTCTTCGGGTCCAAATGCGGACTGCGAGACTCCAAGCTGGAATGGACCAGCAGACTCTGCAGGCCGTACGCGTTGCCTCTTCGTGTCGAGCGACTGAGATAGGTCAGGAGTATCGCGATGGGTCGCGTAGAACCTATCATTACGACTTAAGAACAGACAAGATTTGGCAGTAAACGACGGGGACGCGATTACGACTCGACAAGAATGTAAACGAGCAAGCCAGCCACAGTAGGATATGTTCATGGTGGTTGCTGCGACGACGAGAGGAAGACAGAAGGACGAGAAATGGTGTCAGTAAACAACAGTAAACATACGGCTCGAGTTACCACCACGAAATATTCGCGCCTCCAGCACACGCAAAAGCAACATGCAACAATTCAATTGGCGAAACAATGGATGAAGTACACTAATCCCACAGACAGATGATAAATCAAATGAAACACAAATCGACAAGGATGGATGCTCCATCATCCCACGAAAATTCTCCCGCCTAGCTGCGCTCGCCGCGGAGACGACGTGCCAACGCCAGGTCCTTGGGTTGAATGGTCACACGCTTTGCGTGAATGGCGGCAAGGTTAGTGTCCTCAAACAGAGAAACGAGATATGCCTCAGCAGCTTCTTGGAGAGCCATGACGGCTGACGACTGAAAACGGAGATCGGTCTAGTAGCATGCTGTGATTCATTTGAAACGGGGCCGTGGATATTTGACTCGCTCACCTTGAAATCTTGGGCAATTTCACGGACGAGACGTTGAAAAGGGAGTTTGCGAATCAAAAGCTCGGTGGACTTCTGGTAACGTCTAATCTCACGAAGAGCGACGGTTCCAGGTCTGAAACGATGGGGCTTCTTGACGCCACCAGCGACGTTCTGCAGGGACTCAAGTTAGTATTGAGCAAACGTCGATGTGAGGGCTTCGGACATACGGAGGAGGTCTTGCGGGCAGACTTGGCAGCGAGTTGCTTCCGAGGGGCTTTGCCTGTACGATATCGTCAGTGACGAGTCTACCGAGCTACTGACGACGACGACGACGACGACGACGACGACGAGGGAACTTACCACCAGTAGACTTGCGAGCGGTTTGCTTTGTCCGGGCCATTGGAAGATAGTTAACCGAGAAACTTGGACGGTTGTGACTGATGGTGGTTTTAATGGAACAGAGGAGTATTGCCAAAGACGCGACCTTTTCAGGACTCAGTTTGTTTACTGCTAATTTCGCGTTGTTTGTAACATCACGTGAGTGACGCGTCGTTTCCTTTTCCGATCACTCGTTATCCATGACCCGCGATGGGAATGCAAATACAGCTCCTCTATCATCCGCACTATCACCTGATGATTCACGGCCGTAATACTTGTCGGATTCCCTTTACGTCCCTTCAAATTGTATTCTTTTCAGGTGCCTACCGCGTGCTGAAGGGCTCATTTACTGCTTCGGTTGGTGGGATTTTTAGGATTGTGGGCATCCATGCGTGCTACATCGCAAAAGGTTGCTCTCACCTCACTTTACGAATTCTCCTGATTTGTCACCTATACCACCACGGACCCTCCTCCCCCATACGTTACCCATGCTTCCTGCAACTTATAAACAGACCTCAGTCCTTCGTCTCGCTCACAGAGCACCATGTTACAATTCCTAGTTCTTACGGCTTTTTTCCTCCTTGCTGGTGGTGAACGGATCGTTAGATTTATCTCCACTGATGGCAACACCTACTTCGGCGACGCCATCTTGCCCGCAAACACTACCGATGCGTTTTTCAGTACCAGGGCCAGGGTTATTCAAGGTGACATTCTTGGTAACTTTACCGTCACACGAGAAATCAAAGTAAGTCTCTTAAGCATCGAAGAAATTTTGCTGAATGATATACTCAGGATATTACAAAGCTACTGGCACCACTTCCTAGCGAGAGGGTCAGAACCGTCCGAATGGTCGGCTTGAATTACGTTTCCCATATCGATGAGGTGAAGCCGACGGCCTTATTGTTCGCAGTCAAGGAATCTTATGCCCGTATAACTTAGAGTAATATGACGATTCCTCAATGGCCTATCCTGTTCTACAAACCATGGACAGCGCTAAACACTCCGAGCGATCCCATTCCTGTCAGCGCCGGCTACCAGACACAGGGAAACTTCACGTCTAGCATGGACTGGGAGGGAGAACTTGTTGTCGTCATCAAGAAGGCAGCGTACAATATCACCGACGACGAAGCTCTGGATCACGTCCTTGGTTACACCGTTGGACATGATGTTTCTCATCGTGGCTGGCAGATTGATCGAGGCGGAGAGCCTCAGCCTCAGTATTCGATGGGCAAAGGTGCCGACGGGTGGGCGCCCTGGGGACCTGCTATTGTGACAACAGATATTATTCCTGATCCCCAGGTTCTCAACCTTCATACGAAGGTTAACGGTGTCACCAAGCAAAACGCTAGCACGGCAGATATGATATTTGGTGTAAAGCACCTTGTCTCGTTTTTCTCAATGGGCACGACTCTTCTTCCAGGGGATGTCATCTTCACCGGGACGTGAGTATTCAATACCTTGCCATGGAGATAACAGTACGATTTATGAAAATATAGCCCCAACGGAACAAATCTGGGAAAGGCGGTTCCGGATTATTTGGTCAATGGAGATACCGTCGAGGTGGGCTTGGAGAATGTAGGAACCTGCACTAACATGATTCAATACGTCAACACGTCCTCTGATTCTGTCAATAGTTTCTTCCGACTGTAGTTTATCTGTCTTTCTAAATCGTCATCAGATTCTAAGCCAGCAGCAGGCGTGAGAAGTCTCATGATGTCATACAAGGCTCCCTGTCCATGTTCCAACCTTATCCTGCTACCATCACCATTCAATAGCTACATCGCGGCCAGCTGTATGCCATGAATTTTCGCTTTACACCAAATCTTGGTCAGAGTGTGCATATACCCATTTCTCACCTGCACACGACCACTGCGGAGTTGTGCTTTTCCGCAACCGTCGATGACAGTGACTACGAACAACTCCAACGAGACAAAGGAAAAGTGCAACTCTGGTCGGACCTTCCGGTAAATGGTAGGAATGCGGGAGATTGGGGTGAAACCGCCTTCCAGGAATGTATTGCGATCCAAGACGACGAGCTGTCGTTGGGCTTCGACGAGGACAACAGCGATAAGCACGTTCTGTCCCTCGTCGTGCCCATACCTTATGCTGCACACATACATCGTCAATTCTCCTTCACGTATAGAATTGTATATCCTTCGGGCGATGTCAAGTGGTTGGGCTCGTTTGGTGACAATGGTTCATTTGTTCTTGAGGAAACAAAGTCGGACGAGCGCGTCGACCTGTTAGGCGAATACTGGAGTCGTAATGATGAAGGTGTACATGTCTGGAACACTGGGAGCAGCATTATGGAAAGCGTTCTGATCGCCAAAGCTTTCCATCCCAATCATTGGAATGTCTGGGCAGTAGGAGCAGATTCGTGGGTATCTTTTCTCTTTCAGGCGTATGTGTCTCTTATGCTTTGTGTCAGACTTCTTTCCGAGCCCCAGAATGCCTGTCTACTATTTCTCGTACCAGTCATCCATGGGTCGCCCATCCTTCTTCCTCAGACACTTGTTCTGAGTGCTTGTCAAGATACTAGTATCGCATTTACTCCTACCGGCAATATCACAGCTTCTGGAAGTAACTCTGTTCATCTCGTATGCTTTGACAGATACGCGTCAAACGTGGCGGATTTCATAGAACGGGCCTTCGCACATTGCTCTCTGACAAAATGTCAATTTTTGAGCACCTCGGACCAGCATGCAGTCATTGCCTCTCCTCTTGATCAATGTCCCGTCATCGCTGATATTGTACCACTCTGTACATCGATCCTAAAATCCCACATATCCATAGAATGGTCTAAATTTACATCTTTGACCGCCGAATTTCCGCTGTCCCTTTTCTTACCTGGCACCTCCAGAGTGCTCTTCTACGATTCTGCTGATCAGCGTCCCGAGAGCGTCCGCTTTTTGGTGCCTCCTTCAGGCGGACAATTCATGATGACACCAGTCTACACTCTCGAAACCAAAAATTCACAGGAGCGTCAATTTGCACTCCTACAATCCCACGTATTGGTTCCCTCTTCTTCGTTCCGCGATCGGCAAATCCTTCCTACTCCTCCACCATCTCCTCATCTACACCCTGTCGCTCATCTCTCTCTAATAGAATCTCAGTTCAATGCTTCCAGTAATTCGATCTCTGAGATGGGTATCAGCAGCAGTGGGCGAGGCAGTCCTGACATCTCCGAGTCAGAAGTGACTGATGGTGACCCTTTGGTCCGCAAAGGGCGGGGCGTCATAGTATGGATAAAACATGTCCTAGCGGCGATCAGTTTGTTCTTTTCGTTGCTGGTCCGCAAATTATTTGGCTGCAGTTCCCTGAGGACGCAGACAACAAGCAGTGTCACCGAGGTGGAAGAGCAAAGCCGATCCATTGATGAAAGGACGCCACTGTTGAGCGACCATGATTGCGGTCAAGAACCAAGTAGTGTGGAAATCTCTCTAGCGGTTGAAACTACTATTACAGCCCACCGTACCCCACCTTCACCTCTTGCCTCGATATTTGTCGATTTTCTAGGCAGCAGAACGATCTCTTGCATTTTGCGAGATCCTGTTGCCACTACGGTAGGCTTGTCCTTGTACAAGGATGTTTCAATCCGGTTAGGGGGGAAAACCCTCGAGCCCCAGAACGTCCGAACGCTTCATGGTGGAACCATATTGTTTGACCTTGAAACAGGGACTACAAAAGGGCTTGCGACTTTCACGACCGCTTAATACCTATGTATAGTATCGTTCGTTGACACGTTTGTCTGTACTGGTTACACGGATTGTATCAGGTTCCTCTTTTGTACATCAAAATGACATGTTTTCATCGTCAAACCCGTCCTCGCTATCAGCATTCCTTCTACCACCTCTTCGGTCGGCAGAACTGCTAGAGAAAGTCTGGGAAACAATGTCATCCAGCATCTCCGGAGAGAGATCGTATTCGGAGCTGCGAACTACGATAGCATATACAGCTAATGCCACGTCATGACAAGCCAATAAATAATAGCACGTAGTTTTCACTAACCGTCTTCGATTTTTTGAAGTGATTGGGCGGTCACAGACTGCTTCTTCGACAAAAATCTCACATACGGCGTGAAGGCTTCAAAATCTATGGCGATACGTTGAGAAATGGCTGAGAGACAGGCTGTCTGCCATTGACTGACCAGCCTTGCAGTTCCTGACAAAGCCCAGCGTATCCATAGCTTGCAATCGTCCGCCTCGTTTAGTCAAGCCGGAGATGGAATAGCGCATGAGTTCGCCTGTGAGGTCAGACAGGCCAAGCATATAATCCGATATCGTCAAGGGGAAATACTGAAATAAAGTCAGAGAGACAGTGACAACTGCACAAGTCGCACTACATACGCACAGGTGCTCCCTTGGAATCACAGAGAGTCTGCTGCACCTCATCAAGGCTGATCAAAGTCCCATGCTCTAGAAAATGCGAGAAGCTGAGCGCCTCAATGTATTCCTGCAAACCGGGCGAGACCTGATGCTGGTACCGCCAGAACCTATCACCGACGAGCTCCTCCTTCATATTGGCGTATATTTGCTGGACCTGGCGGAGATTTTCATTGCCCGCTTTCGCTGCACGTAGAGCGGGAGTCAGGCCATCCAATGCAGGAACGTTTTCGAGGACGATGCGATGAAGGAGAAAAATAGCCTTTTTTGAAATATTGGTGACATCGCGGCTAGCCTGAGTAGATTACAGTAAACATTTGAATTTAGTGCGACAGAGGCAAAGGAGACAATCCACCTTGATGAGACGCTCTCGCCGGTCGTTGTGCTCGTCGAGGTCCTGCCTGAAGGCGTCAAAGATGGCGGCGGTGCTGGTCATAACGGTGTCGGCGACCTACCGGTTGTTCATTATTTGGTCACCATTTTCCATCCTCTGACCGTCATGGCCTTCGCCTCCAAGACTGGCTGCCCACTGTGCGGCATAGTGAGCTCTGCAGTGCATGACCCTTTCATATCGCCGCGCTCTTCAGGCTCCGTTCGCGAAGCGAATCAGCCGGAGATCTTGTGGAGGGACGACAACTTTACTGTCTATCGTGAAAAGGCGAATCCAGTGTCGAGCACGGGACATGTAATAATCGCCTTCAAGTACGTTGGAGTCGGAGTTATTCATGCTGGCTACAGGCAGCTCACGATGACTACAGCCTCCACGTTCCCTCAATATATACCCTTGTATGTCGTGGCCCTACCCACTTGAGACGTCGTACTCATGTCTCCCAGTCATCCTCAGATTTGCCTCTTCTAGTGAACCTCAGATGCCTGGCCACCCGATTTCTCAATTCAATGATACCCATGTCGTCACCAGCAACGTCGCCGACGGGCGCAACTCCCCTCTACATCACTTCGAACAACTTTCGCATCGGGTTCATTACGCCTCCATTCAGAGATGCCAAGATCCCAGTGACAGACCATCTTCACGCCCATGCATACATTATGCCCTCTGATCTTATGGGATGGTGGCGCGGTATAGCATACGGTCCACTTGCTTGGTACGCTATCGATGACCTCATCGCGGAAATACGGTATGTGTCCCACAAATTATCCCTCTTGGTTCTCATCATCCTCTAGAGAGTCCACCTCGAACAACCGCGTCAAGTCGGGCTATGACAATCGCAGAGTTGCTCCCATTGATTTCGTACCTTCAGCGGGATCTAGAACAGGTACCGCCAACGGCATCGAAACTACATTTGAGAGTTTAGGTCGCCCAGACGCTGAGTTGGAGGGCGGCGAGGCATCTCCTCTGAGCCTCTCCCCCTCTCGCCATAATGTGCCTTCGCCCCTTCGCGTCAGCTAGATCTTTTATTGGTATTGTGCACTTTCCTTGATACTATTGTTGTTCACTTAGTTTGGGACTTGGAAATTACATTCCTTGTACTCGATGATACCTACATGGACAAAAGCTTTGTAACGTTCTAATGCATGAAATTACACTAAATCATATATGAGCACATGCGGCGTTAGATCCACAGCACGTCATGCGTCTGTTGAAAGAAAGTTAGCTAGGCTTAGAAGATGCACGAAGACTTCACCAACAGTAAGATGATCCGGTCAGTAACGTCGACAGGGCCGATAATTGATCCTCGTCAAATCGTTTTGAGTCTTCGTGCCAGGTATCTAGATGTGTCCGCTTGAAATTACTTGCACATTTGCGGACAGTAGTAGAGATGGGTATCTACATACAGTCAGAGCAGAATCACCGAGTGGTCGAAAAGACACCCACAGGATCATATGTGTGTTCCGCCAGAATAGTCGTCAATAAATCAGGCATCCATTTTTCGACGGTATAAGGGTAACTCTCCACCAAAGCACATATCCCAAGTATGGCAGCGTGTCGCCGACGTATCGCTGAATTGTATTCAGGGTTTTGTCTAATTGGAATCCGACTATTCCTGGCTAGCTTAACGAAGCGATCCTGTCGAGTGAAATGTTAGGGTTTCTCGGTGCAAAGTAAAACGATTAGCGTGCCTTCAGGATAAGTACACTCCTTCTGGGCGACAACCGGAGGATACCAGACAGCGTGCTAAGATCGTGAAACACTTCAACTGAATTCATCGCAATGGAACACGCTATACATACGTGGCAGCCATCTCACGCACTTCTACTACTTCATCATCCAAGCATTGACAGAGTACCTGACGTCAAATTAATGGTTTCTCGAGCTCTAGTTAAGAAGACCCCACCTCAAGAATTTCGACTACCTTGGCTTCAGTGATCAGAGGGACCTGGCGGAAATAGAATACTGAAAATGAATGTGTTTCACCTCCCCGTGTCATACGCATGAACCACACACCTTGGACAAGAGGCAGAGCTTTTAGTCGAACCTTCCAAGACTAGAAACAATCAATGTCTGCTACAAGACGGCAGAGGCATGCTGACCGGTGATGCCTGGATAGCTTCAAATATAGCATCCAATATAGGATTTATCAGTGCTCTTGGTGGTGTCACACCGCACATCCTCACAAGGAGAACGTGTGCCCGGTTTGCAAGCTCATCGTTGTCATTCACTAGCAACGGAATAAGTATCGACAGAGAACCATTCCGGCCACACATCCGTACCTTCGGTGAAACAGAAGAGCTCGTGCTAGGAGATGAAATTAAGTGTGATGGCCTGTACTTACGGTGAAACATACCATGAGTGGTAGGATGTAATCGAAGACGGAGATCGCATGCGTGTCGTGAACCGACTCGAACAGCCACTTGCATACCATAACGCCTACTCGATCGTATTTGGACTGGAAAGCACGGACGCCCGGAATTCGCTCCTCTCGCCAAACCTTGAAGCTGTCCACAAGCTCCAGGATCCGTCCTTTATGATACGTGCCTCGCATACCCATAATGTCATAGTCTACTGGTAGCATTCGGCATTCTTTGACAAATACTTCGGTGGTGGGTATCGTGGCTCGAGGGGTACACTACGTGCAAAATTAGTCCTGGGATGAAGAATCACCAGCTATGCTTACCTTGATCTTATCTGCGAAACAAAGGATTTCAGCGATATACGTGCGTACGTCATCATGTTCGCTGTAAATTTCCTTCCAACATCGCTGAAGAACCTCATCCATCCAGGCCGAGAACTTCCAACCAAGTTCTTCATAGCATGTCCTGAACAAGGATAGGATTTTGACAACGTCGAAGGACAGTTCAGCGTTGTAGTCCATCGTTTTGAATGACTCTAAGAGGTAGTCGAAGATGGGCTGCACCCGTCGAGGATCCTTTTTATAAAACGTATACTAAGAACACATTAGTACATGCACTATGACTTATCGGATAATATATACCTCCAAGAACGAAGTCCAGACCAGGAGGGTATCGGACTTCAAGTTCATATTGAAGATTTGCTTGATTAGTGGCTTGAACCACGCCCATAAGACCTTCTGCTTGTTCAGCGGCCAATGTTTCGAACCTACGATTAGTTGCTACAACAAATCAGAAAAGAGCAAGGCGACTACGTGCCCCCAAGTACCCCAGCAACTAACTCCGCAGCGGCTCTCTGCTTGTCAGGTTCCTTATCATTAATCAGTTCTTCCAATGTAGGTTTCAAGGCGGGAAACGGGGCATCCTCAAGTACTTGGACTAGAGCGTCGTTCAGTGAGAGCACCAGACAAGGTACGCTCCGCACGCACATATTGACTTGACGCAAGAGACATTATCTTGAGTTAACGAAACTTCATGACTTTCCTCTGAGAAGTACGTCGAAAGGTTCTTCCAGTACGACGAATCTGTAGTCACTGCTCTCAATGCTATGATGGCCTCTTGACTAGAAGGATCCCACGGCAGAAACGTCGACTTGGCAGCATGTGGTGGCCTGTAGAGACCGATACTCGTACCCCAAGCCACCCAGCCTTGAGAGAATGTCTCCAGAAATATCCTAACATAAGAATGAGTGTAAAACTTGAAGTGCTACAATAAATCCTACGGTTGCTTTTGGTCATACTGAAACGGAACTTTGTAAGCGGCTAAAAACTTTGATGTTAAGGCCTGAGATGGATGAACCGCGATCTCATCTTTCAATGGATTTGGGCTTCTAGCCAAGAACAGGTCCACTGGATTAGGACACAAAGTGCGCAATTTGAGGTTCCTCAGGCCCTTCATCACAGAACGTTGAGCGTACTGCTCGATTGTCAGTAATGCTTATGGCGTATGGCTTACTGCACATACATAGCGCTGGGAACAATAGACAGTCAATATACAGCGTTTTGGGAAAGGCAGTGAAACATACGACACTCGGATGACTATGATGAGTTCGCTCTGCGAAGAAACGAATTTGCTCTGAAGTTAAGGGCATGTCACGTCTGAGTAGTGTACGCAAACATCGAATGGCTGCGATTTCGTATCGCCAATGTGTCTTTGGGGAAGTCGCAATTTTCATGACTTCTTTGGTCTAAAGATTCAAATGAGACCACGATAAATATGAAAAACTAGTAGCATACTGTATGTTCAGCAGCTTCATTCATAAGGCGCACTCGCCGTATTCTAGCTTGCCGACAACGGTTGGTGATGTCTGCCTCTTTAGCATCATAGGGAAGCATGTGTTTGATGCGTTTGACGGCTTTGTCCAATGCTGGACAAGAGACATCGTAAACAAGGTAACATGGTTCAACAAAACTTGTAACGCCTGTCAAATGTTGGGATTGGTTATCCTGATAATGTTGCATCTAAGGGACTCACAATTCTCAGAAACTACAGAGACGCAGTCTTGGATAGAAGGCTATACCAAAGCTGGTCAATGGACAGTTAATAAGCATATGGAGAGACTAACTTTTTCATTATGCTGACAGCTTAAAAGCTTGGGCACTAAAGTAGCGGCTAAAGTTGGCTCTGTGTCCAGATATCAGCATTAATCTGTGAACGGCAACATATAGCTGACCTGAAATCGCATATCGCCCAAAGGAAGGGAAGTTCAAAGTCCAGAGAGCTCCCTTCATTCGGTCATCATCAGTGCCAGGCTCTAAGGACTTGTAGAGCGCCGGAAGAGCCCGTCGACGGACACCATCGTAGAGCTATAATTGGCAGTTACAAATGACATCCATTATCATAAAGGCAGCGTACCCCACACATGCTTTCCAGCAAATTCTGGCTTGTCCTAACCAAATTCATTAATGAGTCCTTTCTAAGAATTGGCCAGTGGCTCACTCTCTTATGACCGCATAATGCCAGACAGACCATTCAACGAGGTCGTCGATTAAGCTATCCTCAAGTGGACCTCTAAGACGTTCCAATGAATTCCAACGTAGCCTCGCGGCATGCTGATACCTTTGTTCAAGTTGAGTCGTTAATGATGTATATATAAGAGGATAAGGCTCTGACCTAGCTTTGCGAACGTAAACTGCCCGAGGCCACACTTTTTGTCGTGCATACTGACGTGAGACGTTCTTTTCGGAATTGAACTGATCTTCGTTCAGAAAGAAGCTGCAAAGGGAGAACATGAGACTATCCCTGCCGACCGACGACAATACAAGTCACCTGTCTCTACTATCTCCATATTCAAGCAGGTAGGCCCGGAAACCTTGTATCTATTACGATGTCAACTTTATGACGCGAATATGGGAGCAAGGCGTACAAGTACATGAACGGCATCAACGCTATTCTCTTCTCCTTGCTGACGTAGAGATATGGACGCGTTGTGCAAGAAGACCCCGAATCTGTGTCTGAAACCGCGAATATATCGATGACGAGGATCGCTTGGATCGGTCAAGCAAAATCCGGCATTTTTTGGTTCCACCGACGCCAGCATCTCGGGGATCTCATCACTACGGAAGGTCAACAACGTCAAGGTACGTACGTGGATAACCGACATAATGACCCACAGAATATCACTTGTTTGCCAAGAAGCCCGAATATCGTCATCGGATAGGTGTTCCTTCGCTATAGTGGGCACCCCTGAAAAGGCATTCCGAATAAGAACAAGGTGGCTATTATTGAGTTTAGAATACACGTCATGGCCTTTGTAAAATGTGAACTAACCGACAAAAGTCGTTACGCCATACAGCATCGCGAGGGACATCGGGCTGCAAAAGTTCTTCGAGACGTGACAAAGCAGGCTCAACCAGTTCCCGAAAAATCTGAAGGGCGAAATCGATTTCCTCCGTATTCGGAATATGCCATGACACCTCCAGAAACGTGTGAATGATGACGATGTAGTCCTGACAACGTATAAAACGCACCTCAATCTCCTCGGCTTTGTACAGTTTGCCCCAATGACGATGATGATTCCACCGAAATTCTACCAAAAACTTGTGATCAGAATGCATAACGCAATAGTGTTGGAGGATGTACCGTCACTCTTCCATTCATCTGGATTTATAAATTTGTTCTCCAAGGGATATGTGTGCGTGAGTGTTAAAAGCATGCTTGATAGCATTTTTCCCAGCCAAGAGTAGCCGCGTTTTGAGTACGCCTTGGAATGCAAAAATTGGAGTAAAGACATCAATTCATCCTTGTATTTCAATATCTGTAACGGTTAAAGGTAGGTTTTAGAGGAAACTAACTGTGAACTGACGCTTACCGCCTTGCCGTCACTAGGGATCATTCATGAGTACAAATAAATCATAAAACACTCCGAAACCCACTTGTACACAGTACCCCGCAAAATGGCCAGATCTAGACCGACGAGCTCACGTTAAGTACATCATCGCCGTGAATATTGCCAGACATACTCCAATGCAAAGTAGCGTCTGAGGGAATGGGCATCGAGGCCGATGTCGTTCTAAGCGACGAAGCACCATTCTCCAACTCCGTCCGGATATTCCGAGAGCAAAATGGTAAAAACCTCGCCAGGGTTTTGGCGGGATCTGCATTAGCTATACATTCAACTAACTGATGAATAGCTCGGACGGCATTGGGCCGCACATTCGTGCTCGCGTAGTCAAAGACCATATTGAGTACTAGATCAAACAGTGGCTCAGATAGATGGACGCAGATTTGGCTGCAAGCGCCAGCGACAGCATCCACCACCTGCACTGTACAAGAAGGCCTAAATTACCGAATGACTCAGAGTATGAATAAACTGCAGACCTTCGACAGCCCCTCCAGATGACCCGTTGGGGCCTTCCTCTGGCAGATTCTCAAGCAGCTGTATCACACGACGAATGAAGCTTGTAACCCAGTCCGCAAAACTTCCTGTGGTGTCCTTCAACAGCGTATCTTCATCTTCATTGGAGAGTCTAGGCTCTTCGTCGACAAGATCGGGAGATTCACCATTAGCGAGAGATGGCAAAGTCGAAGCCGTCCGAGTGGGAATAGTGGTTTCGACTTCTGGAGCACTAGACATTTGGTCTTGACCCGTGGTCAGGTCGCCGAACTTGATATATTGAGATATTTCCACCAAAAAAGCTGTGGTGCAAAGCTGTGTAATCATGTGAGATTTGAATAATGCAAACATTGAATCTTAGGGTCTCACCGTCTTCGAAGGATCATTCTATGACACGGTTAAAGTCATTTCTACGTCGTGATAGATATTGTGACACACCAGATCGATACCGGGGATCAGGAGCTGTAGTATAGGTACAAGATACTTGCCTCCCGGATAGTAGACCTCGCGAGAAACGATAGCTGGCGCAACAGCGCCCAAGGCTTTTATGACGGCGATCGTCCTTTGAGTCTGAGAATACGTGTAGACAGGCGATCCTGAATAACAATGAAACATACCTCGACGAGCGCCTCGAGCGAAGGAACTGCACGCTGGAGAACAGGGTGTAATATGAGGTCAGGTTCCATGACACTCATAGACTTCAAACAGCTCTGGATGTTCGAAACGGTGTTATTATCTTGTGAGAACATCGCCAGAAGGGCTACAGTTCTCAAACACTTGACGAGCTCTCGCTTCATGGTTCTTGTCAACCTTCGGTTCTAACCCTTTTAATTGGGGTCAGGTGTTTCACTGCATTGAAGAATTACGGACCAATGGAGTTTTGCAATCGGACCGTTGCTCCTCATGCCACCCTGACCACACTATGAGACCGAGGACCGTTGGAAAAAAGACATGTTCCTTACGCTTGTTGAAATCGTAGACAATATATTTGATGAACGCGCTTAGCTAAACAAAATAAAATCAGCATGAAAAGTACTTCCAAACACATCATATATGCATATGGCAATGCAGTGAAAGCGTTCAGAGTCAGCGGGATACGTACATCGGTAGTCCACGCCCCAGAGTTTGACGGGTGGAAGAAGCTTTCAGTCGACGCGATCAATTTGGCTAGAGAATCCAAAGCTTTTGATCCGGCTAAGTATGTTTGACCTTTAGATGGCGCAGGTTTCCCCAGAGGAACAGACAGAAATTCTTTTAAAGTGCTAGACTGAATTTGCGGTGTATTCATTCCGGATGGTAATGGCGTCATCAGAGGCGTGGAGACCGTGGACACGGGGCTGGGGAAACCATCCGGAGCCATTGAGTAGACAATAATGCGAGCCAGAGACGCTGAGATTAGTATTTAGTCATGTAGATACGATGCCCACGCATGACGCACGTATTCTCCAGTTGGCTTTAGGGAGACGGCCCATCTCGAATCCCATCTGATTGTCTGCAGTTGGAGCAGTGCTTAGAGAGCCAGTGTCGGCCAGAGGTATTTCTGCAGTATCAATGAGCTCTGTACCTGAATAAATCACAGAATTCGTACCCATCGACGCAAGGCATTTACACATCAACAGGCCCCACTCATGTTCAGTGAATATGCCTACATCTTTGTAAAGGCCATGCCAGACAGCGTCTTCCTTTAGGTCTTCTTGTGACCACCTTGGCCGTCGCTCGCCTTCAGACCTCTCGTCATCAGGTATCTCCGTAAGCTTACGTGGGTCACTGATTTCAGGTGCTACGTGCATTTCCGTCAATTTCGAGAGAAAATGCAACATCCGTTCATCGTAGAAGTAGGAGTTTATAGATTCCCACATCCGAAGAAGCATGGGGAGATACGACTGGGGATGGGTTAATGGAAGGAAGGTAAGAAGGTAATATTGCGAAGACAGTACGCTCTGGAAAAGAAACACAAGGGTGAGTACACGGATAAGAGGCACTTGCGACGATAAACGCACATCCAGGTCAGTTCCGTTAAACTGTGGGACAAAAGTAGAGAGCATCTCATCGATAGCGGCAGGATGAAAAAACTTTCGAGAATTCTCAGCCATATAGCCCATACACCACGACAGCTGCCTAATAACGCGTCCTCAGTGCAGTGGCCCAATCAATGAAGCCCAGACATACGTATACTCGAACTGCCTCCGGCTCAAGAAGAGATCTTCCTTTAGTATGTCGTATATTGGCCTCCAGGGTAGGCGCATATCCTCGACAGAGATACATTTCTTGGACTTTGTTAAAAGCTTGAAAGCATCTGAACATGTCGCCACCATTTGAGTAGACATGCCGGGTATCGTGCTAACATAGTAATAAATCTTGGCGAGACGAATTCTCTTCTCCTTGGGAATGGGATACTTGAGCATGGTCCAGCTGAAACACGACAAGGAATTGGTTAGCAGACGCGACGAAGTTGAAACGGTACGGACTAGTAGCTGAGCATACTGTCCCACTGCAGGAGCCCAACATCATAATCCCTCGCCTCGACGCACTGCACGATGCGAAGGATGATGAAGTCAAGGAGTTCCATCATGCTTGAGGTCGACTCGATAGTGTACGGGAGCGATTTTGCGTAGCATTTGAGCTTGTGGAGGTCATGGTCGTTGAGGATGTGGCTGTCAGTAATGTCATGGGAGAACGAAAGCCTGGATGAGGAATTGGTGATGTAGAGAGAAGAGATATCTGGAACTGTCATTGGGAAGACGAGGAAAGAAAATGACTGTACCGACTGGGGTTACGTCCGCTCCTGGGCCAGTGAATTGGTCAGCGAGGTCTCACTGTGCTCTGTTCTGCTCAACGTGACGTCCGTAAAGCAGCCTGGCGGCAATAGATTGACAGAACGGATATACAATCATTTACAACTAACAGCAGAGCAGACACAGAAGTCAAGCAAATAGAAAATCCTACGGAACCGCCATCAACGCCGCGTCTTGCAATTCTTTCAATGCTTTCTCCCGTACCATCTGCCAGACTCCGTTCCTCTGGGCCTTGATCTCCCCTAAGCCTTCCCTGATCTCTTGCAGACGCTCGATATATTCTCTGCCGTCGTCTTGCAGTTCTCGGAGCACGCCGACGGAGCGTTCAAGATTATCTTGCTGCGTTTCCGGCGACGCGAAATGCGAGGGCTCATGTACGGGCGGCTCACTAGAGTACGAGAACAAGAACAGCTTGTGGATAGGTGGCGTCAGGTCGGGCGCACGAGCGATTCTCCTAGCTTTGTCCACATCTTCGGCACTATCGCCATCTTCGTCTTCGCGTTTCGTCACGACAGAGGTACCAGTGGGCTCCGGCTCCGGCTCCTCACTGATGACTTGCCACAGACGACCCAATGCCGCCTTCATGTTCGCCTCGCCTTCAATAAGACTATTTGTGGATTGCTCGAGTTCTTCGAGGAGGCTGGACCTGAATGTATGTGTCACGGCCTTGTCCATGACAAATGACGAGTAACTAAAGTGCTGAGACGTCGGCGGCGGGTAGGGTGAAGTAAGAGGAGGCGACGAAGAACGTAATAGATGAGGAAGGGTGGGAGGCGATGGAGATCGTTTTGTTTGCGGGAGTAGCTGTTTTAGACGCTTCCGAGCGCGCTCTTCCGCCTGTCAAGCAGAAATATGAACATGGAATTTCGTCCAGAACTGTTCCCTAACGTACCTGCCATTCTTCCATACCTGGGCTCCATGCGCTCAGTTTTCCTCGTCGTACCCATCGGGCTCCTTTCATGTCTTTCTTGCCCCAGTTCCCTAGGGCTGTACCTGCAGCCAACTCTTCAGAATCCGAATCGTATCCATAAGCGGGATAGAACCAAGCATTTTGGTCGCTGAGTGGCAGTAGGTCCTGAATTCTGCGGCAAGTAATTGAGTGGTAGGACATATTTCACAAAGACGGCGTACGAATTGTCTTCTGATGGCCCTAAACGAGGACGTTTGTGTCCGTTCATATTGAGAGGTATGTGCTGGCGGCTGGCTGGACGCGGTGGTAGATGATTTGGATGCGATAAGTCCGACATGGCTCTGCTCAACAAGTGTCAAAACGTTCCTTTCCCAAATGCCCCAAATGCCCGCCGGCAATCGGCAACTCATTTATTTGCCGAGCCCAAATACAAAAACGTTGTGGTGTGTAAACTTGTAATAATTAGGCTAAGATTACAATAAAAACCAATACATCACAAAGAACAAACCCTTCCGCTTCATGTAAAATATTCGGCATATGTAGAAGGTGGAAGTTCGCAAGGCCATTCACCACTTCTTATACATCTTTCGAACACGTCTTCGCATGATCTGAAGAGGTCTATAACTGCTCGAGCGGTTTCAAGCTGAGAAATGGGAGCGATCAGGGATCCAAGTCTCTCGCGGCGCTGAGGGGAGGAGCATACCGAATCCTCATATTGGAGGCCAATATTGCGCCCCATGAAAAAGTTTACAAGCAGGGCAAGTTGGACGATTGTTCGAGATTTTAGCTTTTGACGCAAGGGAAGGAATAAGGCAAGGTCTCGTGTAGCAATCGCTGGATGCGTCAGCCCAAGGACCTATCTACCGCGTCAGCCAGAGCGAAGATAAGAGAAAAAGACGGTGTACCGATAAGAAGTCCCATAGACAATGGCCTACGATAATTTTATCTCGAATGATGGAGGAGACGCGTGTTTGAACCTCTTGTAGAGTGGGTGCTGTTTGACTGTCAACCAAGAGAACAAGTAGGACTCCAGACGAACTGACCGCCCATGAAGGTCGATGGACTGAAGCCAGTTTCGTCTGTTCTGTAATTTTCTACTTGATGTCTAAAGGGTCGTCAGAGCCTGTAAAATAGACCATTTAAAGAGCGCCTACGTCGGTCGAACGAGGGTGTCTAAAAGTATTCGGCCCCGGTAGTCCGTAAGGGAAACACGCCTAATGGCATTGATCAGAAGGAGGACACCACATGATTCCACTGTTCACATACGCGACCATGGGTATTTCCTTGAGGGTGTCTTGAATTCTTACCGTTCCCATATACACGTGAATTTGTGAAACTGCGACGTAACTGCGGGCCATCAGCACGAATAAACGAGGGAGCATCCAAGAAGATACCTGTATGCAGGGAAATAGCGTTGCCTAGACGGCTCAAACACATCGATGTAACGAACAGCACTAGTCGCGGCATGCACATTATGCGAAGTGCCTCTCGGAAACGAAGACCTTGAACAAGGCAGAAGCAAGGTGTTAAAACGATTAAAGAGACTGAGAGAGCAAGGAGGTTGATACATTATACCTCGAAATAGAGATAAGGAGCATTACCAGCAAACAAGAAAGAGGGACCATCAACGACAGGTTGTGTCTTTGAGCATTTGGAAACGAGGACATCAAGCAAGATTTCACGCCAGCGATGGGGATTGGAGGGAGAAGTAAAGAACCGTCGTATTGACGGATCTGACGTGACACCAACTGGAAAACGAGCACTTGATCAAAAGACGCGTACCAGGCAATCTGGCTAGGGCATATTCAGGGGATCGATATCTATCTATGCCAGGAACGAAATGAGATAGATTAGGGTTCCGGTTTTCAGTCACGTCGCCTCCGGATATTCGAACGAGCGCTTGACTGTGCCATACAAGAGCAGTATTAGGACCCTTCAAAGCTTGACAGGTACAAGAAGTCAAAAAATAGAAGGAGCACTCGGATTGATGCAGGCAATACAGAATCTCTTCGCTTCATTTCAATTGGTGTCCGAGATACACTCCCCCCCAAACGATCTTGAGCGCTGTCATACATGAGGTCTAACAAAGAACACAAGCCAACCACCACATAATACATTGACGTCTAATGGTAAACACATACATTTATTCATAATCAACTCGTGTACATCCTCCGTCTGTTCTTCAGTGACGTGTACGTTCATCTACATACAAGTAATCAAGGCAGTGAAATGGATATATGTCGCTGGAATCCACTCACCATCTAATTATGTTGAAGCCCCCAGATCTGCTTCTTTCGAGCGTCTGGATGCAGCCCGGTCCGTGTTTTCAATTTGAGCATCTTCTTTCCGGGCAACGTTAATCTGTTCGAAGCTCCGCATACCTTCCAAACCCCAGCGACCCATCATTGCTTTGTCCTGTTTGACTTGTCGTTAAAATAGGCGGCCGTTCACCTTCAGTGTGAACTTACCTCGTCCCAGGGGGAGCCTGCCAACCGTGTGAGCATATTTTTCAAGTCTTCGATCATATCGACTTACAGGGAGTAGTCAGCATTTGTTCGCCCGTAAACACCGCATTTGCGCCGGCCATGAAGCACATCGCCTGCTCTGCTTCAGTGAGTGTATTTCTACCAGCTGAGAGTCTGATGATAGTAGTTGGCAGAACCATCCGTGCTGTAGCAATTGTCCGAACAAGAATCTGATGGGAAACAGGCTATAACATCCATGAGCGCCAAACCTTGGTGCAAAAAAAAACCATCTACTTCATTGTCCTCAAGCGGAGTCCCAGGAATAGGCACCAAGGCATTGACAGGAAAGGATTCGGGGTGTTCAGGCATCCTAAAACACGCCGCTTAATGAAGTCCCAAGACGTAGTAGTGTCATACCTTGAAACCTCCCAGATGAGCCCAACTCTGTCAGCGTCTTTTTCACCAAGGCCTAATATTCCTCCGGAACACACACTAATCCCAGCCTGACGGACAGCCTCTATGGTGTCTAATCGATCATCGTAGGTCCGAGATGTAATGACCTAGAAAGACACTGAGAAAGCAGTCCATTATTTAACAAATGAAGGAAAGTACTTCAGGGTAGAACTCTCGCGAAGTGTCGAGGTTGTGATTGTACGCCGTCAAACCACTGTGACAGTACTCATTTAATTGCCCGTGCAAAGCAGAGATATAGTAGGAAAAGTAGTCCTTACGCCTCTTTTAGTTGACGAGCCTGCTCTGGGGACAACATACCAAGAGTGGTGCAGACTTCCATCCCCATGCCGCGGACCTCTCGGACCATGTCCAGGATTCTTTCAAAGCCACGTTTACGTCCAGAAAGATCGCGCCATGCAGCCCCCATACAGAAACGGGTACTGCCATTTTCTTTTGCTTTGCGAGCGGCCTCTATCACGGGCTCGACATCGAGGAGGCGCGAAGCTTTAATGCTGGTATCATGCCGGGACGATTGGGAGCAGTAGGAACCTTATGATGCGGTTCATATCGGATCCGGACTGACAGCGAACGCACTTACAGTCTTCAGAACATCCTCCAGCTTCATAAACGAGGTTCGTTGGGATAAATTTAGTCAATGAATTGGGGGTGATAGAGCGGACCGCGACGTACTTTTGATGCTCATGAGGGTACAGAGCTGTATTTTGTTGGGATCATGGTGCTGCCTGTGCACAGAAGCAGCACGGAAGACGAGATCGAGAAGAGGGGAATCGTAAATTTGTTGGATCTCTTGTTTCGTCCAGTCGTGTCGCGTCACCCGGTTGGACGGGAAGGAGGCTGGGGAAGCGTGGGTCGCCAGCGTTCGTGTCGACGTGAGCGACCTCCAGGCAGCAGAACGAAACATTACGGTGGTACAGGCAATTCCGGATGCTGGCAGTGAGGAGGCTAGGCAGGTCGTGGTCGGAGGGTAACAAGGGCGACAAGAAATTGGGGAGATCGAAAGCCCAAATCTGATTCCGATCGCATCACTGCACGTGAGGCAGTTAGCCCCTATCTTTTACCGTCTGGGCCCCGACTCCGCGTTCCTCGTATTCATTTTATCAAGCAATCCAACAACGACGCAAGCGGCTGTTATTCAACTTGTTGGACAACAAAACCGTCCTTGGAGCTTCTACTTTCATCTCGACACCTGGAATATTGACTGCTTACTTTATCGCGGATCAGGAGTGGACGTCCGTGTCCTGATTTCATTTCCGAGGTTCACGTCTGGCAGCCAGACAATTACAAAAACATCGGAGTAAGAGTATATTAACGATATAAGTATATATGAGTGGACAACTCGGTAGCATGGAGCATACGACAATTAAGTTATTTATGATACAGGAATCACTTCGGGGGATGTAGATTCAGTCGAATTGTTGTTGTTAAGCTAGCTTTCCTCGTTAAGATAATAATATATATAAATATATATATTGATGTCCTTGTGCTCTAGCCGCTCGCCACGGCTGTCATCTACAGAAAATTTTGCGAAATCCGCCAGTAGAATGCCTGAAAACACTAATTAAATGTGAGCTTTCGACTAAAAAACACAGAATTGCTGTCTAACTGTCATAGCTTCACTGACTCTGGAGTGTCGTGCGCCAGTCTCCTGCATTGGCGTAACATCGGCCGACGGGGACCTTTGTAATAGTAGAAGTTTCTGGTATTCTTCTCCTTTCGTTTACGAAGGTTACTCCATTGTCGGAGCGTGTATTCTGCTAATTGGTGAGAGTATATCTGTTTCTTTTCTTCGAGAGTGGGACGAATCATTGGTGGCGAGAGAGACTTCCCATTATATATATGCCTGCGCGCTCCATCGACTGCATAATGACGTTCAAAGTTGCCACAGCCTCGGCGTTTTTCATCGAACATATGCTATTGCAATAGCAACAGTTTGATTCGCCGTGTTCATTCAAAATAAAGCTTACATCAAGGAACATTCAAAATGTCCTGAAGATCTACAGGTTGATGATTTCAAACAGAAATTTTGCAATAATTCTTAGATAGGGCTGACGCAGCTTGCGGGTCTCACAGTGGAATTGGTCGACATCTCAAAGTTCGGTCATGTCTTGACGCGCAATATATAGGCAGGAATGTTCAAATGTTTTAGAATCACCGTTCTCGCTCACAAGTTACGCCAGGCCAGCCAATGCAGAGTTAGGTAGCATACAACAACGTAGGGGTACAAGGTAGTAAGCCAAGTCGTCGTAATGCAACGTAAAGTATTATAAGTAGTAGACAAGGCATCTACCGATAAGACAGTGAAACCCGAAGAGTTAAAAAGACTTATACAGAATAGGGAATTAAATGCTACACACATTCGCGAGAGCAAAGGCACAGATAATGTTGTATCAATAGTTGTAAGAAAGAAAAGATGTGATAATGTAGTGTTCAACTGAGAACTTGAGAATGTCCAAGGTGTCGTCGAAGGTCGAGAGCGGATATATTTTCGTGAAAGGACGTCGAAAGTGAAGCTATAAAATGAGCGTGAGGATTGCACGTCAAGTAAGGTCGTCAAGCAAGCATCGAAATGTAGAACATTATCGGTGGAATGTCATGGTTTGTTCTTTTAAAAGTGAACGGTGCGCCAGTAGCCGGCGGGGGCTTTGTTGGAGGGCTTCTTCGCTTTGGCTGAGGGTGAGCCACCAAGCATAACACCACCAGTAAGAACAGTGGTCTTCCCCCCATCATACGGAGTCACCTCGGTCTTAGAGGTATCCACAAAGACGCGGGAAGTCCTTGCCTTCTCACGCCTCGACTGCGAGGACGTGGATGTGGATGTGGGTGTAGATGAGCCCGATGATTCCGAGCCAACCGAGTCAGATGACGAAAATGAGTAGCTCGAGCTCGAGTTGGACGAGCGGGAGCTGCAACGCGAATGGCTGGAGATGGAGGACAAAGGAGAAGTAGACCGAGGGATGGGAAAATGAGGAACGACGGGAGTCATCCAGGTGGGCGCGTTCATTTCATCTGCGATCATGTCGAAGAGCCGCTCATCAGTATCGCAGTCCTCTTCAAGGAGCTGCTGCGCGACAGTCTTAGAGTTCTAAAGTTGCAGACACGTAAACATGGGTGATGCGACAGAGAGAGATGCATGAGCTTACCGCGACGCTAATGGACGGTACCATGGAGAAAGGACCTTCAGCAGCCCAAATAGTAACAGTCTCGTTGCCGCTTCCTACACGCATATAGACGCAGCCGGGGTCGACGCAGAAGTCGAACTCACAGCCCCCAAGACGGGCGATCCAATCAAACCATTGAATGCCCGTAGCAAGACATGCGGAGTACACAACGCGAGGGGGAAGGCAGTCTGGGCTGAGGGTAAGGCAACGACGACCTGAGCCGCTAAGGGGCTCAAAAGGGACCCAGGACGGGGCGTAATGGGCGGTGAGGTTGGCTTCGAGGACAAGCTGCAGCTTGATAATAGTTGTCGCTGGGTAGGCAGACATCAAGGGACGCGTAAGGAAGGAAACGGCATGGGCGACGGCGACGGAGACACTGATAGAGGAAGAAAAGGCCATGACGAATTATTTAAGAGGATGTAGCTGCTTGAGTGAATTAGAACTTGAGGGTATGCAAGGGTATCGTCCAGCGATGAGAAATGCGGGTAGATGCACGCGTAAGGATAAAGAAGGACAAAAGATTAAACGTTATAAACGTTGAAGAGAAAGCGTAGCGGAAATCTATCACTGCAGTCAGTCGGCGGCTAGCAAAGGGCTACAAGTGAATGCAACGCACCTAACGGAAGCCTAAGAGCGAAATGAAAAGAGTCCGTCAGGGTATGTGCCATACTGAATACGAAGAAGGGAACTGACCTTGGTCGTACAAGAAAACAAGCGGGGAGCTGGGAAGACAAGAGAGCGCATGGCAGGCCTTTTATATATATTTCATTATTCGTTCGACGCAGCACAATGCACTACGGGAGCAACAAAAGCGATTCCTTTCTTGGCTTCCCGACCACGTGCGAGAACAAAAGGACATCTTCCTATTGTCTTTGTTTTCGTAAAGGCAATCCTTGTACTATTTGCTGGATAGCTTCGTATTCCGTATCATCTCCCGTACCTTGAGCCTTTTGTACTTTGTAGGTCTAGCTTGTGCGTCGCTAGGCCAAGGACAATGCTCGCACTACAGGATCAATCCGGCCGCCCAAGACTGCTTCACAGCTCCCCCGTTCTGTTCCCACTGGCAGGTTATGATACGAGTCTATTGTTTTGTGGCGTTCTGACATCGCAAACCCGAGATAACAGCAAAGGCGCAGTAAATACGCTGTGGACAGAAGCCGCGAAGGAACAGGCAATACCCGTTATGCCGAAATCGATTTTCAAACCCCGCAGAACCATGTTCGTAGGTGGATCCTATTATGCAGAAGGGAATTCGCATGAGTATAGCAAAGGATATCAGACAGCACACTGTAAGCCAAAGGGAGAAGTTTCGGAGCCCAAGTAAATGTGCAGCGGAGAGAAAATTGGAAGCACGTGATGCAGTTCCAGGGATAAGGTTCAATCTCCGATTCAAATGACAGACCCTAGGCTTTAGAGTGTGAATCGGTCGTCGTCATCGTCGCCGCCGTGCACTCTCTCTCAAAAAAAAGCGAGTCCTTTTGTTATCTTGCTGCTTCACCATGGTGTGTATTTTTCAGCATTTCCCTGGCATCTCTGAATATCCATGTCTGCAGACTCTTGCTGTCGATCTCCTCAACCCCTCCCCCGAACTCGAAAAACGCCAACACAAGCTCAAGCGGCTCGTGCAGTCACCTAACAGCTACTTCATGGACGTCAAATGCCCCGGTACGTGTTCTCGAAGTGTCGCCGTGGGCGCCTGCTTATACTTGCGTAGGATGCTTTGCCATCACCACCGTATTCTCGCACGCTCAGACAGTCGTCATCTGTGGTTCGTGTGCCAGCATTCTATGCCAACCAACTGGAGGTCGGGCTCGTCTGACGGAGGGTATGCTTCGTTTGAGTATATTCTATCATGCGGTCCTCAATATCTTCACAGGTTGCTCTTTCCGTAAAAAGAACTAAACGCATACATCTTCATTCACATTTGCTCTTTGCATCTCGATGGCATTCCACCATGATATTTCGTTGCTCTTCCTTGTACCCCCCCTCCGCTCGTGTATGCTTGAATACATGCCTATAATGCTTTGGTACCCGGAGTAATCAATTTCAGGCCGATATATCAGGTGGCATGTTTTGTGTCAAAGCTTCATTCTACGGGATCATAATTTTGGCCTTGGGAATGTGAGGATTCTGCCGCTAATAATTGCTTGCAATGTCGGTGAATACAAGGATGGGCTACATTGCCATCTCTGACTCGACTAAAAATTCGGTACCGGAGGCAAGACGGCGCCTGTCGACTCGGACTTGGTTCTTTTGGTGAGGGGACTACTACTTTGGACTTGCATGGGGTGTCGCCATCACCACTTGCTGTTATTTCTGACTCGTACATTCGGTCCCGCAAATGAATAAATAACAGCCTTCATTACCATCCCTCACAGATTCAATACACCGATTGCAATTTACTTACTGCTCACAATGCCCTTTCTCAGCGGTCGCGGATACACCTCAGAATTAAAGGTCGTCCAGCTCAATACCGCAATTGCCTACCTCCAGGCCGTCAAAGAGACCTTTCACGATCAGCCTGCCGTCTACACCCACTTTTCGGCGCTGTTGCAGAATTCGTCAGTCATAATTCATACTCTTGTGTCATTCCGTGACCGACAGCTCTTCGCAAAGTGAGGGTTACGATGTGATCATGTCGACAGCGGCGACACTCTTTCGTGACTATCCTCACCTCATTGAAGCATTGAACCCTTTCCTTCGATCTCCCTGTCTCGTGGAGTACAATGCAAGGACCCGCCTCACAACAATTACCAGCTCCAGTGGCATAAAATACCAGATTTGAGGTAACGTTTTATCACAAGTCTGCGTAAACTCTCTCATACATTTCCAGTGAATGTTTGACAAGGGTACATTTCTATCCATCCAGCGCATACAACATATAATTGTACAGTAGTGTCCATCTTGAGTCGTAATTTCATTGTAAAAAAAAAGTGGTCTAGAACTAGCGTCCAAAGAGGTAGCCCATGGGGGTTGTAGTTGTAGCGACTAGTTGTTCCGATTCCGAGTCATAGCTTTCGTCTTGGCTGCTATCCTCGTCGCTGTCCAATATTAGAATGGCTCGTACGCGATGCCGTTTGTCCTCCTGCAGCTTCGATTTCCATTTCCTGCCAAACCCCAGAATTCATGAAAAGGAAACAAACGACGTGTAAAAGCAGGCGAAAATACTCACTTCTTCCTGGCCTCTCTTTCAGCATATTTGCTTCTACGACGCTTCCATTCTTCATTGCCCTCTGTACAAGCAAGTTGATCGAGATATGTTTCCACCAGACTGTTTATGGCGACATTGGGCACCATCCGAGGGGCATTGAGTTTGCCGCGACACGAAGGGCAATCCCTCTGTGCGGGCGGGTCAACATATATTAAGATGGTCAAATTGACAAGAATGGTTGAGCAGACCTTGACCTCGACCCATTGGCTGAGACATTCGCCGCAGAAGCTGTGGCCGCAAGGTACACATACATGTGCGGCGACCCTAGTCACGAAAAACTGAATGCGCAGCCACGCTGATTCGGAGAAACATACAAGAAATCTTGACAGCTACGCCGCATCGAAGATCCATTGTAAGATGACATGGATCTACATTAGAAATTCGAATTACCCACATGGGACATTCGAGGTCTGCATGGTACGCTTTTAGATAACTATTCAATAATGACTCGCCGGCTTGGGGGGGGTTATGGGCCTTCATTTTCCCCTTTTTGCATGGCAATCGTGATTGAGAGTCATTACGAGGCCGCTTGCCTTTTCCACTTTGAAGCGAGCCGGTGGAAGAGTCAGTATTGAGGTCACGCTGGGAGAGCGGCAGAGCTGCAGGCGCGGTGAGAATGTGAGAATGTGGTTGACTATTATTATACCGGGCTGTTCTTACTGTTGGTCCGGACGACAGGGGGAGGCGCCACATTAGGAGGTTTATTTTGGGCTAACACGATGGGCCGACATGACTAAAAACAAGTGTGAGTGTGAGAAACAGACAAAGATGGACAAGAATATTCACCACAAATCAATGTTGTTGTAATCAACAGATAGTTTGAAGACGTGAGATATTGACCGGAATGAAACCTGTTTCACTTACGCAAGGCCTGGAGTGCTGACTGGTGTGAAGGGCCTGCTACTGAAAGGAAAACAGTGATAATTAGGTAACATATTTGGCCGCTTGCGGGATGACTCGCCTGGGTGGGCTAGTGGAGTGACATTCTGTTGATTTATGTGTGAAGGTGCTACTACTTGATGTGAACAATTTGTCCTTGTACTCGCTGAGACGACTGACCTGGCTGAAACTGGGTTTGGAGTCTCTCGTATCCTATTCTTGTCTGTTCGTCCAGCAGGTTCCAAGCTGCCTCATCAAAGTCTAAAAATTCATCTTCGGTGTAAAAAGAGCTGTCCCGTTGTGGAGGCGGTGGTACTGTCAATTGTTGCACGATCGCAGCATCGAATGCAAGCCATGCGGACTCGCTAATGTTGTCGAATCCATCGTCGTTGCTGAATTCGTCATCAGACATGATGGTAGTAGCAACTGAAAGAAAGAGAATAATAACTCGACGCGTCTCGGAGGCAGACGAACTTTTGATTATGTAAGCGGTCGGCATGTGAAACGCCAAGGGGCCCGAGGTCAGCAGGTGTGCCTAGATGGGCTATATTTAGATTGACCAAGAATATCTGGCGGGCGGTTGCCAAAGATAGATGATGCCAAGCCTTCTTGGCCTGTTCTGAGTTTCAACTTGAGGTCTTGGCGCCCTATTTTTAGATCATGGGAAGTACTTTCAAGAATACTCTGCAAAATTTTTGCGCAGTACTAGCAGCGAACAGTATTGGTAGTGGGATAAGCAATATGTACAGTATGGGTACAGTAAGGGAATAAATAACGAGATTCAGCGAAGGCGAAGAGTAGCAACAGTTGGGCAAGTTGTAGGATGAAACGGATATCAAGACATGGTCATGGGGTAATCTCGGGCCTTGGATCTTTCGTCAGATATGTCGCTCAGCTGGGTGATAGTATCTCGCTCGAGCTCTGGGACGCGGCCGTTGGAGAGGAGGGCGCCTATAGCCATGGACGGCCGGATAGCACGGGGGGAGTAATCTGCCGCAGATGACGAAGAGGATGTCGGGGAATAGGGCGATGGTGGATGTCTTGGCGGTGACTGCGACTTGCCACGGTGCCTTTTACGAGCACGAGTGTCTGCCATTGGTGGCAAAGCGTACGGTGAATCGCTCCGCTGGTGGCGAGACTGACGGTGGGGAACAAGCAAATGATGCTGCTGAGGGGGGGAATGCGACGTCGAAGGCGTCGGGTAATGGGAGATGTGTGGCGACGGCAGATAGGACGACGTGTGTCGCTGAACGTCTATCAAGGTGCGTAGGAGCGCGGCCCGTTCTGCCTGGCTGTGTTCTTCAGCCGTCTTTGCCTTGAGCATGGCAAGCAGCATGTCGCGGTCGCCATCCCCCTTCGCACGATATGCGTCGAGAATTTCTCGCACGGTAGGAGGAGGTGGCTACGGGCAAAGAGATATATATATATGAGTACAGAGGTGCAGTGGGGGGGAGAAATAAAATAAAAACATGCCTGGCTGAGGGAGTCGTGGGCGGCGGTGAATAGGTCGAGTTGGGAAGCCATGAGTGAGAGGGAGAGAGAAAGAAAGCAGCAGCACAACCGACGCTGCAATATATAATCATTATTTGGTCTTGGCAGCTTTCTATTTTTAACGCCAAGTAAACTCTACATGCTCTGCGCTATTTTTGGCCGCCCCGACCATCGGCAAACACGTGATATTCGTCCCTTCCTTCGGCCCCTTTCTTCCACAGTCACCGCCATGTCGGCCGTTCCCATCTACGACTGGTGCCCCGGCGCCCTCCCCTACTACATCACCTCCGCCCTCGCTGCCGACGCCATCATCGCCCGCTACCTCGAGCACTACGTTGGCCACGTCGGCTTCGACCTCGAATGGAAGCCCACTTTTGCTCGTGGCGCCCGTGAGAATCCAGTCGCCCTCGTCCAGATCGCTACAGCGACCGACGTCTTTCTCTTCCATCTCTCTGCCATGTCTACTGTACCAGCCTCTTTGATGCGCTTCCTGCAGAACAGCTCAATCATCAAGGTGGGCGTCGGCATCCAAAGTCCGTCATTCTTGCAGTTGTGCTCTCCTCTTCTGAGCTTAGTCTTTTCCAGACGACGTCAAAAAACTCTACAATGACTACAGACTCTCGGTGTTGTCTTGTGTAGACCTTAGCATGTTTGCTAGGTCTGTCGACAACCCCTCTTGGAATGGCCCCTTCAAGAATCCCATCGGTCTTGCCAGGCTCGTTTCCACCTATCTTGGTTCTGCGCTATCCAAAGGCTCTATCACAAGGAGCAATTGGGAAGCTTTTCCGCTCTCTTTAGCGCAAAAGCGATGTAAGCTTTCCTATTTCTTCTCATGCCAAAGCCCACGATGCATAAATAGATGCGGCCAACGATGCGCACGCCGGTTATGCAGTCTATTCCCACCTCCGTGCCCTAGATCGTGAACGAGAAACACCCATCAAGCAGTCATACTACTCCTTCCATGCCATTCTCGGCCGTCTCTACCATATTCCTATTCCAAACCCAGAGCAAGTCTCTTCATCTCACAACGATATCTGGGGGCTCAGTGCCACCTCGCGTCTTGTCGAGTGGTTTCCCAGAAATCCAGAATATGATCCTGATCCCCCTCCACCTTCCAAGGCACCCAAGACTTCGGATGAACAAGCCGAATCACCAAAGGACACCTCTGCAGAGCCTCCCAATAAATTTTCTCCTTTTCGGGGCAAAGGTACGTATAAACGGAGGCGTAATAAACCTCGCTCTGCTTCACTTCTGGTGTAGCTACTACTACCTATGTAGGTAGGATCTGATAATGAGTCGAATCTATGAATCGGACCTTGGGTTTATCCATTGGCTCCCGCACATGCCTATTGCAAGTTTCAGGGTTATCCTTGGGGTAATGACCTGCATAATCGTCTCGCCATGGCATCAGTTTTCTGCCCATGAGAACGTACATGACAGGCATACGTACAAAGCTAAGTAAAAACACCCTTGAGCGCTTGGCAACTGGTTGTACCGATTCGGACAAGTCGACACTGCTCTGATTTTCATAATTGTCGCGTCATGTTTGTGCCTTCGTCGTTACTCCGGGCCCCTCTGCAGTCCAGGTCGTTCGGTCTGATTCGCGCAGCACTGGTACCATTGCCCTGGAACTATGTATTGGTGCCCATCGCCGGATTTGAATTAAACGAAAGCCTAAGGCTATCACTGCATCTCGGGGTGCATACGTAACGAAATCGACATTCTATCGTCGCTATCCTCGATGGCCCTATTTCTGTTCTGTGTCGTCTCAGATAAGTGGGTGCAGTACGGCTGGTTGGCAAATGAATGCAAAGAATCGAAAATGAACTCGTCATCTACACTGTAATACATGCCATCATATCCATAATTCTAGAGGTACTCCCACCCTAGCTCCTACAAGGCATCGTCCCGCGAAAAGTAGCCTGACCCTCGAGCACCTGTCGAGGTGGGCTTGGGTGCCGGTGAGACTTTCCTCAGCGACACACATGCACCTTGATCGACCCAAACGCCCGCGGACCCTGCACACACAAGATCGATTCTATCAACACCACAGATGCACCCGCGGTTCACTCACCTCCGGGAGTATCACCTTGCGTCCACCACTTCGCGGTCCACAAATGGGAACTAGGATGTCCATCAGCTTCGCGGAGTCGAAAAGAGAATTTGAATCAAGGTACGAACTTGTATACTGCTTGATCACCACTAACATAAATCGTCGTGCCTTCCCATTCGTCTACTCCCGTGCAGGCTCCTCCAGAGGTGGGAGTGCTTCCAGCGGAGGTAGTAGTAGTAGTAGCCGTGGTCGTCGTGGGGTTCCCTCCATTTGAACCAGAGCCAGAACAGGCGCTAACTAAAAGAAAACCGCTGTATTCTGTACCTTGGACAGATAGAAGTGGAAGAGACGAACTGGCACTCCAATCTCCATTAGGATTGCTCGCAGGCTCCGACTGAGTCCACCACTTTGCCTGCGGATGAATGCGTATTATTTACGTCTAAGGAGTAAGAGATAACACGCTCACGGACCTCCCATATATATCTATAAATAGGATGCTTAGTCCGTGCAGCGAATACGATACGAAGGAACTTACCCGTTGTATGAGACTGTCGAGGAGGCTATATAGACACTTCCAGTGGAGTAATTGGCGGCAGAACAAGCTGGATAGGTAAATCCCACTCCACCGGCCGCTGCAAGGGCTTCCTTTATGGCCAGGTCGTAGCGATCATTCGCTGTTTGATATCAAGATATAGTCAAAAGAGTATCATAAGGGATCGAGAACCGACCGTAAGCCTGTGAAGCATCCCAGAGCATCACGCCTCCGAAAGACGGGAAGCTATTCCGCATCTGCACAGCAATTTCGCTCAGAGTTCCGATGTCGACGTATCCTGATCCTGCAGCAGTTGATGAAGCCGGTGCACCAATATAGACCTTGACATCAGGGTTGAGGCTCGTGTTACGAGCCCAAGCATCCCTATTGATGCCGTATATTTAAAGTTGGGTATCAAATGCGGCCAACTCACCAGATTCCAAAGTTCCAATTCTGCAAAGGTGGACGTGAGATGCTATCAAACTGCAAGAAAGACAGTCATATCCTACCGAAGCTTCCCCAAAGTTTGTCAGACCACAAGGGTTGTTGTAGAACTGTGCATCGTAACATCTTATATGTCTTGATCTTCCGCTAATATTTCACGTACCTGGACTACAGAATGATGAAAATGAATTAATGCTAGGGGAATAACAAAATGACCAACACGCGTACCATATATTGCGTCGAAGCTGGCAGCATTCAGAACACCGCTCAGCGCAGCATCAGGAAAAACGCATTGTGGCGCAGCTGTAATATAATACCTTTGCCACTCTAATTTCAAGAGGAAATCCCAACTGATAATTACGACTCACGATTTCGATGTGCCAGTAGCCAATGATCTTAATTCATTCACAAACGCAGGATAACTTGACGACGTCCCGCCTTCAATGTCCAGGTCGACACTACGCCACATTGATGTCAGACTTATTTATCACGTCAAAGGGCGAGTTTCATACCCATCTAAAATTGCACTACCAAATGGCCGGGTGTCTGAAGTTCCTCCAAGGAACAGGTTCCAAATTGTGTTGGCGAACTGAACGGCCTGGCTGTCAGAGCTGAATCCTACAGAGCCAGTTGCTCCACCAAGACTGAGAGTTACGATTTTCCCCTTTGCTTGGCAAGTGGCAATGTCTGTGGCCAACAAAGAACAGTCAGCCAATTCTGTCCCAGGGAATGTGGTGTTATCGACGTTATTACAAGTCTATCATGGTTCAGCTTATACGAAGCTCCATAGGGAGGATGCAAAGCGTACGTTTGCGAGGTTGATTGAGGGCAGACCACCTGTTCCAAAGAATACGTTGAGGAACGCCAATGGAAAGACATCTATCGCGTCGTCCTTGAGAAGTTTGGTCACCAGGATATCGTAGGGCGCTTTGGAAGGATAAACACACATTGCAGTAGAAAGAGAGCGTTTGTTGATAGTTGGCGGTATCAGAGTGAGTTGCACCGTAAGAGTTCTGGCCCCAGTATCTGGCGAACAGTTCAGAGAAAGGCTACAAAGGCTTCAGAGCCGTACACAACGGTCTAGCGGAGTAAAGCATCAACGAGTGGAAGATTACAACGGAGTATGTCGACGTACGTTGTCGTATCGTGAGTTATCAAATGCCAGGACGACGGATATCCCAACGACAGCGAGAAGTGTGAGTAGTAGCATCCTGAGCGCTGAAATAGAATGAGCAGTGGGGGACAAAATATAGCAATTTATCGGGCCACGTCCATTTTATAAAGACGTCGAAAATGCCTGTCCATCGTATCGTAGTGACACGTCGAATCAATGTCAGGGAGCCTTGGAGCCTTCAACGCGTCAGTCTCAGTGACGCTTCCTTATCTGTGAGCACGAGGGCGTCGAGTTCACGCGGCATCTAACTCATGAAGCTCATGATTAGAGCGTGAGCCCTTTAGGTTAGAATAGGTAGTCAGTGCATGTGGGTTCTACTCATAGTCATTAGGCACATCTTGACACACGGAGGAGAACGGCAGAGTACTCAAGTGTGCTAGAAATTACGCATGCATGGCGAGCAGAACATGCAGCAGAAACATTGACATCGGTCTGATATCCGACACTAGAGCGGGAGATACAAAGAGGTAAAATTTAGAACGATCTATATACATAAGCACACACGACAGCAGAGATAGAGCGTATTAGAGCAACGATCATTCTGATACGGCTGAATCGTTCGCGGCGGCTTCCTTTTGTCGTATAGGTACTGTGGAGGAGTGTTAGCCGGGAACCGTGTAAGAATGACGAGAAAGCGTACGAAAGTATGGCTGTTGTTGTGCCTCACGAGCCGTAAGACGATCCTGGTGGTCATACCGTAGCAATTTGTCCAACAGGTCAATAGCCTCATTCGAAATATAGCGCTGATTCTCCGATGTTATAAATCGTGTCCACGGCTTTCTAGGGTACCTATGATGACGAGGATTGAGTTTGGGATAAATATGTGATTAGCGAGCTACAAACCGGCCGAGGATCTCATCATATTGGGCATCCAGACGGATGTGGTACTTGTCGATGTAAGCGAACAATTCGTCAGTGCCTAGCACCTTAGCAATCTTGACTAGCTGATCGTAGTTGTCGTGACCATGAAAGAACGGTTCCTTGCGGAAGATCTGGGAGCGCAGTGACTTTAATTGACACTGGTGAGGGAAGAAAGGTGGCCTTTTACCATTGAAGCAAACATACACCCATAACTCCACATGTCCAGACTATAGTCATATTCTTGAAAGTCAACGAGTAGCTCAGGACCCTTGAAATATCGAGAAGCAACGCGGACATTGTATTCAGTTTTTGGATGGTAGAATTCTGCAAGACCCCAATCGATGAGCCGCAACTGTGATGTCTGATTAACCACAAATACGCAGAAACTATATAAGCTCTGCCCACCTTGCGAAGCTCATGATCTATCATGACGTTGTGCGGCTTTACATCTCGATGCATGATACCCTTCGAATGACAGAAATCTAGAGCCTACCAGGGCATGTGAGCCTATCGTCATTGAAGGATCGGATTCTCTTACTTTCAACAGCTCATACATATAGAAACGAACGTCGTAGTCGGAGAAGCGGGGATAAAGAACTTTGAAATCCACGTTGTGGACATATTCTGTGATTAGACTTGGTATCTTGGACGCTTGATCTCGAACGACGTCCAAAAGCGCGACGACATTGGGTCCTCCGGCCAAGTTTTGTAGGATCTTGATTTCTCGTTTGATTTTCTTCTTTTTCACAGGTTTTAGGACCTTGACGATACACTTTTCTTCCGTTACAACATTGATGCCCTCGAAGACCTACGGGTGCAATCAGGTCGTCTTTCGAGAGTAATAGGTCTGACAATGACGCACTTCCGAATACTTTCCCCGCCCCACTTTCCGAACGATTTCATAGTGATCCTGAGAGCCCCATTGGACCTGAAGATTGTCTGTGAAATACAGAGATGTCAGGAATAGCAAGATTGTATGTAAGACAGAGTTGCGAACCATATTCGTGCCATGAAGGGCCAAGCTTCGCATTGACATCGGTATATACTCGAGCAACCGATTTGGTCGATGAACGACCCATTAAGATGACGGAGAAAGAAGGCAGGTGAGCTGATGCGTTGCAGCAATGAGGTCGGTCCTCGGATATTCCCACGACATGTTTATGTGATGACCCCTCCCCATTGGCCCAAAGATATAGTCTACCTGACCTCACCCAAATACCATGCTTCGGTATCGCTGGGTGCAAGGAAATTCATGGAGCCTAGCCCAGTAAAAAAGGGAGCATGGGCCAAGTCGTCGGCTGTGGCTATTCGTCGCATTTCTAGGCCCGAGCATCCGGCTTTCGGACAACTGGGACTGTTTGCTGCAAAGAAGATAGCTCCAAAGACACATATTGTTGACTATATTGGTATGTACTTGCTACCACAACACGTTAAGAAAGTTGAAGGGAAGCAGGAGAAATACACTGTGAAAATCGGCTGGACTCGGACTACGACCTGTGTCTGCATCGATTTGAAGACGGGAGCTGCATTGGGGTCGACGCGGGCAAGATGGGCAACGAGGCGCGATTTGTTAATGATTTTCGGGGAATAAAGGATAAACCGAATGCAGTATTCGTGGACAGGCGGAGTGAATTGGGGGACCTGCGGATGGGAATTTGGTCTTCGCACGAGGGCATCAAAAAGGGCGAGGAAATTGTTGTATCATATGGAAAAGCATGGTGGCACGCCCGAACAAAATGACGGCGACTTGGAAAACTTTGGGCCGTCTTTAAAATAAGCCAGTGAGGACCTGTCCAGCGGCGTTCAACACAAGAATTGAATGACGGCAGACCCGTGAAAAAACGTTGCAAAAAAACGATTCGAAAAAAACAGTACGGGTGGCAACAGAAAAGCAAATACTGTATGCGGCGACTAAGAAATTAAAATTTAAAAAAAGACAAAAAAAAAAAAGAGGCTCCGAGGGAGAGCGTCGTCCAAACACGTGGACTCCCGTTATGGAAATATGGGCACGTGTTGCGCAAAGGCATCCGAAACAAACAGGCAAAATTTCGAGCTCGGTCACTCTCACTCTGGTTGTTGCAGATTCTCCCGTTGCCTCATGCGTCCGTGTATCCCAGCAAAAGGCGTCTCGTCTTTTGTTGCCTTTTACTCCTGTTCTAGGCCTGCCCAACGGTCTGGCACTTCCTCTTTGTCCTTCTACCGATCAAGATGTATTCACAATCTACCTAATTCTGCCCACCGTTTCCCCTGCCCGAGGCGCCTTGCTGAACGGGTACGTTCCGTCCGTCGCTCGCAGCGCACTGTGCTCACCGTCCCGTAGCGGCACTTTCATGCTTCCCCACTATCCGGCGCCCCCAAGGATCCATACAAAGTTCTCGGGGTGAATAAGGATGCAACAGCGGCTGAAATCAAAAAAGTCTACTTCTCTGTACGCCCGCTATCGCATCTTGTACTTTCATGTCACTCAATATCTGCAGCTTGCTCGGAAATACCACCCAGACACTAATCCTGACGCGAGTGCACGGGACAAGTTCGTTGAAATTCAGGAAGCTTATGATGTCAGCCCCAATTTATTTGCCAATCCACTTCTCCCTCAGTCTGCTGCATACAGGTGTTGAAAGACGAAAATAAAAGAGCTGCCTATGACCAGTATGGCTCCACGTCGCAGCAGCCAGGTTTCGATCCAAACTCGTTCTCTCAAGCATTCCGTAATGGACAGGGATTTGGTGGATTCAAGGACTTTTCCTCTGCCTTTGGTCCCGATGTCGGTGGCGGCTCGAGTTTCTTCGAGTCCCTGTTCGGCGCTTTGAATAATGGCCCTGGGAGTCGACAACGGTCGCGCGGTGAAGATTTAGAGGTCTCAGTCGGAATAACCTTCATGGAGTCATGTAAAGGGACAAAACGCAGCGTCAAGGTTTCACCTGTTGTCGATTGTCTGACTTGCTCCGGCCTCGGTCTAAAGCCAGGCGCTAAACGTACAACATGTACTGCTTGCAGTGGTTCCGGTACCCGGACTTTCGTTATCGATAGTGGTTTCCAGATGGCTAGCACATGTCCGTCTTGCTCTGGTGTTGGAAGTACGATACCTCGGGGCAGTCAGTGCGGTTCTTGCGGAGGAGTGGGCAAGGTCCGAGCACCTCAGACCATTCAAGTCGATATACCGCCAGGTACGTCACACGTTGATAAACTTTTCATGCTTCTTTGTCGTTACCTTCTTATCAGGCGTCGAGGACGGAATGACTATCCGTGTTCCGAAAGCGGGAGATGCACCAGTAACTGGAAAGGGGACGCCTGGTGACTTGTTTGTGCGGGTCAGTGTTGCCCCGTCGAAGCAGTTTACACGACAAGGAGTCAACCTCTTCCATGAGGTTAAGGTACCGTTCCACACCGCGCTTCTTGGTGGTCGGGTACGGGTACCTACCATTGATGGTGAAGTGGATGTCCGACTACCCGGCGGCACACAACAGGGAGAGGAGATGGTACTGAAAGGACGTGGAGTCCCAGAAGTTCGAAACGGTCTTAGTGGGGACTTGTATGTTACCTTCTCGGTGGTCCTTCCCAGGTAAGCCTCACAACCATCATAATGCTCACTGACTTTGATATCGTATCTTTGACCAGATCGCTCTCAAAACGACAACGCCAACTGTTGCAAGAATACGTGGACGATGTTGAAGGTCGACCAACTTCCAAAGATAGCAAGGGAAGCAATAAGGCTTCTCAGTCTTCAAGTTCGTCACAAGCACAAGGGACAGGAGGTCATGATAATGGTATGCCTTCTTTTACACATCAGTCACCCTCACAAGGTGGCTTGGTGTTTCGTGCGTGGCAAAAATTACGAGGACTCATTGGGTTTTGATTTTTACTGGCATGTCTTCTATCCTTTGCCAACGCACGCCTTCGTGTTCTTATCTGCACTCCTACGCTAGTAGTCGCCGCTGAGGACACTCCGAGAGAGGTAGACAAGGGGGCGAAGGAGGTAGACAAAGGGGCGAAGGAGGGCGAGGACGAAGATCAGGAGAAGAAGAGGGCGACGGCGTGATAATTAAAATTTTAGAATCGTATTGCATATACATGCCATCTGCTAATTATTAAGTTAGTGTATGTACCGACGTGAACAGACGCGCCACCTCTCAACCGGACTGACGATCTCTCGCGGAGTTGAAATAAACTGGCTGGGCCGGTTCTTTCTTTTACCACGATGGCTCGTTATTTGAACAACACTCTGCTTGGATAATTTTGAAGCATTGCCAATTGGTGACCCATGTTTCCCCGTCTCGTTCCTACGGAATTCTTTTGGTTTGAAATGGTTCGGGCCAGACTTTCCGGTTTCCGCTCTCAGTACGCAGTTTCTCTTGAGAAGCGGCACTACTTGCTCGATCACCCGTTCAGGTTAGAGGGGATGCTCTTCGGTAATGAAATCCCTTGCAAGACCAATTACTTTTATGTATTGAAAGCCAATTTCTTTGGGAGATCAAATCTCCCTGGTCGTATTCATATCTCTAGGTTCCATGAGTGTGGTCTTCTCCCCGTGAGTCCAGTTCCATCCCCGTCTTACCCAAAGCTGATTACCGCCGACCAGGTACTCATGCAGTTCCGACTATAAAATGTCCCCCCCCCCGGGAAAATATGAGATTTATTTCTTTTCCTCGAAGGAGCTCCCGTCCTCTCTAGTTTCCCGCCAGTCCGTCCTATTCCTTTTGGTACCATGGTCCGACAGATGTCCAGCTCCGACCTTGATGATATCTTCTCTACGACTCACGACCGCACCACAGTGGATGAAAAGCCTATTTCAGATCCTCCAGATCCTTCTTCAAGATACGGCGGTGCCGATGACGTGGGGACGCCTTCTATCCTCACATTAGACTCTTCGTCTTCGACGATTCTTGACAAAAGCGAACAAGTGCCTCAGCATCTCTCAACGTTCAGAATTCTCATGGTCCACATCGGGTGAGTCCTGGTGCATGGTCCGCATGTATCATTTTTGACCGTTCCTATATAATTTCACCAGGGCTGCTTTAACGCTGTTTCTTGCTACGACGGATGCTGTATGTTGTCCATGATCTTCGAGAAGACCTAACTTAAGAGACCGATCAGAATATTGTTTCGACGAGTTTACCAACGATTTCGAATGACCTTGGAGCTTCAGAGTCCGAGTACACCTGGGTCGGTGTTGCGTACATGTTGACCCAGACTGCATTTCAACCCCTCTATGGAAGAATATCCGATGTTGTGGGCCGAAAGGTACAGGATCCGCGGTCGACCCAGATTTTGATACTGATCTCACCATAGTGTTTGTTATTGGCGAGCGTGATAATTTTTGCCCTTGGAAATTTAGTGTGTGGACTTAGCAATGTACGTGTTTACGATTTAATCTGTTCCCTATCCTCACCCGTCGTGTCCGAGGAAGAGTATCACCATGTAAGATATTTAAATTTAGCATCACTGGGTCGAATTCTGCTGTTCCACTCATTTTTTTTTTGTACAGGCTCATTGGGTCTCGTGCCCTGGCAGGAGTTGGTGGCGGCGGTATCGTGAGTTCAGTGTGGGTCATTACAGCTGAAATCGTCGAGGTACAACATCGGGCCAAGTGGTCACAGGCCTTGAGCATTACATGGAGTTGCTCGGCCATTGCAGGTCCTCTGTTGGGGGGCCTTTTCAGTGGTGCGCATTCTCTCCACTCTAATATTGTGATTCTGTCTGAGAATGGCCTATCAAGGCGACACGGACTCTGTTCTAAGCTGGAGGTGGGGATGTGAGTACCGGCAATACGCGTCTTGTAAATGATCTCACACACACACCGTACAGTCTACCTCAATCTACCTATCTGCGCGGTCGCTACGCTAGTACTTGTCTGTTCTCTCCACGGGGTCAGCTTACAGAGGTCTAGTAACTATACATTGCGCACTATAATTCAGCGATTCGACTTTGGAGGCTTGTAGGTTTCGGCCGATGGTCTATTTGATGTGTTGTGTCTTACGCTACTATAACCAGGATTCTTTTCATGGCAGGGACATCTTTTATCGTCGTGGGATTTAGTTTTGCGGATGAGAACGGTTGTAAGTTTTCTCCGTGGCAACCGCTTTTTAAGTATTGGAACCGTCTCTAGGGAAATCTGTGACGACGATAATGATGCTAGTGCTGGGTCTCCTTATTCTTATTGGCGGTGGGGTTTATGAGATGAATACCGGCCGGGACTGTCTGTTTCCAACAACAGTATTTACCGATCATTCTGCGAGTATGTCTTTCCTGAGGACGATATGTTTGACTACTAACCCGGTCCTCGCGCAGTCATAATCCTTGTCGTTACCTTTGTCCACAATTTTGCTTACAATGCTGGGCTGTTCTACCTCGCGTTCTTCTTTCAGGTATGTTTTCAAATATGCATGGAAATCGCATTGCTCACACCGGGTATTCATAGTCGGTTGGCAACTACACCCCTTTGCAAGCTGGTATCAGACTCCTTCCATTTTCTTTGGGCTCTTCGCTTGCATCAATGCCGGCTGCGTGGTTCATTGCTTACTGGCAGTCTCGCCGTCGGGACCTAAGTGGCCAGAACTGGATTATGTCGCTCGGTCTGCTTATTTCGACCGTTGGCTTCGGTGAAATTTCTGTTACTTCTTACGACATCGACCACGCTCATTTCTCATAAACCAGGGCTCCTCATTCTCCTGAGAGCAGAGGCGTCGGACGTACAGGAAGTCTTGTTCCCACTGATCTGTGGGATTGGGATGGGGGTTATGTTACATGCACCTTATCAGATTTTTGTGAGGACACTCAAATCACAAGAGCTAGCGACGGGCACGAGTGCGTTCTTTCTGGTCCGCTTCACCGGAGCAACAGTCGGACTCGTAAGTATTACCTGACTTTCCTTGAACCCATTCTGATTCTGTTCGCCAAGGCTGTTTCGGGCAGCATCTTTTACGCTCGAGTATCAAGCCGTTTGCCATCGGGCCTGCCAATAGAAATCCAAGGATCATCTCTGGACTTTAGTGGGCTCAACTCGATCGAGCCCGTGTCATTGCAGTGGGAGGTTTTGAATATTGTCGCGACTTCTGTTCAGGTACGCCATCTTCTTGATAGTGATGATTTCCATCTTTTTGACAGTTTTTAGACCATCTGGGTCGTTTGTACACCCTGTCTGGGGCTCGCCTTCTTGGTAAGGCTCTCTGCTTCGTTAATATGGCTCGGAGCTGACGAACTACAGCTATCTCTGTTGGTGCGGAAGCTACCGATTGACCGGTCAGCAGATGGTGATTCGGAGAAACACATATCCACGGGTGGTAGTACTGCATGAAGTGTGGACGTATGAGAAGGACTCGAAATACTTTATAACGGTATGTATAATTATATACTGGGTTTCTTTGTCGCATCCCAGTGCATTATAATAAAGATATAGATAGATATGTAGACGAATCCAAGGGATCTCTACTTAGTTCCATATAGCAATGTATCGATTGGCCCCGTATTGACGTTGACTGACTGGCAGCCTCGTTTCTGATGAAGTCTCATCCCCGATTCTACAGGGCCTTGACGGTAATGCGAAATGAGGACGAATGGCACTAGAAGACGGTTCCTATGACCCACGGGTATTGCTGACGACCTTCTCACCATATGGGCGCGACTGCCTAGACTCGATGACACGGAGAACTAACATTACGGACGATACGTCGTTCATGTAGCTGAGTGTGGCGAAAAAGGAATACTTTTCTGTCCCTGGCGGAGTAATATTAAGGATCTGCCAGCAGCCAGTGGAATGAGTCGGCACGTTAATATTAAATAATGTGATGTTAACAAGGACTCATTTCTTTCGAGATACAAGCTAATTTATAGTGGAAACCGGACGAGACGCAACGTGTGATGAACCGACTTGGTTCAGTTGGAAAACAGGCTAGACTCACTCCGAGAAAGGCACCTTTTGAGATTCCAGCGCTGACGGCGCCACGGTACCGTCATTTCGGTGCACACGACCAGATTGTAGATTGTATGCTCAACTTAACTGACTGTATGCGCGACATGAAACATTCTTGTCGTCATCGCCGGCGTAAGCCACAGTGCGCTTTCTTATCGTGCACTGTTCTCCTCTTTAACTCGAACCACCACCTTCATCTCTTCATCGTCACCCACAATGCCCAGCTGCTCCCCTATTATATCTCCAGCGTTCTCACCACCGTCGTCCAGTACCCCATCTATGATCAAGCGTCTTTCCGCTAGGTCCGTCCAGAGTCTGGCGGAGCTCATCATCGGCAACTCATCAAGCTCTATTCAGCTCGCACCAGAGGAGGCGCAGTTTGTCACCGAGGAAGGCCTGCCGCATGCAAAGAATACACTGGAAGCAAGGTGAGATATTCCTTCATCAAAGAACTCGGACTATCCTTGGCAAGAATAGATAACCTTGTTCATGGTCTGCCGTCGTCGCTCTCTTGTCCATGCCGGAGCTGACCCTTACCTCTCTCCTCATGGCATAGACACTACAAAACCGACAAGTTCGCCGTGCAGTTACTCGCATGCATCAAAACCTTGCGTGTCCCTTCCTGGTCTGACCCCGCCATCACGCCACAAGGGATAAAGATCCAGAAAGTCTCTGGCTCCATGACAAACGCCGTCTTTTTTGTCTTATATCCAAGATCCCCCGAGATTCGTACTCTTTTGCTCCGGATATATGGTCCATCATCCGGTTCACTCATCTCCCGCCCCCGAGAACTCCACACACTCCACATCCTTTCCTCAAAGTATCATTTGGGCCCAAAAGTGTACGGAACATTTGAGAATGGCAGGCTTGAGGAGTTTTTTGAGTCCACAACGCTGAGCTCAACTGAAATGAGGGACAGAACCATCAGTGCCTGGATTGGAGCACGAATGGCTGAACTTCATTCTGTTGACATAGAAGTCGTTGAGGAAACTTTGCCAGAGACCAGAGGCGAAGGTAAAGGCTGGGACCTCAGTGTCAAAGTGAACGTCAAATCTTGGTTACCACTCGCCCAAGCTGTCTTGGCACTACCCAACGTCTCCGAATCATTGCGCAACGAGATAGATTTGGAAAGATTCAGCAAGGAGTGGAAGGCGTATCTGAAATGGTTAGCCGCGGTAGACGATGTCGAGAATGGCAGTCGGCGAGTCTTTGCTCACAACGACGCCCAGTACGGGAATATTCTTAGACTGACAAACATGCCAGGTGAATGTGCCCCTCATCGCCGAGTAAGTCTTATTTTCCTCGTCAGGGTCAACGTCTCAAGACTGATTCACATCTTAGATCATTGTGGTGGACTTTGAATACGCCGGCCCCAACACAGCATCGTTCGACATTGCGAATCATTTTCAAGAATGGACCGCGAATTATCATGGCCCAACTCCTCACCTCCTCGACCCTTCGCGTTACCCAAGCGAAGAAGAACAAGCCAATTTTTGTGCATCATACATCCAGCATTCAATCCAGACCCCGCTTAGCCAATTAGAGCTCAAAGCTGCAGTTAACAAGCTTAAGGATCAGGTCCGTTACTGGAGTCCTGCATCGGCGGCGATGTGGGCTGTTTGGGGTATTGTTCAGGCGAGGGAGGATGTCGAGGGGAAAGTTGAGGAACCCGAGTTCGACTACTTAGGTTATGCCCTTGACCGTATCAAGGGGTTCCGTCGTGAAATCAGAAAATTGGGTGTATGCGTGCCCTGGAATGACATCTTTTGATGGCTGGCATGTTCTTTAATGTTCATTACAGGTATCTTCATCATATCATTGACTCCGCGCGCATCTATTGTCATTTCATCCTACCCGCCTGGTTATATATTACAATTCCCTAGCCATGCAGAATAACAAGATTTATATTGAATGAGATGAATAAAAACATGTTGCTGTGACGACGATAATGCTATGCAAACTGGGTGAGATAAAGTATAGCCCTAGTATTGACGACAAGAGAGAAATCAAACGTGGAGAGAAATTGCTATGTGGTTTTCAGGAGGATTGACACGAACAAGCGTATGTATGTAGAGATCCGACAACGCGAAAAGGGAAGTAGTGTAACAGGTGTTTGAGATCAGAGAGAGGAGTATTGTCCGATCCTGCACGGCAGTCATAATCAAGAGAGGAAATCATTCGAAAGAAACAGTCAAAGGCATGTCCGGGACCGTGCGCCGCACGGATGCTAATGCACGATTTCAAGCCCAAGCTTTCTCGTGAAGTCTGGATGTACCCATCGTTAGCTCCGTTGTTGACCAGGGCGAATTGATCGACGCTTCACCAGCCGCTGTAGGCGCGTGTGAGTACGACGCCGACGACAAGTGGTTGCTCCGAGCGAAGCTTCCCCAATTACCCGCGCTGCCTGCCCGAACGTGACCATTTCCTCGCGATGGCTGTTGGGATGAAGGCACTGTATTATCACCGGATGATAGAGTATACGAATGTCCAGGAACAGGCTGGGACGGTGTGAAAGAAGCGTCCTCGCTGCCATTGAACGAATGTCGAACACTAGCATTGGTAGGGGGTGTACCGTTCTGATTGATGCGCTATGAGTTTTCATTATAGAAATCCAGCTGTACGATTAGCGGACATACCTGATTGTAACCCACTATCTCGATCCGTGCATTATTGTGTCTGCCGAGGTCCGGACCAGCAGTCACAGGTGCGGGCGACTTGGCACCTCTGTTATGATCAGCACTGGGTAGAAGGACACCGTTACTCGCAAATGCCGGATAAGCGGACTTGTTCTGCTTGATCGTGGATGCATCCAGTGCAGTGTCGACCCTGAGGGAACCCGTCGGCGGGCGCGTAAATTGGTAACCATTAGTAGAGCTAACGTCAATGGGAGTAGAGCTGTTCGTTGGTGGTTCTTGATTACGTTTGGCAGAGATACGAGCAAGAAGAGACACAGGCTCTGCTGGATCACTGTTAGTGCTCATTGAGCGGGCACGACCATCGGGGCGTGCTGAGGGAGGAGCGTTCTCCGGAGTGGCACCAGGAACAGCGGCGCCGCCAGATGTTGGAAGTTCGGTATGGATGAAGCAGCATCGTTTACCGTACGGACATGAGCCAGAAACCCAGAAGGTCTGTTGTAACAATCAGCATTCGACTATCTGGGACTGTCCGGAAGCAAGAATATACTTACCCTGCAGATTTCGGTTTTATACTAGAAGCACATCAAGGTTCAGTACATAAGGTGAATTGAAAACAAACTAGTGGCTGACCTTCGGATGCCGTGATACCTTTCTCAGCTCTTCCTCACCATGAGCAAACTGGCACTTGGCGCCGTATCGACACGTCCCTTTCTCCTCCCAACTGCGGCAGAGCTCCGTCTTGTAGAGACCCAGCTTTCTATTGTTAGCGCTAGGACCATTCTGGCCCCCGCTGGTGGCACTACTCGGACTGTGAAGACCACTGTCCATTTGCGGCGGGATAATTCCATAAGGACCAGTATATTGTGGCTGTAATCTTGCCATGACTTGGGCGTCCTGCCGGGCATATGTATCTTGTCCATAGAACTGATTAGGATACAAAGCCATCGCAGGTGGAGGCGCGCCCATGCCTGGTGGGAACAAGCCCGGGGCGTAAGGCTGCATGTTACCGCCCATCAAGGGCAGTTGCGATGGATCTCGAAGTGCCGACGGGTCAGAGGCCGAGTGATGATGCGCGCCTCGGAAAATGTTATGCTGTTGTTGGACTCTAGATACCGCAGGATGGTCTTGAGGAGGACCCGTCAACATCATGTCATAAAGCTGTTGCGAGTTACCCAGCGACATGTGAGCGGTATGACTGGGGTATGGCATGCCTGGAGGGCTTGGAATGAGGCCCTGTTGCTGGGGATATCCGCGCGGAGGCTGACGATACTGAATGGGGACGGCGTTGTTAGGTCTGTTCTGCACATATGAGGGTGCAGCACCAGGGGCGGTGGTACCCATGCTCGTGTGCGAAAGAGGGCTGAAGTTACGTTGCTGAAGATTGTAGTCAATCTGAAGATCATCTCTGCCGGGAATGACTGACTGGGAGGCTGATCGATAGTCAAAAAGTGGCGGATGAGGTTGTACCTGGGGACGGTGAACAGAGACGGTGTTATTCGCTAGTGAAGGGTACGAGAGCTGCTCTCCAGCAGGTCCGGACTCCCGATACTGAGGCCACTGCTGCTGCAGTTGACCGTCTACTACGTCTAAACCAGGGCCTTCTCCGGCATGCTGAAGACGACGCAAATCTGCGCTCGACAGGCCGCCGCTGAATGAATGCGGACGCTCTTTCAATTCACTCGGTGGTCCGTTATTGAGAGGAGAATGAGAAAGCATAGTGTTGCTGGCAGCGGAAAGTGCAGACTCCTGGGAGCTAGACTCTGTAGTGTCCGTTGACGACCCTCGTGAGTGAGAGATGGTGATCTGATGCTCGGAAGAGGGAGGAGAAGAGCCGAGGCTGTCAGCAGAAGAAGTCTCCAAGGGACTTGTTTCCGTCAATTGCACAAGCGTGTTGGATAATTTGGACTTTGGGGGTGTCCGAATGGGTGCATCATCTCCCGATTCCCCAGCGACGTCACCAATGTTCAGCCGAACAATCTCGTCCGCCAAGTCCCAACCGGCTGCACCGGCATCTGAGTTGACATCAACAAGCTGGCCATTGGCATTGAAGAGCCAGCGGTTGTTGCCACCGAGCGCCGAGTCCGTGCTAGAAGAGTTGGATTCGGAAAGAGAAGTCATTTTGGAAAAGGCTGATTTTTGTAGGGTTGCAGAAGGTGCTCGGCGTGTCAGCGGCGGAGGGCTACTATCGTTCTGTGGAAGCCAAGTCTAAGAAGGAATGATCAGTGAGAAGTGAGAGGAGAAGACAAGGTAAGTTACCTCTAGTGACACCTCAGAATCAGATTTGTGAGGCCAGGAGGTCGTGTCTGTAGTCTGAGGTCTATTCGTGAGGGTGATAGCGGGCAGTAGATCGTCTGGAGTCTTTGGAAAGTAACTTTTCGGGGAAGAAATCGTTACAACGTCGTGCATTTAATACTGCAAGAGATGCACGTGTTAGTCGAGGAAAGAGAAGGTAAAAGAAAGGGAAATATACCTATGAGATAATTAAGACCTAGAGTCGCCTCCGATGAATGCGTGATAAAAGATGGGTAACTTTTGGGAATAATGAGTAGATGGTGGAAACGTAAGTGAGCAGATAGATATGGAGGAGGAAAGCGACGCCGACGGTGGTGATGACGACGACAGCAGGGCGAATTCGGGAAGCGAGAAAGGGCAGATAGGTATAAAAAGCGTGGGCAGGGTCGTAAGCAGATGGTCGTGGTAGAAAGGAAAGATGGGAGCTGGAGGCAAGGGCTGTGACAGAAATTGGAAGAGCACAGCTGGAGTGTGAGGTTAAGAAGGAAGAAGGCGAGGCAAACGGCTGCCTTCACCTAACGAGTTTGGTCAACGTTTTGATCCCAGACAACGTGCCCGGTGTTTGCCAATAATTAATCACGCCCTGCGACTCGGTGCCAGTCCACTGCCTTGGGTAGCAGCCAGCGACCTGAATAATCAACAGCACACGACCTCGACGATACGAACGACGACGAGCACAACGTCAACCGAGGTGGTGAGCAAACTTTTGCTGTCCCCACCCCGGAGCTGTCCATCACTTTCACACGCTGTTTTGAAACTCCGACCTGCAAATCGACTGTTTTTGGACATTCTCCCCGTTCAGACTCCGTGTTCCAATTCTCCATTCTTAGGAAATTCACTCCAAATTGCTGCTCTTTGCGTGAGTGCCGTTCACCACTTTCTTCATTCAGAGATACACCCCGACTTTTTTCTTTGCATTCCCCCATCGATAGATGATCCTTGTTCCTCGTCACTGAAGCCCCCCTTTCACTGTCAAATGCCACTAGGATGAATCCATATGTCTTCTCAATTCTGATCCAGGAGATACCATTCCCATCCCCGACCGCCCTCTTGCCTTGTTTTCCGCGTTTTCAACACTGATCAACGTCCGATACTGTTGTCTCGCCCATCTCCCTCCGGCTAGCAGATCGGTGCAGCAACGGAGATCTCTTGAGTGCTGGGGTAAATCTACAATTGGAATATTTCTTGTAATCAAGCATTTCGGAATTTGCGAGCGTCGAACTTGTCTTTCCAAGTTTGAATGCCACCGCTCGAGTGTCGGTAAACAGCCCCACCTTTCCGCCGATACCTGATATTCTGGTTACCATGAGCAATGTATGACTAGCGCTAACAGCACTTGGATATCGGTAGGGACGCTATAACCAAGCGCAGGACTTAGAGAGGCACCATCTATTTAGAGAAGCCCGGGTTCAAAGTCAGCGAATATGATCGAGAGATCTGGAAATGGCGATGGCCGCTTGGAGGCAAATTTCAACGAGATTATATTCTTCCGTATACAGTCCTCTTGTCTGAAAAATTTTGCAAGACAATGTTTATCTCTCGCTTCTGAAACGAAATCTATGCGAAAATTGATCGCATACAATCCGTTGCCTGCAGTCATCACAGCGGCTAAGTATAACGTAGCGAGTGGGGTCATTTGGCCGACTCTTGACTGAGCACCTTCCGTTAACCCCAGTGAAGACCATTATTTAGCCCAAATCTTATAATCCGACACGCGCACATACGGATCTGTTATTTAGATTTACCTCCGCTTCTTCGCCTCAAAGCACCCTTCATAGGGTCGCGATACTTGTCGCGGGGCCGATTTTATCCCAGGACATGGCATACACGCATACATCCAACGTCTATATATGGAGTACATAAATCGGTAGAAACTCTTAGATTCTCAGGTCAATATTATGTAGTTTTCCATACCTGCAGTTCACCAAAAACGTAAGCGATTGAGGTATAGTTACATGGTACAAAGTTAAAGTTCAAGCATCTGAAGATTTGCGTCAGCATGAGCCACATTCCTTTCGCGTGGTTACTTACAATACGAAGTCCCTACCAGCATGGTTGACAAACTTTGTAACTGATCTTCATCGAAGGCTTGCTGATCCTTGTGCCAGGTGTCCTGTAACAGAGGTTAAAACACACTTGCCGGTCAATCCTGTGGCCCCTTGTCGTACCTGATGGGTCTACAATGGAAACAATCAGTAAAGGCCCTATAGAAAAAGACGAGATAAGCATTACCTTCTTAAACTCTGACGCGCATTTTCTAATTGTGGTTGAGATGGGAGGAGGGTCAGTAGCGTGGGGGGCAAGCACTGCAGTAACAATCAACATCTGGCAGATGACCCGGGGAACAAGGATGTGTACCTTCTGTAAGTGAGGGCAACCACGGTTCCACAGAGTAGGGAAAACTTTCGATCAGAGCGCACAGTCCTAGTATAGCAGAATGCATGGACCGAAGGCAATCGGCATACGAAGGATCCTTGCGTGGAGGCAACTTAACTTTGAGAGTCATTGTTATAAACCGATTCTGTACCCTTGTAAGTTCGGTGCCTAGATTGCATAAAGAAAGTTCACTAGCCTTTAAGGGAATGATGCTTTGTCGTTGCGAGCATCGAACAATCCCTGAAAGTGACTTCGAAGCCATTTCTCGGACCTCAACATTCTCGTCGGCTAGACAGTCCATTAACATGTCCATAACTCCGTGCACACCTTCCGGTGTTATCGACAGCAGATTACGGTAGAAGAAAACTACCAACGGAGGAAGCGCTTGAAGTCGAATGCGCCAGGACTGCATTTACAGGTCATAGTAACGCAAAGTTTCTGATAGCAGCGAAAATTCATACCGTTGACGATTTGATGGCAACGACAAAATTGGTCAGAATGGCTCCAATATACTCTACTGGTGGCGTGAAGGCTGATAGCACATAAAGAACAGCGATGGAATAGGTTTGTAGTTCAACATTATCATTGAACTCGGTCATGCGTAGGAACTCGGGCCTATGACACCATCACTATTCGCTGCAAGACATGAATACATCGACTCACATCAAAGCCACAGCATATGGCAAGATTAACGTCGCCTGTGGACTGTAGGACGAGAGCCATATCCATTGAAGGACTGAATAAACTAATGTCAGAATTGGACAGTACGACACGATCGACTGCACTAACGCGACAATGCTACTTTGTCATACTTTTGAACAAGAGCTTTCGGTCAGATAGGAAACAAACCTCTGATTGGATGACGTACCTCTGACTGGCTGACCCAGGGCGGCGGTGATCGCTGCTCTCGCCATTGTGGCATTTGTTTCAGAATGTTGATAATTTGGTTTTGGAACCGGGCCTCACTATACCTACTCTCAATGCTACGCAGTGATTTATAGACGTGGACTGACCGTATAAATAAAGGATCGTCTGATTCTTGACAAGCGCGTAAAAAAAGTTCTGTGGACGCGTAAAGTGGCCGCCACTGCGTGTTGAGCAAGGTAGTAAGGGTTTGAGTGATGAGGCCCCGTATCTGTGTTTGCAAAATGAAACTAAGGGAAAGGGGGGAAAAATCAGAAAACAGGGCCTCGAACCTCAGCGTAATTGGTGTTCGCGTTCGCAAAGAAGAAGCTGATGAAGTGATCAGCTCTGCGCTGGAAAACATGCTCCGCTGAATCGGCCAAGATACCAAATAAACTGAGCGCTTTACTCACTACGTAGACATCATCAGCGCTGCGAACGATAGACAGGGCGCTGGACGTACTTTCGAACGCAGAATCTCCATTGAAATCGAGAGGTAGGGCTAAGATCCAATCAATTAGCGGCTTATTACGCCTTGGATCTCGATCTTCCAAGATGCTCTAGATGGCGAAAGGCATCAGAAAGAACGACCAAAAACAGCGACATAAACGCACAGTCAGTGAGGTCTCCCAAAGAGTTAACGTGTCGGGCTTAATTTCGGTGAAAATACGATCTAATCGACTGCGAACCCAAGACCATAGTTTATCAGATGCATGTTTCGGCCAGTGCTTCGCTCCTGTACAGAAGATTGGAGTCATTTTTTGGGTATGACAAGAAAAGCGGAACCTACCACGTATAAGGCCCGTCAAAAACTCGCCACCAGCACGTTGTTTAAATTTATCAGAATCTGATAAAAGCGGGTCCATGACACTGAGTATAGCGTCAAGGACCTCGTGTTCAAACATTTTCGCTACACCCCAAAAGTTAATATTGCACAGAAGGATAGAATATAGATGGTGGGTACCTAGTCTCTTGATGTATGCAACATTCTCTATTCGGAGATCGACTGTGCTACCGGTTCTATTCGATTCTTGCCCCCACAATGCCGACAAGTCTTGGAAGTATTTCTCAGTGATAACGCCCTCACGAATCACATGGAGCGAAGGTTGCGATGCTGCTTCCCATGCAAATACTGACATATCCATGGTCACAGCTTTATAACCTTGCACCGTCGGCGCCCAAGATATGAACCCCGTACGGATTTTGTCAACGTAAATGTGGCTGTCAATCCTTTAGTGGATGATACATGCAGCGAACACGGGGGACGCACTCGGATGTTTGATCGATAGGGTGCTCGAACCTTTCTAGCAAATTGGAGGCATCCGTGACATTTACACTCTGCGCCAAAGGATTCTTCCACCGATGAAGCCATAAATCCGACGCGTCATCCGAGAAGGACCGAAACTTAACGTATGTCAGCAGATAAGTTATCCCTCTATTTAATAGAGCGTCTAAATGATGGGGAACAGAAATAGAGACGTCAGACATACCGTTGCGCCTCTATGCGGATGGTGGGCTGAGGACTAGTTGAATGCTTAAAGAAGAAACTAGCAACACCAGCTGATACTGGTGTATCTCGTCGGAGTAATACCACCAAAAACCGACACGCCATTTGTACGTATCTCCACTGCGATATAGCTTCATCAGAGAAGACTTCTAGAAGACGACATGCAACTGACATGAGTTTTGGGCCTCAAAGCAATTTCCAGTATCGATGAGACCTGAACGCATCATGTGAGACGACAGCACAAAATGCAGGCTAAGTCCATACGGTTTGGGCATGGATCTCGTTGCGGTTTGCAACGCGGCGTGGGTTCTTGCTGATCGCTTCCTGGAGCAGCCTTTGATCGATAAAAGAAGGCGGAAATTCGGTCACTAGGTCGTCAAGTGCACTTTCGACTGCGGGTGCGTCAAGAGAGTATGCGTTTGTATGGATAACATCCTCATGCAAATGCGGCAGACAGTCTACAGCAAGATTGTTCACCAACTTCTGTATGGAGGGCTACAGATCAATGTGCGTGAGTCGGACATTCGTACGGCCAAAGACTGTTAGAACCTTTTCTTCATGTTGACACTCCAGTAGGGATAACAGATAGCGTCCATGCGCGCTTTGGTCTTATGAAACATCAACGTTTTCATCACCAAACCTGGAGTGGCCAGCCAGACTTACCACCCAAAGCATAAGAAGCTATTCGTCCGTTAGCTTGGATAGTGATAGTCGTACAAAGAGGCCGCACCAATTCCTTTCTTCCACAACACGTACAAAGCTCCCTTCATTCGATCGGGATCATTCCCTTTCAAAAGTGCAGCAAAAAGGGACGGCAGCGTGAAACGAGTAGATCGAACATAATACTACACCCAAATGAAAAAAGATTATCACAGGACTAGGGCATTTGACATACCCCGAAGGCACTGTGTAATACAGCTTGAGCTTGCCTGCCGATAGATAATATCATATTAGATGATGATGAACAGGTTCAAACCTCTCAACTTACCGACGTATTCGCGTATACGGCGAAAGAGCCATCTCAATTAATTCCCGTATTAGGTCATCGTCTAGGCGTGATCGACGACGATACAGAGCATGCATATATACCCGACCGCAATGGTACATTTGTGCGCGCTTCACGAATACCGATCGTGAGTTCTCCTTCTGACCGTTCCATACGCGGATACCACTAAAAAAAGTCGGATCAGATGAGTATACACAACCATAATCAAAAAAAAGGCATACTCTCTTGCCGTCGTGTAGCTTTTTTGGACAGATTCGTAACCTTCTTTGCTTAAGCCGTAATCAAGCAAGTAGGAATCAATGGCCTTCACAACGACGCTAACAGCGTCTATGTGATCTTCCCCCTCCGTATTCTCACGAAGGGTCAGAGCAGCCCTTTTACTGATTTCACCAAAACGAATCCGATGAGCGACAGCTTTTCGATATCGAGGGTCTAAGGAATCGCAAAGCACGAAACCAGCCTTCATATCGAGCTTTCCCACGAGGAGTTCTTCACATTCAATATCATTGTTTATGCAAGAGTTCACAACCTCTTTTTCCTGTTCCTGAAGGAAAGTCGGAAGCGCGCTCCAAATCGTTCGGCAGGCATTCAGGTACCTGCCAGTTAACTGAATGAACACCATAATCTTGATATCTATCACACCTACCTGCAGAAATCATTTCTGTCGATGCTGTCCCAATTTTTCGTCGTCTGAAGCAACCTTTCGACATTGTCCAGTAAGGGCGATGCAACCTTATCGAGAATTTCCAGCACGAATGCGATTTCATCATTCGATGGCACTGACCAAGGGAAGTTTGAGAGAAGAGAACAGACAAAAATTTAATATACATACCGTGCCATTCAATGGATACATCTTGGGCTTCGTATAGTTTTCCCCAGTGGACATTGTGGTCTCTCTCGAAGTCTGTGTGTTGCACCGGTAAGAACTAGCAGGTGTTCGACGACTGGCTACCTACCTGAACTTGCCCATTCATCGGCATTTACAAAACGACTGTTGACTGGGTACACTCCCACAAGGGTATGAAGAATGCGGCCGATAAGTCTACCGGCACTGCTGTATCCACGTTCGCTCCTTGTTTTGTCAATGAGGAGCACAATGAGACCAAGTATTCGTCCCTTGTGCTTCAATACCTAAAATATTCCTGAATTAAATATCGATTGGATTGAAGGGAGTGAAAAAGCCTACGATGGAGCCCCCGTATCCTAAACATCCTAGAAGAATTGCAACGTCTATAAAACCAGTTATTGACGATCTGATCAGAAAGAAAGCAGCCTACGCCAGTGGAAAGTGGTGTCCGACGATATGGCCGCGGTTGGTGCTGTGGTGCGAATACTTGAAGCTCCGTGGTTCAGTTCATCTTCAATCTGAGAAATACAGAAAGGCAAGAATTTTGCAAGAGTCTGCTCCGCTCGAACTCGGGCTAAACAAGCTACGAGTTGCCCGAAGGCTCGGACGGCGTTAGACTTCGCGTTGGTAGACGCATAATCAAACACCAGGTTCAGCACCAGGTCAAACAGTTGATCTGACAGATGTAGACAGACTACATCCATCATGGCTTTGATAGACTTGAGAACACTCTCTTCTTGTTTGCCGCCCGTGGTGTTTCTCTTACCCCCTTCCTCGGGGAGATTCTCATAAAGTGCGATAACACGCCGGAACAGCGAAGTAACCCAGTCTAATGTTTGATCAGTGGTCGACGATAGGAGAAAACATAGAATAGCTACCTGCAAAAGCAGCAGTGCTATCGCGGGTAAGTGATCGCTCATCCCCCCTACTGAGGACGGGCGTAGGACTCTCTACACCGTCGGGGAAGTGCGTGTTGTCTTGGTCGAGATTCATCATTTCATCACCAGGTATATCATCGGTTAAAGGCACTCCAGATTGGTGAATAGAGAGATCACCAATCTTCACATGTTGAATAGCAGCAACAATGAACATAGTGGTACAAACGGTCTTGCTGGGATCATTCTGCCAGAAATCAGTATAAAAGGAGTAGAGATTAGTTGATACAGCTACCAGATCGATACCCGGCAGACACAATTCCAACAACGGAAGTAGATGCTTTTGACCGCCAAGCCAGATGCTCTCGGTGACGAGCGGTCGTGCAATTCCTGACAACATGCTTAGGACAGCAGTGGTCCTATGAGTTTCGTTTATGACCTCTAGACCGCCATATACGCGCTCTAACAATTCGGGCATAATCAGTGCAGGCTCTAACAAGGCCATACCTCGCAATGCTCCTTGAGCGAATCCTACACATATCGGGTCCTTGGAGAAGAGGGCCAGAAGGGCAGGAGTGCGCAAGATACTGACAAAAGCTCGCGAAATGCTGGGTGTAAGTTGTTGTGTCTGTGAGGAGATGTCAGGTTTCATTGACTATTCGATGATGAAGACGTACAACGGGTGTTTTACAGTCCATTTGTTCTTCCTGCTTCAGACGCTTGCCAAATTCGGAAGTCAATCGATGTAAGAAGGTCGTCAGCTATAAACACCAGAGCTGTCCGCTTAGAAACGATCTCCCCCCAAATCTTGAGATGCAACGTACCGCAATTGTCCAGGGACCAGAGTTGGATGGGTGGAAAAAAGATTCCGTACTGGTTATGAGACGTTCTAGAGAGTCTAAGGCCTTTGAACCAGCGACAAAACCGATCGGAGAGGGTTGGCTACGTCCTTGCCGCTCGTTGAAACTCTGTCGCATTGGGCCATCGACAGATATCGAATATACGAAAATCTTCGCAAGAGAATCTGGAAACAATGGGGACAGTGAGTAATGTACTATCAGCAGCCGAATAATTGACCTACGATATCTATCTGCAGCTTTCTTGATCTTGAAAGAGTGTTTGTCGGCGAGTGTGTCCGCTTGTCCAGCTGTTGTCGATGGACCCTAGACCAAAGAAAGATGTTCATGGATACTATTAACGAGAAATAATAGTTTGTTTACCCTGGTTGCACCGACGGGAACGTCTGCCCAACATGAGTGACATGACCGAAGTGCGAGTAGAAAAAAGCACTCACTCATGGATGCCAAACCCTTTCCAACCAACATGTTCCATTCCGGCTGTGTCCATATACCAACGTCTTTCCACTTGGCTCCACCATCTTCGCCTGCCAGGCCAAATGGACCAGCGACATGCTCCTCTGATAATTCCCCTGACATGTGCAAGAGGCTGTCGTCTACCAGAGCCGAATTAATAGCCTCCCAGAATTTGAAAAGCGAGGGTAAATATAGGTGGCTATGACTTGGTGGAAGGAAGGCGGTCAAAATGGGTATCATGACCAGGTATGTCTGTTATAGGTATTCAATATTGTTGTCGAGAGTGAGAAACCTTCCAGACATGCCTCTTTTGTCACCAAAGGCAGAAAAGTAGAGAGCATATTGGGAATGTCTTGTCTGGAGAAATAATGATTGCAGTGTTCCGCCACGTAAAGAAGGAAGCTTAGAGTTGAACGCCTAGAACATACTATGAATAGGCTGAAGAATAGACGATAGTAAAATTTCATTACGATGAATCATGCACTTGAGCCTTGTGCCACAGATGAGTCTGTACGCTATGCCAAAGAGGCTCCCATGGCAAGTCAAGGTCACCGTATTCAAGTTTACGCTTCATTCCAGATTTTTTGGATAGCAAGCGAGTGATCATATCGGCCCAGCTGCGAATGACGCGCGGATCTATCCCCGGGGTGATACAGAGTCCATAGTACAAACGAACTAACTTGGCGCGAATAGATTTGTCCATAGGATACCTCATCAGCAACCAACTGGAGAGGAATAAGGACACGCTGAAGGGCAGAAATAGAGAGCGATCATACCATTGAAGCATCCCATCCCATGTTGCGAGCACGAGCCAGTTCTTAGCCTTGGCACAAATGAAGATCTTGCTAACTATGCTCTCCAGCTTCGCCTGCATATCCTCGCACGATTCACACTCGTAGGGCAGAGAATTGATGTAGGATTGAAGGTGAGATTTTTGCTGTTCGAGAGACTGTTCCGAAGTGTCGCCGGGAGAGTCAGATATCGTGTCGTCGTCCATATCGAAGAGAGAAGGCTGTCGACGATCTACTGTGTCGCCAGAAGAAGGCAGCTGTATTAGGAGATCCATTCCGGTGAGAGGTAAGAGGCGACATACAGTAATGGAAGGTTTATATATGCGGTGGAGGCTGACGAGTCCCTCGATGACGCGTTCAGGGATGATCGGTAAACGCAAGCGGCTGTCCTGGGATTCGGAGATCAGAATTGATGTTGCAGTCACGAACAGAGAGCCTTGAAGGGATTTGACTCTGCTGGAACAACTGAAATTCAGAAGCTGACTGCAATATCGGGAGATGAAAGAAAGGATGGAAGAAAAATGTAGCAGTGGCACAATACCTTGAAGTTGGCGCGCGGCACGTCAGCGCACGTGGCAAAATCGAATTTCCATTTTTGTCACCGGACCTCTCCTTTACACCTATTCACAATGACGGATTCGTCCACGGCTTCCGTTGAAATCTACGACTCGCTACCCTACTACGATGATGACCTTGAAAAATTTCCTCCTCTTAGACAGATGGTGGAACAAGAATTCGCGCGACAATTAAAGCCACCAACCTCTGTTCATTCACGCCTGCCTCCACCATATGAACTTTTTTCGGTATATATATCACATTTGCGACTTTGGAACTTTGGTGTCTCAATTTTTTGGCAGAAGAATCCATTGCTCAAAGCAGAACTTGAACGCGTCGAGTCGCATCAGCCATTTCCTTCCCTTGACACTCTGCGATATCAACTGCCGACACCTTCATTGCCCGGCACAGACGATGAATGGCAAGCGGCGATACAAAATACTCGTTCTCAGCTGGAACACCAACGTCTACGGTACGCCGTGTGACTGCCATAGGTACCACACCACCGATAATCATTTTAGGCAAACCAACATGACTCTACTACAAACATATGGGTCGAACGCATGGCGAACGCAAAACTACCTTCTCGAGAATACTGCCAAGCAGGTAGAACAGGCGTTGGAGGAGCTGAAGGAGCTGACAGTGGAAGTAAACCGTAGCCGTAAAAATAACCAGGTAATGGAATCTCCTTCATCTTCTTGGACTGCTTGCTGAAGCACTTATCTAGTCTGAATTGGGCAACCAGCTGACATCGCTGGAAACTCGGTGGACAGACCTCATATCAAATGTGCTACAGATAGAGATGGCCAATGTTGCGCTGGATGCTGAGATAGATCGACTAAATAGGAGAGAAGCTGAATTAGCTGAGATGACATGATATTTTTCGTACTCTACTTTTAGCAGCTTGTAATTCTAACAATGACAAACCCATTCCCCCGTTGATTCGGTTTTAGTCTTGATCATTTCTGGAGATCCTACCGGGTGAGTTCGTCGTCGTGTACGTTGTCGAGCTACACAACGTCGCAGCTTGGCACCACCGTTTCTTTCCTCGTTAGTCATATCTCACACTCGGCTAGGTACTCTTCTGGTACAGGCGCATCCAGCATTTCAGCGTCTCGTGACGCGTCTATGGCTAATACCGACAACGAAGAACCAGTCATATCTGAGTCGTTTCCAAAGGAGACGCATGCATCCAATTCTATCTCTCAAGGGCCAGCTTTGACCGAGGATTCTCCAAGTATTCAGGATGTCTCCGCCAGTAAATCACTGGTCAATCCGTCCCCAGAACCGCCTGCAGGAGAACCAAGCTCCAGCAAGGAATTCCTAAGTGCAAAAGTGACTGCAGGACCAAACGGAGATGCATCTTCTGCCCTCAATTCCTTACGCCCTAACCTCGCACCGTTGCCTTCAAATGGCACTACGGCTGCGCCTCACCCGAAACGATTCAGTGCTGTGAATATCAGCAAGAAGTTCCTCGAAAAGAACTCTTTGCCAGCCCCAAATTCTATGGCTTCGTCATCTTCTTCACAAGCAAAGTCAGGAGGGTCGGCTGGTGCGCAATGCCTGTTTTGCTATGAAATGAAACACTTATACATTCTGCCATAGCAAGGCCCTCCGTGCAATCTTCATATCCGCACTCGAGACTAGTCACTGCTAAGCTTACCGCAGCACCTCAGCCCTCAACAACCACCGGTCCTGGTTGGTCACGACCTTCCTCTGTGGCACCCGGCCTTCAACCTACACCTACCCCCAATGGCATCGCAACGCAGTCATCATCCTCATCGCAGCCCAAGGGGCCAGCTACTTCTGCACCTGGTCCACCGCAGCTTCCACACGCGGGAATGGTGATTCAACCCCAGCCCCGAGCAGCCACCCAAATTTCACAGACGGACGGGATGACAAGCGGAAAGTCGGTTTGGGGAAATCTCAGAAGCAGCAATTCCTTACCTTCGGGAGTGCGCGTTCAGAGTGAATTCCCGACGGCGGCAGAGGTCGCCCAAGGTTCGTCACTTGCTCATAATTCTCTTCACCGAAATGTAACGTGTTTGAAGTGTCTCGCAAGGCTAAGGGGATGGACGGGAAAGAATCCACCGAAGTCTCAGAGGCACATAAACAGGCAAGGTTGGAGGAAGCTGATACGTTTCGAGGTGTGCATCTTGATCCAAATGCTCACCATTGGGATGAAGTTCGTGTTGACGTCTCTCAGCATAAAATATCATTCCACTAAACTGGATTCATTAGATGGAAGAGGATGATGACAATTTCTTGGACGGTGTCATCGAATTCGGTGATGGACGACAATACAAAGTCGATACGGCAGAAACTCCACCAACGAACCCGCCGACACCGTCATTAAACGGCTCCAGAGAACCTTCTCGAACCAGTCCAAGGCGAGAACGTGAAGCTTCAATTGGAAGATCCAACTTCTCTGTTCGTAAAGAAGAGAGATTTGCCGATGATTTCGACCGAAGTTGGCCAAAGAGTTCTTCGCTTTCATCTGTAGGAGCACCCTATTCTGGTCCAAGTGGGGGGTCTATCGTCAGTCCGACTTCTCCAGGCAGTACCGTTCATGTGTCTCAATCTGGACAAGAGAGTGGGCGAGTGCTTTTCAACGAACGTTCGAATAGACTAGAACCGTACAGCAGCTCTCACCGACAGGGACAAACCTCTTACCCCTTGAAAAAAGTTCATTCTGATGCTCCCGTTCTAGAGACTAAGACATCCAGAGAAGCGTCGTCGTCTTCGAACAGCAACGTTCAGCTACTTCAGAAGGGCGGCGAGCGTGGTCGTGCGCATATGGGTATTCCAGGTTCGGGTACTTTTGACAGGCAACGGGACTATTCTCGCAGGGATGGGTCATGGATGGGTCACGTACCCCCCAGCCCACGGTCAGCATTCTCTCAGGCAGGTTCTGTGAACGGAAGCGAAATCCGTGGGCGTCGTCTGTCAAATATGGGACCACCCCCTCCTCCAGGTTCAGGATCAAGGGACTTCGGCCAACGGCAGTCAACTCCTCATTACCCTATTCATTCGTATAATGCAAGTCAAGCAGGTATGCCATCTCGTGAGTCGAGGTTTCCTCCCGGCCCTCCATCTTCGTCAAGTGCTGCTTCCGTTCGGCATCCTTCCCAATCTCCAGTGCTTTCTCATGCGTCTTCTGCCGTTGTTTCGTCTGGCGTTGAGCCTAGCGCCGCCCAACTGACTGGGCCAGATATTGATGAGCTCAGAAAAGACGTGATGCAGAGTGCCGCAGCCAGAGCCAAACAACGTCGGCAACAGGAGGAGGAAGAAAGGGAAAAAGAGAAGGAGCGAGCACGGCGCAAGGCTGCAGAGCTTGCGAACGAAGCTAAACCAAAGACGGATTCAGAAGCTATCAAGGTTGAATAACTCCTTTTCACAGCGACTAGCGACTGACCTAGTTTCTACAGGAGCATGAAATCATTGCTGTCATTGAAGATGCAATTAAATCAGTTGATATTGCAGCTCTTTCTGTCGATTCGACGAAGCCTTCGGCTTCAGAGAAGACACCAATGCAACGACTACCTTCTTTGAAAGGCCTGGATAGAACACGGCTACCAGTGTCCAGACGACTGTCAATGTCTTCCAGCATTTCGGGCCCCGCCCCAGCAGCTTTAACTGCATCGTGGCGAAGCCATGTTACTCCTTTACCTCCCCCTTCAATGTTGCTACCTGCGACCACTAGCCGGAATGCTCAGACAGTTCAAACCCACGGACCTTCTTTTGTTTCCGCTCTAGAACATGTGCAAATTCTCGCAGAAGACTCCGAAGCAGATCTTGAAGTCATCGAATTTTCTGATATGGGCAAATTTGTCGGACTTCCCGATCCTCTTGAACCTAAAAGTGATCCAAGCCGACTGCCACTATCAAAACCATCGCGACCTGTCGCCAGTGATTTCTTCGACGACAGACCAGGCGACTTCGAAACTCCTTCATCGTCAAAGGCCGATATGGATACTTGGAGACGAAGAGGGTCCTTAGAAGGGAAAGGCGGCAAAGATGCGGCGGGAGCGTCCACGCATCCAAGTTTATCGACACCCTCACCGATGCAACAAACGCATCTGGCACCTTCAGAAATGGCCTCATCCACTCAGTCCGTTTCAGCGCAGACATCCCCCAGTAAATCATCCAAATATCAGTGTTACAACCAAGCCACGATGTCAGCCCTTGACGACGCCATGTCTCGTATCAAAGGAGCATTGGATGTTATGCAGGCTAGTGATAAAGATGTTTCAGTGCAGCTCCAGCTTGAACAGGAACCAGAAGCAGAACCAAAGAGGCCTTCTCCACCGGCACAACCGATAAGTCCTTCGGACTCGAAGACGGCCAAGGAGAGATGGATCCCACCTGCATTGCGACCTCGACACCTTGATGTAGAGCCGCGAGAAAATTTCCATTCCACAGCGCCAGAACCTCCGCGGTCACCAAAACCTGCTTGGAATGCCTTTACAGTTAAGTTGCCCAAGACGTCAATAGTAAGGGAGGCTATTAGCAAGAAACAGTTATCTCACCTTGCCAGAGTATTCCCTGTCCGGTGGGACATTCTATCCTTTGATCCACCCGTAGAAGGGATGAGTCGTCGCGATTTCACAGTGATCGATGTTCTATATCGCAAACAACCTACATACAAAGGGAAGAATAAGTTCAGGGTCGTTCTTCCCAGAGCTGGCGCGCATCTACAAATGTCCAAGGAGAGCAACCATTTGGGTTCGAAAGGGAACGGCGGCGGCGCGTTTGGAAAACCTACTATGGCTGATGGTGCCTCAACGTGGAGAAAGCCCGAATCATCACCCTTGCCTACGAATGCCCTTCCAGGACCTCCATCCTCTATCGTGGTACCATCTGAATCGCCTTTGGCCAACTCTTCGTCTCTTGCGCCTTCAGTGAAAGGGGACGTGTCGCGGATCAAGCCACAACCGAAGATGCCTGCTGGGACGTCGGTAGCTTTCTATCGTGATTCTCAAGTATTAGACGCGGGCATCGATGTGAAGCCTCTCGTCAACTTCATCGTTACAAGTGAGCTGGAGGAACCACGGCTACCGACAAAGGATGGTTCAATGGCAGGAGCAAGTCGCGCTTTGAATGATTCTCGGCCTGATGGTGTTGCAAACGCATCCATTGAGCAACATATTCCAAGAACAGATACAACGCCAGCATCGTCATCGAGCCTCATTCAAACTGGCAACACCCCGGACGATTTGGTAAGTTTCGCAACTCATTTGGATCTCGTTATATTAATTTTTGCCTTTCAGTCAGACCTGTCTTCAATAGCGCCGCCTTCTCAGCCATCCAGTTCTTGGAGCAGATCTTCACTGAATATGTCAGGCCGAGGTCCTGACCCCGAGCATCTGAAGGCGGTGTGGTCGCAAACTTCCAACATGGCTGAATTGCATCCCGTGAACTCCCTTGAAGGTATCGCCGACGATCCGGTCCCTTTCACTCTTCAAGACGTCAAGTCGGAAGATGGAGCGACTCCCCCCCCAACATCATCTTCTGGGCCTTCCCGCATGTCCTTGCATGATGTTACTCGTGCCTTCCAACAAGTTCCACCGACCTCTGGCTCTACTAACCACAAGCTGACCATATCACCTCCCACTACGTCCGCACCCGTTGCACGTCCAGCTCCGAATTTCGGGTATGCGATGTCGTTGCCAACATCGAATCAAAATATGCGGGCTCCCTACCCTCCGTATGGCTCTCCGATGATGAGCCACTCACCAGCACCCGTCGTATATTCACATCCGATAACGAATAGTCCTGTTCCCAGCCGGATGCAGGTCAGCGGACAGACACCGCTGTATGGACAACCCGCTGTATGGATGCCGTTACCTGCTCCCGCAACGACCCAGGCTCACGGCGCAATGATGAGGCCCGTTCCGTCCCCTTATCCACCGCAGCTAATGGCGTATTCCCCAAGTGCTCAGCCAATGTACCTACCCGTCGTGCCGAATATGCAGAGCCCGCCTCAACAAAATTCCGCCTCCAACCGTGGGAGAAGCATGTCAATGATGATGAGCCCCGGAATCCCACACGCCTCTCCGAATATGTACGGGAGTCCGGTGATGATGGCTTCGCCTGCTCGGAATCAAATGAGAAATGACAATAGTCAAACTCATCCTCCACCGACGCATCATCCGCCAACGAGTACATATGCTCCGGTACCTTCGACTTCTTTCATGCGGCCATCCTGGTGAACTTTACTTTGATACTTTTAACATACTTGCTTCAGTGGTATATATATCATTCAATTTTATACTTTCCGATGCCTTATTTTGAACAGCACCAACAATGCTAACAAGAGTATATTAAGTTGGAAAAAATTGCATTGATAGATGTGATATTCGTAATGTGCAAAAGACAGGTAGAAGGAATCTAAACAGCAACCTTCACAGCGTACTCGGCGGCTTCGTCTAATTGGTCGAAGGCGACAATTTTGAGGCCCGAGTTCTTGATCATTCTGCAGCGGAGATAAGCTGCATGAGGCAAGTGCGATCATTTGGACGTACTCTTTGGCTTCTGTTTCCTTGGTACCTTTCAGTCTCACGACCAATGGGATTTTCATAGCAAGCTCCTTGGTGGCCTTGATAACACCCTCAGCAATGTAGTCACATCTCATGATACCTGGTAGACGTGATCAATATAACATCAACACAGTATAGGAGTGAACTACCTCCGAATATGTTAATGAATATGCTCTTCACTTTGGGATCAGCGAGTAGGAGCTCGAATGCCTTCTTCACGGTATCAGGTGTTGCTCCTCTGCAGACATTAAGATGAACACAGCTCTTGGTGACGACAACTGAGTCTTACCCTCCGACATCAAGGAAGTTGGCAGGGTTACCTCCGTGTAGAGAGAGCACATCCATGGTGGCCATTGCCAAACCAGCGCCATTGACCAAGCAGCCAATGTTTCCATCTAGCTTGATGAAGTTAAGGTTAGCCTTCTGTGCTTCGACCTCTGACGCCTCTTCTTGCGAAATGTCCCGGAGAGCAAATATGTCGCGTTGACGGAACTCGGCGTTGTCGTCAAAGCCGAATTTGGCATCCATACTGAGGGATAATTAGGACATCTGATAATGAGAAGAGATCCCGAGTATACCATAGAACTTGGCCGTCTTTGGTTAGGGCCATGGGGTTAATTTCTATCTGGGTCGCATCCTTGTCTTTGAAGATCTTGTAAAGGTTGATGAATATGCCTGCTGCTTCCTGTTGAGCTCCTTCCTTGAATCCGAGCTTCTTGGCAATTTCAAGAGCGGCTGAAGAAGTAAGACCCTCCTTGAAGGGGATAGGTGTCGTGATAATGGCAGAAGGATCTTTCGCTGCCACCTCTTCGATATTCATGCCTCCCTGCGATGACGCAACGAGGACAACACCCTGGGAGACACGGTCGTTAAGGACCGCAACATAGTACTCGTGCGCGGGATCACGGCGTTCCGCTAGCATCACCTGTCCGGGTGTAAGTGGGGATTCGACACGACGTTCCGAGACTTACAGCGTTGCAAACGCGACCACCAGCACCAGTCTGCTTTGTGATGAGCTTTGAGCCCAACATTTTCGAAGCATAGTCCTTGGCCTGTTCGGCGCTGCGCAAAGGATTAGTGTCTGGCATGAACAGTGACGAAGTAGCTCTACCTGCCAACCATGTGCACACCACCTTGAAGTCCAGTGTCGAACTTGCCCTTACCTCTACCGCCAGCCAGAACCTGGGCCTTGATGACTAGCTTGTCGGTACCTATCACGACACTGAGGATATGTCGGAAAAGGGTTAAAGGACGAAGGCTTACCAAAGTTCTTTGCCACCTCAAAGGCTTCCTCGGGGGTTTTTGCAGCGATGCTCTTGGGAGTAGGTATCCCATACTACAGTAGGGTTCGCAGAATGCAAGTGCTGAAGACATAACACGTACCGAATTGAGGAGGTTGACGGACTGGTATTCATGAATGGAAAGGAAACGCCTCTGACCTGCAGATGCAGCCTAGAAGACGTGTCAGATAGCGAGTAAAGTGAGCCAGACGACGTACGCGAGCCAAAGCGCCAGCCTTCCGGACGACGGTGAGCATTTCGGAGGATGTGGTAGACGGAAGAAAGCAGGGAACCCAGGGTAATGGAATTCCAGTTCTTGGCCGGCTTTAATTTGACAAGGCGATGTGGCTGTGCATTTTTTCCATCTTTCAGAGCAACGACGACGGGTCGAGGTCCTTCCATCCCTTCCCAGTCTCTCACCCTCCGCATGCGGGACGGGCAATGCTCTGGAAGACGGAATCCGTCTCTCCTTGAGTTCGGAATGTCTATTTTTTCATTGGGCCTTTCGAAATTTGGTAGCAGGTACAGCAATGTTTTTAGAAATTTGCGATGTATATTTTACTGTCATACCAAGTATAAGCGACATGACCTTCACTTCTCGTTATTCGACCTTTGTATGATGTCCGCTATTTTAACGCGTTCCAACATGCGACTTGAACGTTTTTTTCGGGTATAAAAATGGTACATAATGGTAAATGTGACCTTTGTCTCGTGCAAGATGGAGTCTGAATCATTACCACTCCCTACCATGTCTGTCCTCCAGGATCTCCCTGAAAATGTGGCCCAGCTCTTGTCTGTCTCGAAAATTCTGCTCTCGCAGGCCGTCGATGTCCTCGACAATCACCTCATGTCGGATGAGCAGCTGACCGTCAATTCTCAATACTTGCATGGCTCAACAATAGGCTCGTATTTTTACCAGAACTAGTCTCTGCTCATCCGTATTGATTTTACGCAGGAAAACATATTCGACACGCGAGAGATCATTTTGAGCTACTCCTCGCATGCATTGCGACACCTCCTCCATATGTCCTCTGCTATGACACAAGGAGCCGCAATACCCCCATGGAAAGCAGTCGCTCAGCAGCAAGGGAGTCTCTGCTAGAAACTATTCGTCTTCTGGAAGAAAAAGTGCCCACTGTCGATTTTCAGGCCCCAATAACGCTCAATGCCGTTACCCCACACATGCAGACCTTTGAAACGACATTCGGAAGAGAGGTAAGTGATTGGTTATATCGCCATCGCCCAACATATCTCATCCCATATATTGTAGCTATGGTTTGCAGGGCTGCACTGCATTCATCACTGGTCAGTAGTAAGTCCTTTCTGTTTTTATGTCACTGCCAAAAAGGCTCATGTTGCTTCCAGGTCAGGGTGATGGCAGGAGAGCTGGTGAGTGTCACTTTTCTGGACTCTGCAGAGACATTGACCTTCTCTCAGGGTATCAAATTATCAGATGATTTTGGCTTTGCCCCTTCGACCCTTCTTTACCAAGGCAGGTGATCCACCGTACCCGTGGGCCTCTGTTGACTGAGCTTAACAGACCGCGTGGCGCCTCTAGGCGTGGCCAAGTATTAGATTGTTTCTACACGTTTTTCTTTCGCTTTCTTGTTCTGTTGCAGCTGTATATGAGTAATAAAATTCCGGTTGTACAAGTGATTGACTTGTTGAAATTTGAGAATTGTGACAAATACCGACCCACTTGAACACGAGATCTCAAGCTTAACTGTACACTGCACTTCTTCAGTCGACTGTCACCCTCGCAACAGATCTGGGCATCTCCTGCACCTGTTTACCCTACTCTGCCGACAGCCATTGGCCCTCGATTGGCGAAACACCAAATAAGTATCCAACATGATGACCCCGTTGGACGGCGAAAACCAAAAGAAACGCGTCGTATGTCCTGAGTACTGTGTCAGCCTTCCTTTCTGATAAAGGCCTTCCTTTTTCAGTGCTATTTCTTCGATTCTGATATCGGAGGATTCCATTATGGCCCAGGACATCCGTGAGTGTCTAACCTGAAGAAAACCGATCTCTATCTACACAATATGTCAAGGATGAAGCCGACCAGGATACGAATGTGTCATTCACTTGTCATGAATTATGGACTATATAAGAAAATGGAGATTTTCGTGCGCTATCATGTTGTTTCTCTGCTGCGTCAGTGCTGATTTCTCGACCTCTTCTCTCCAGCGCGCCAAACCCGCTACAAAACGTGAAATGACACAGTTTCACTCGGACGAATACGTCGATTTTCTTAATCGAATATCTCCCAGCAATATGAACTCGTTTATAAAAGAGCAGCATAAATGTTCGTGTTGTTTCTATGCTCATGTCATCTACTATTGCCTGAGTTTGTGTTACACAGACAATGTCGGAGAGGACTGTCCAGTATTTGATGGGTTGTTCGATTACTGTTCAATATCAGCAGGAGGATCTATGGGTTGGTCGCCTTCATTACTGGACCGGGTTCCAGCTGTCTAATGTTCGGCTTGATTTTTCATAGAGGGTGCTGCCCGGCTTAGTCGAGACAAGTGCGATATCGCCGTGAATTGGGCTGGAGGGTTGCATCACGCTAAGAAGAGTGAGGCCAGCGGATTCTGTTACGTGAATGGCAAGTCCTACACTCGCAACTCCTACCGTGACTGACTCTTTCCAGATATCGTGCTGGGTATATTGGAACTATTGAGGCATGCCTTTTTTGTTTCGAAATCACCATCAGCAGCTGAAGCCTACACAAAGGTACCACAATCGAGTCTTGTATATTGATATTGATGCACATCACGGCGACGGTGTGGAAGAAGCATTCTACACTACCGACCGTGTCATGACTTGCAGTTTCCATAAATATGGCGAATTCTTTCCCGGGACAGGTGAATTAAGGGTACGTGTAATACTGTGTCGCGTAAAAAGATCTTTCCTCAACGCGTCCACAGGACATTGGTGTTATGAAGGGCAAATATTATGCTCTCAATTTCCCTCTCCGAGACGGGGTTTCGGATGAGAACTACAAGTCTGTCTTCGAACCTGTAAGTTCTCCTCTAATCATGCGACGCCGGAGTCTCATAGCACGCGTCTAGGTCATAAGACAGGTTATGGAGTCATACAATCCTTCCGCAATAGTGCTGCAGTGTGGTACCGACTCCCTTGCAGGAGACAAACTTGGATGCCTCAATCTCTCTATGCGAGGTCACGCCAACTGCGTAAAATTTGTGAAGTCCTTCAACAAGCCTCTGCTGCTCCTCGGGGGAGGGGGATACACCATGCGCAATGTTAGTCGTGCATGGGCTTACGAAACGGGATTGGCAGCGGGTGTTGAATTAGGACCAGGTGCGTTCGATATCTACCATACAGCTATAAGATGTTGAAACAATTCAAGATATACCTGTTAATGAGTACTACGAATATTTTGGACCAGACTATCAGCTCGATGTCAAGTCATCAAATGCAGACGACCTCAACACCCGTGCATACCTGGACCGTGTCAAACGGATAGTCATGGAAAACCTCAGACATACCGGTGGGCCGCCAAGTGTCCAAATGCAAGGTATAGCTCTTCTGGTTTTCAAGATTGCTGCGCGGAGACCTTATCATGCCTTGCAACAGATATCCCGATGTTACCAATAGATATCGAGATGGATGACTTGAACCGAGATGACGATCTCATCCCGACGGATATACGCCGACCTCAGAGACTGTTAGATGCCCGACGGCAAGCTGACGGTGAGCTGTCGGACTCTGACGATGAAGGAGAGGGTGGCCGAAGGAATCATGCGAGCCATAGAGAGCACAGAAGTAGATCGAGAGAACGAAGTAGCTCGGTGGGGAGAAAGTTCGGAATGCCGAGTGTAGGAATATTAGCTGCGGGCCCGACCGCTGCACACGCCGGTCCGAGTGGACAGACCACTATCGCCAGATTTTTGGCCAGCTCGACGAAAATGGAGGTTGATACGCCTACCTCGGATACAACATCAAATGGTGACAACGAAAATGGAGATAATTCAACAATTCCAATCGAGCAGATGCCTGACGATGCTATGGTAGTTGTGACAGAAGGATAATTTTCTTGTATGTTTATGGACATGTGCTAATGTGTATGTATCTTATAAGCTACCATTACTTAATTTGCTGTCGAAAGTCTTGTGAGTGAGCAAGGCTGTCTAAAAATGCGTTACGCGTGACTGATCGACGTCAAATGAGAATCAATCGGCCCGATGATGAGTTCAACTGTGTTTGCCTTCGCCCATCATGGCTGACAGACTAGTGACTTCTCCACCGAAAGCTATGCCGACACCACTTACTCCCGAGCAAATTCGACAGTTTGAACTCAATCGTCTGAAAGGTATACTGTATGTTCTCAAAGGTTGATTGTCTGCTTGTCCTAATATGCATAATCTGCAGCGAAGCAGAAGCAACGCCAACGTGAAGAGGAAATATCCACCTCGTCGGCACTCAACAGCAATAAAAAGCGGCCTATAGGAGTAATACCTTTCACTTCAAACTCGCGTAACAGTGCAGGATCTTCGGCTCGGCCATTGCAGCGCGACTCGCGGCTTGGCACATACTTTGAATATGACTTATCAAAAATGGTAAACTCAAAAGGCGGCTTCCTTGTCGAAGACGATAAAGATGCCGACAAGGAGGTCAGGCGAAAGGAGAAGGAACGGGAAAGGCAGAGGGCAAGACAGAACCAGGAGCCGGGTGCGCTTAGGCACTCTTCTTTCCAACAGAATCTGATTCGAGTCCAGCTATCTCACTAAATCCCGACTTGAACCCAAAATGCTGCGAATGTCAAACCATAGATATCGACCATACATATAAGAAAATTTTCAAATGCTTAGTATGCAAACGATGCCAAGACGAAAAGCCGGAGAAATACAGTCTTCTCACCAAGACAGAATGTAAAGAGGTGAAGTGGCTTGCGACATTATTATTGCCTGATTCTTGACCATCCCCTGTAGGATTATCTGCTGACAGACGGTACTTGTGTCGAAACCCAGCGTTGAATGGCCTTCTTACAGTCTTTTAGCTGAACTACGCGACCAAGAACTTCTACCGCACTTGCTCAAGGCGAACCCTCACAAAGCTACGTTTGCTAATATGATGCTATTCCTCCGTTGCCAGGTCGAAGATTTCACATGGAAGAAATGGGGGTCTCCGGAAGAATTAGACGCGGAATACGAACGACGAGTGGCCGAAAAGAAGAGAAAGAAAAATAAGAAGTTCGAGCAGGGACTGAGGGATCTTCGCAGAAGAACAAAGGAAGGGATATGGCAGAGAAGAAAGGACGAAGAGCATGTGCATGAATATGGGCCAGCAGAGCGAGGAGCTGATGGGATTACAAGACAGACGTGTGATGAATGTGGATTTGTGTACGAATTTGAAGAACTGTGAATATTGGATCCGGCACCGGTTAACTCATTGGCGGTATTTTGACGGCGGTACCGGGTTTCGTACATGTCGAGATAAATAAATTAAGTATGAGCTTGTAAACAATTTTTTCCCTTCCTTCCGCCGACATGGACGATTCGTCTCTCAATGACCAAGCAGAGCACGAGCAAATATCTACTGCGCTCGAGGTAGAACGGCTCGAGGTGAACCTTTTTCGCTCTAAATCCCTTTGGATGCCCACCCGTGCTCGCGGTGTCTTTGGAGGGTACGACTGGCGGGTCAGACGATTTGACACGTATTTACTTTTCTGGTGGCTGTTTTCTACAGACAGGTGATCAGTCAGGCTCTAGTTTCTGCTACAAACTGCGTAAATCCAGCATACGGCTTGCATGTATGTCATATTGTCACCATGCCGAACCTACGCTAACGTCGATTATCCAAGTCTTTACATGTAAGCTATTCTCACATATGTCTCCTTAAACCTGCTTATTTATTGATCTCAGTGTTATTTTCTCACAAGCGCATCTCCTGCCACACCAATCGTTTACTATGTCGAGCGCCTCCGTCAAGGACGGTCTTACGCCTCTCTATGCGTCAAAGCCGTGCAGAATGGATCCATGATATTCATTTTGATGTGCTCGTTTCAAAAGCCTGAACCTTGGCAGCCATCGCACCAGTGGTCCATGCCTGACGTTCCAACCCCAGAGGAATGCGACTTGGAAGAAGACCATATGCTCAGGGATAGCAATGGAGACAACATGACTGCAAGAATTAAGCATATCCTCAAACTATATGCGGATGTATGATTTTGATTGTGATATCCTCTTCTGAACTAATGCAGTTTCATGTGAACAGGAGAGGACAAAAAGTCCTATTGCTATCAAACGGGCGAAGGAACATGAAATAACTGCAGAAGGCAGTACTAGGTATATGTATTGGATGAAAGCAAAGAATATTCCACAGTATGAGGCGCATTTTCAAAAGGTACATGGTGCAATTCAACGTACAAGGTAGCCTTTCCTAATCGTTGACTCAGTGTATCCTCGCATATCTATCGGATCTGTACTTGTAAGTTCTTGGGAAGTTCTTTTGGTTCCAATGCTCTGACATGACAGTCTTATCGTGAATCAAGCATCAGCGTCGCGGGTAGAATTTTAGGTCTAGCACGCTATTCAAAAGGTCCTGATGCATTGGCTATGTCTGTGAGTTCAGGATCCAATGAATGAAACCATCACCCATAAATTCTGTCCCAGTCCACAATCGACCATGCTATCTACTTTTACGAGTAAGTCCGTGTTTGACCCATTTAGAGCCAGTGTTCATCCTTCCTCCCTTGTCAACAGCGATACCGTTGACTGCGGTGATTGGCTGCTATACACAGTGAGTCCATTTCTTCTACAAGGAACTGAGATGTGTGATGCCGATTGCTTAGATGGAATGTCCAAGGGCTTCCTCAGGCCGCGGCGTCATGAGAGGACAGGTAAGCCAACCGCGCTTAACCGTCAGGCTTGTCTGACATTATACCCGAGATATTTACCCGCCGTGGAACCCTAGTTGCTGTTACAACGCAAGAAGGCGTCGTCCGAGCAAATATACGCGGGCCTGCCGAACAAGTGAAGGTTCCTACCAAGCTATAGACACATTTTTTTCCACATTGTGTATCTCATTAGAATCATTCAATCAACTACAGCCGACCTGTCTCCATTTCATACCAGTCCGGCGTCGACTAGTCGCTGCTTCTCCTCCTCCAAAGCTTTTGCATGAGAAGCAATTCTTTTTGGCACAACTCGGCGCCTCTCCGTCGTGGGAGTGAACACAGCCGACTCCACACCAAGAGCCTTCAGCGTCTTTCGCTCAACCAAACTATAATCGTCAGCAATCACCCTACTGTAACTGAATGGTTCCTTCAGCGATGCTGGTGGATTGATGATAACCCTAGGCACTCGTAACGGATTCTTCGAGGCGGAATGTAACATGAAGGGATGGAGTAGGGCGACATCGCCAACCTTGCCAGTTAACTCGACGAATTGAGAACAGTCCTTGATCTCCGCGAGGAAAGAGAAATAGCCAGGGTCGTCCCTGACATTGGTCTTCTTCGATGTCGACGGTGTGAATGACAGACCTGTGGGCAAGACTCCTTCGGGATGATCCCAAAGATACCTGGCGATACAGCCTATACTATCAGGTGAGATCATTGTTCCTCCGCCGCCGGATTCAATGTCAGAGAATATAGGAATGACAACCAAAGCTTGTTCGGGCGAGTCAAAATAGTGGACCTAGTGGACCTGATATGAGCCGTCGGCGCTCGCGGTGTCGAGAGGCTCAAAAACTACTTACGAAAAAGTCCCCATCGACATGCCAATTATCGAGATCTTGAGGATCGATATGGGTACCATCGCGAGTGCCGAGGTTAATAATGAAACCATCTCCCCATGTAGATGCTTCTAGATCGATACGATCTTCACCTCCTAGCAAATCCACCATGGCGTTCATAACCTAATGGCCAATCAGTGATATGGATAGACGAAAAGACCATTTTGACCTTGGGGGAAAAAGTGGTCACTTCCTCTCTTTTATGAACAGGCATGTGGATGCGTTCACGATCCCACGTCGATTTATCGTCAGGATCCAAACCAAGCCGGACCCAGAGGCCCTTGGTCCATTCGGCAGCCTTTTCCTTAGTGAAAGCATCCTTGATAACGATATAGCCGTACTCCAGAAAGTGGTCGACTTGTTCTTCTATTTCTAGATCAGACGGTGGTTCACACTGGTTATAGCAACGCACTGCTGAGATAACTGTATGAAGGCATTCTTGTGTACGGAGAAACAAAGACGACAGAAAGCGAAGGAGGAAACAGCTGAGCAAGCAGTCATCTGCCTTGGCAATGATATGGTTCTTTTGATAGGTTAAAATTAGGGAGATCAATTATTACATTTCCTACTTTACAAAGTCCTTAAGGCGCGCAATAACAGTCTGCTTGAGCTGGTTATCATAAGTAATTGAAGGGATTCGCTCTGAATGAATTGAGCTTACCGGTGGGCTCACGCCGTTGCTTTCAAAGTAATGCAGGATGAATTCTGGTGCAAGCCAATCGCTTTCAAGACCACCCAAATCGCGGAAAATCAAGGCGCGATGACGTCCTGGAACTGGCGCAGCAAGGAAGATATCAAGGGGTGTATGCTTCTTCAACGGTGAATTGGGAAACAGAGACTTTAGTTTTCTCAAAGGCGGCCCCACTTGGACTGCTTCCTCTTCAGAAAGCGTGCCATTCTTGCGCCCCAAGACCATGCGCTCTCCGGTAGCTCTCACGAAGGCGTCCCGGAGGTGCGTGAAGGACGTGTTTCGAGTCGGCACTACGACGTTTATTCAGTCGGGGAAAAATAAGAGAGAAGGATAAATACCGATTCGAATCACGCATGCGCATGTTCTAACGATGAGATCTATCTTCTCATCCGGAGTCATAGAATCGGTTATCTAGGCGACGTCGATTTAATTCACGTCCAAACGAAGGATGAAATAAAATGACCTTTAGTTCTGGGTTGTTCAGGTCTGCATAGAAAGCTACAGAATATACTTTTATACCCAGGAAAGACACCGTTCGAACGCCAACGCCGACCAAGGACAACAGAGGCGTCTTGACTTTGGTAGTCACACGCAGAGTAGTCGGAAACTCAATGCCAGTAGCGGGGTCCCCTGCGACGAATGTAAGCCTTAAGAAACTGAAGAGAGAAGGATGCCTGCACACTGATCGTCTCTTGGTCGATAGCTAATACTTGAGTCTCTGCGTCCAGGTGGATGGTTGACCCGAAGAAAAGAGAGCCTCCCAGCAAGGCTGTGCCTGCATAGAGGAATGTTTTCAGTTGTCGGGAACGGAGTGCATTGTTGGTACGACGGATGGCGGTAGAAAAATAGCGTGTGCTGGTGGCAAGGGCAAGAGGACGAAGTAGAGACATGACAGGCTGGAACCCGGCAAAGTCCGAACACAACTTGACCAGCAGCAATGCTTTCCCGAGTCGCGGTGCGTTCACGCCAGGCCCTCAGAGCCGTCGCATTAAGGCCTGCCTATCCCTATCCTCCCCGCTACATCCAGTCGTCATCGTCCTCGAGAGGTCCGTATCGTTCTCGCCGCCCTTCTCGTCGTCGCTAACGTCCTCTACAGCATCCGCTGTACCCTTCACTGAACCTACCTCCCCAAATCCCGCCATCACTAAATACGCTCAAACCGCCGAGGCTCTACATACATATGGCTCTTACCTCACCCAATGTCTACCCAAGTTCATCCAGCAGTTCTCAGTGCTCAACGACGAGTTGACGTTGTACACCGCGCCTTCCGGCGTCATTCCCGTTCTGACCTTCCTCCGCGACCATGCCCAGTGCCAGTTCAAGAGCGTCATGGATATCAGTGGTGCCGATTATCCTGAACGGGAAAAGAGATTCGAAGTCGTCTACCACCTTCTCAGTGTTGCGCAGGCTGGTAGAATCAGGGTCAAGACGTACGCCGGAGAAGGAGACTACGTACCTAGTGCTGTGAAAATCTTCCGGGGCGCTGACTGGTGCGTCTACGACTTGACGCTGTGATGTTCAACCATTCATTATCCTTTCGACAGGTATGAGCGTGAAGCTTGGGATCTTTTTGGAATATTCTTTAGCGACCATCCTGATCTGTACGTGGTCTGTTCTATGACTTCTTTCATGATCACTGACTCATTCTTCCAGTCGCCGTATTCTCACTGACTATGGTATGCCCGTGAATCTGGCTACCTGAGTATATCTGCTAACAGGAATGCAGGATTTGAAGGCCACCCTCTACGCAAAGACTTCCCGCTAACTGTGAGAGTTTGTTAATTACTGGCGTGTCTTGTGTTTACTTTGCGTCAGGGCTACACTGAGCTTCGATATGATGAAGAACGTAAACGCGTTGTCTATGAGCCCCTTCAACTTACTCAGGCTTTCCGGTATGTCATAATGTCCTTCACGTTTATCAGTACTAAATGTTTGAATAAGAAACTTCGAATCACTTTCTCCTTGGGAGCAAGTCGGTGATGGAACCAAAGCACCCAGGCCTGATAATCTGAAGCCGTTGCCCCCGCCGAAAGTAGAGGAAGTGAAGTAGGTTCCAGTACGCGATGTAGAACTCTACGTATAAAATACTATTCCTTATTCCAAATCGTAAGAGGCTCGGATACAATTACACTGATAAGAGAATTCTAGCAAGCTTCAACATCATACAAATAGTCAGGATTCCTCGTTATTTGTATTCTCCTCCGCTATGCCATCCTTTGACTCTGTCTTATCAGCACCCTTCGAAGTTTCATCCTTCTTACTGCCCAAAGCTGCCCAACCCATTCTAGCCACCACATATTCTTGACCAACAACCTCGACGCCAATTCGCAGTGATTCCGCGACCAAGTCCTCAACCCACTCGTACTCATCCCAGAGGGTAAGCCATGCGCCCGGGACGCTCTGTGTTATGGTGGTATGTACCAAATTGAGAGCTGGGTCAGAGAAATAGAGCAAAAACTGTAGATGTTGCTGGGTAGAAGGTTCCGCAGGTGAGGATGCGGAAGGCGCATCAGACTTTGGTTTGGAAGGAACAGGGTACGAAGTGAGGAACGGTTGCACGCGAAGGTACACATATGAATAGGATACGGGAGTCTGTGCAGACGGCTGTGACTTGGGTTTTTGCGCGTCTTTCATCTTGATCATCTCATCGAGGTTTGCCTATGCACGTAATGAGAAGATCGCTGATGTACGTGCAAGTTGAGACTGTACCTGTGCAAGTTTCACTGCAGCGTCATATCCTTCTACGGCGTTAAGCTCTCGGCCTTCCACAGTGCCATCTTTAGGTCGGGATTCATTTCCTTTATTAACAATGAGATCCCCGCCCTCCACTTGCTCCATAATCTGTTACCGTGGAAAGCGATGTTAGTGACCACTATCTCGTCGCGGAGAACGAAGACCCACTCTGGCAAGAGAACGGTACACAAGCGACTCAACTCCATCGTAGCCTGTCATGTCATGGCTCAACCATACTTGTATTATCTCATGTTCAGAGATGGGAGGGGCCACAGCATTCAGAATATCCGTGAGGGTCGACAAGCCTACACGTTTGAAATCCTGGCCTAATGATGTATTAGTATGTATCGATAGTGCTCAGGAGGAAAGCAGTCACCGAGCTTGTCCAGCTGAGCACTCTTCGCATATTCGAGCATATCCTCTCCCCATTTCTTGGCCAGCTCATTATTGGGTAGATGCTTGACCTGCTCATCGACTGCCGTCTTGGCATGCTGAATTGCAGCCGAAGCGCTGGTCCACATCGAGCCCCAGCCCCATCCACCGGTTGAAGAAGGCGTCTCTTGAGCCTGTGACCTGGCTGCAGGCGGCGTAGAGGGTTTGGAAGCAGGTGCTGGAGAAGGAGAAGTCGCGTTTGCAGACAGCCCTGAACTCCCAAGACGAACTCTTTCGGTACTCTTCCTGAGAGTCGGAGTCGCAGAACGAGATGATGGACGCTCTAGATGCGCTGTCGTCGAGCGTGTCGGCTCTGAACTCTTCTGTGTGATTTCGTCCAGGAATGCGAGGACCTCGGCTTCGCCTTCATTGGCACTGGGCGGTGGTGCGCCAGGCGACGCCGTACCCGCCGACGATACCTCTGGAAGAGGCGTGAAGGAATCGAGGTCGTCGAGGAGCTGGAGGGCCTCTTCCTGTTTCGATTTAGACTTGGCCATGGAGACGAGTAAGTAATGGCTGCCTGGATAGAGGTATGAAAGGGCAAGACGCGTATTACGTACACGCATCAATTGTTCTTGTCTTCTTACGACTTGTTCACTATGGGCAAATCCAAGAAAAAGATACTCAAGGAAGCAGAAGAAGAAGTTTTTCACGTTGGTATGCTCGTCTGCTCGTCGATTCCTTACGTGTAGAGTGCTACTCACGAATACTACAGAATGCATCCTGGCTGCAAGAGTAAACGATTCCGCCAATTGGGTGTGTTTCGTCATGTCTTAGCTTCTTTGCGTACTTATCTGAGGTTTATATATGCAAAGGAATATCTCATCAAAGTGAATTATATATGTCTTGCTTGCCCAGAGTCATTGCTTACGTTTAATTACAGTGGGGAGGCTATGGCGATGACGAGAATTCGTTAGAACCATCCTTGCGCAATCACTGAATGCTACTGACATTTTCCTAGGTGGGAGCCCGCCAGCGGTGTTGCAAACTGCCAGGAACTACTGCAAAGATTCTGGCAGCATGTCGGCACCGATAACGAGGACTATCAATCCGGTTATGAAACCCATGCAAAGGAGAGCTGGATAAGTACGTCACTCTTTCCTTCTAAAGCCACAGTTTTGAACTTCTCCCTTTTGAAGGACTAGAAAAGGCCCGGTTCAAGAAGAGATTTGGCAAGGAAGTCGAGAGACCGCAATCGCTTGACAAAGAGAGCGAGGATGCTTATTTACCCAAAACCAAATTCGTCAGTTGGTTCCAACGTTTGCATAGATAACAGCTAACATCTTCTTCAGGAGCGTAAAAAAACTTCACAGAAGAATTCCTCCTCTTTCAAAGGGAGGGCTAAACAGAAGGCAGTACGTTGTGAAACTATTGACCACTGCCACATTCTCAGGTGTTTTTTTCTTCGGTAGAGGATCCCGATGAGCGATTCGTCGGAAGATGATACACCGCTCAGTAGTGTGTCTAAAATCCAGACGACGGGAACGAAGCGAAAGAGGAGTGAATCTACTGTACTATCCTCTGACTCCGATGTATGCAACCTGCTTTATTTGCTGATGCAGATCTTAATCGTTCTTAATTCTAGCAACCTCTCTTCAAGGAAACAGCCAGTTCTCAGCCTGAGAAAGACATCAAGGTACTGTTACAAGTCCTCGGAGTCGCATTGGTTTATGGATCTATTCTAGGGGAAAGGCAAACAGAGAGAGCTTTCTACCGCCCCCGATGAAAACAATGCCGCATCACTATTTTCGGATCGAGAGCTGTCTTCCGACATTGTCCCGGAAGCCACGGTCAGGACAGATACATCGTCAAAACCTGATTTACATTTCCAGGCGGCGTTTAACTCAAAAGAACCTGATCTGGCGCCTCCTTCTACATCTGATCCTGCCCCGCCCCAAAGTGCTGTCAGTCAAGTTGCCTCTCAACACACACCCAACGTCCCTCAAATACCTACGCCAACAACTGCACAAGCCTCGACGCCAACTGTTCCCCAAAAAAAGACGTCCATCCCACCCTACAAAGCTCCACCACGGATCCAGATGATTGATATCCCTGCAGGCCGCGATGCTTTCGGTGGGATCTCAGTGAAGCAGCGCTTAGCTCAGAGTGCCCTGGCGCCTACAAATCATCAGGCTAGCACGAAACCTCCTCTTCCTTTAAGGAAGGATTCTGCCTTAAGCAAGCTTAGTTTCACCAAACGCACTGCTGCCCCACCTGCGCCGGCAAATCAATATACAGCTACTTCCCCGAAACCAGGTGTCCTAGTACCGAAGGACAACCATCCCCCCATACGATCGAGTATCTCACACTCACCACGCGTCACCTTTAGCGCGTAGGTGCCTTCTTCCTCTTCGCTATATAAAGCTTATGGTATTTACTACAGCTCTCCCTCTGATCAGTTTATGCATGAGGCTGAAGAATTTCTGCAGGATATCATGCCTCCCGAGTAAGCCATCTATACTACCCAGATGTCGTCAGAACTCATATCTAGGATAAAGGCTTGCAGCGCCTCTTGAACCTACAGCTGACAAACCCAGGGAACCTTTCGTACCTCCAAAATCAATTGTGAAACAAATACCTACGAAGTATATTTGATATTTGTATCGCATTAAATCCTGTGATTAATTCCTATATATGACAGAATACCGAAAATATGGAAGTGGGAAGGCGATATGTTCTGCTTACAGGGCAACAAGGAAAGAGTGGCTTATGGTCGAGTTTCTCTCATTGATGCAACTCCCGTTGCCAACAATGGGATGCCACTCAGCGTTGCATTCTCCGCTACAGTCACTTCCTTAGAGTTTGGCTCGATGTATCATTCAGTGGATGTGTCACATTGTCTTTCGTCTTGGATGCCAGTTTCTCAGTTTGCACGGCTAGTTCCCCTGGAAGACATTGGGCGTACTCGTCTAAAGATTCTTTCCAAGTATATGGAGAAGCATGAGCTTGTGTGTCATTTGCTGCAGTTTTGTAGCTTTTACTCATTTCCCCTTCAGGTCGGAATTTCGCCAACGAAGCCCTCTTTCGAGGAAACCGTGGAGTCCCATGTTCTTTACTTCCCTGCTTCGTCGCAGATTGTCAAGCACTTCTCTGGCATTCCCATAATCAAGAACGTCGAGACCCTGTTCTTTGTGGCCATTCTAGCGAGGCGTATTCGGGACAAGCCATCTATACCCGTATTGTCTTTGAGCGAGTGGAACGGCTTCAAGGACCAGTCCAAATACATAAAAAATGCAGAATTTCAGCATGCTCTACGCATACTCAAATATCCTCCGTGGCTCCACGATTTCCTATCGCAAAAACGACGCGATTATTGCGTCTGGTATGAAGATGTCAAACAGGACATGCGCGGGAAACAGAAACCCTTTGATTTGAAGGGTGGGAACTTGGAGACTTATTGGCTTGCGACAATCCTGGAGCAATATAGAGGCACAAATAAGGGGTACAAGGCTGACGTTGAGGTTATTTTTGTGCATGTCGGGGCTGTAAAAACGCTTCACAAACTTACAGCTTTGGTGGAACGGCGGGCCAAGAGGCCTGACATCCTCTTCGTTACGTTTGGAACGCATCAGAGAGTACATCCGGAGCGATGGGGATTCCGACGTATATATCCGATAGGTGAGTCATTTCTTGATCGCCTCGCACCCGGCAGTTCTGACCATTCTACAGGAGGTATAGTGACATTCACAGCAAAGGCTCTGGTCGAAGACCCCTTGGGTATCGATCAGCGAGTCTGTGAAATATCGGAAAATGACAACTGGGAGGCATATGTCATACCTGCTGCCCTCGGGATGGCAGTGCACTTGCACTACAAGAACGAGGATGCGTTGGAGGCCTTTGATAAGTGGGACACACTTCTTAGGACGTTGCATTGTCATTGACGGCATTTCAGAGGCGAGTTTCTGTACGATTTCCTTCTGACGGCCATCGACGAAGGGATGATTTCGTTCATGTGTTCACCCCCCATAAATTCCCATCCTGTGTGCCCAACTGAGCCGTTTACAGCAAAGCCTTTTTCTGAGCGCCGTTTCGAGGAGCCTGTCCATGACTGGCTTCTAGACCAAGCTCTCATCATTTCGGCCGGGCCCCGAGAGATCTTGGAATATTCCATCCGGGAATTCAGAACGAAATATGCCAACCAGTCGGAAGACCTGTACCCATCGCTGATACAAACAGACCTCAGTCACGACCTTCGGCTCATGCAGCAGCAACCTGTCATTATGGATCGATATCGTCGTTTTGTAGCATTAAAAGGCGAGCTCGAAAAGCCTTCAGAACGGAATGGAGTAAGCATTCCGTGTCGGACTTGATGATGCCGATTTCTTATTGTTCGCTCTAGGTTGAATGGTCGACGACGTCCACCTTTGATTGTAAAGATTGTTTTTTCAAGTACATGCAGCGTAATGCAGCCCCCCATGAATCCCAAAGCGAACTGTAGATACGCAGAGTTGAATAAAATGTTGTATATTAATTTAAATAAGTGTTGTGCTTGGAAATCACATGCAAGCCACTGAGCTGATCCCGGAGAACCGAAGCCCAGTATAATAACTCTGTCGCGTTGTCTCTTTCACCAGTCTTTCCTTTACGACCATCATGGAGTCCATCGAGGCTATCATCAACAATCCAGCCTACCACGACTATCTCGCCATTGTCAAAGGTGCTCGCAATGGATTCGTGTACGGCGTCAAGGTCAGGTTCCCGCATGCCCTTGTCATGTCTATTCTCTTTGGCAGAGGAGAGTAAGTGCCCTACTCTACTTTTCACCCGAGTTTTCTTTCTTACGGGGTGTACAGCTGGCAAACGCGGGCCCGTAGCATCTACAGGGCAACAAAACAGCATGCGCTTAACCTAGCCAAATTTGTCTCTATTTACAAGGCCCTTCTTCTGCTCCAGCGCAAGGCGAACGGTGGGAAGGAAAGGAACGCGGATGCTTTCATTGCAGGTTTGCTGGGTGGCTACATCGTGTTTGGCAACCGAACAGCTGTCAACGAGCAGGTATGTGATGCATTTTGTGCCGACTATTGTCATCTGAATCCTTATCCTCTAGATTGTGCTTTACGTTGTATCGCGTGTTGTCTCATCTTTCATTCCGCGGGCAGCTGCCCCGTACTCGTCACCGCCGGGCTCAGTATCCGGAGCTGCAGTCGTGAGGCCCATGCCGCCCGATTCTCGGTACTTTACTGTTTTCGCCGCTCTTTCATGGGGTGCAGTAATGTGGCTATTCAACCATCGCGGCCAATCGATACAGCCAGGGATGTTCAATTCCATGACATACTTGTACCGGGACTCAGAGAAGTGGAAGAATTTGAAGACATTACTTTGGCACAACACCTAGACTATACTTATTCATTCATGGTAATTAGAGATCATATATCCCATCGACTAGAAGGTCACCATCTGTCATTTCCCTGAGCTGATCCACACGTCGAATGACCCTTCTACATTTGTACTAGAGAGAGATAAATCAGTAATTGAGATTCTAGGTTCGAATGCGAGTCTTACGCCGAGCATGTCAACCGCGGCAGAACAAGCCTTATGGCAGGTTTTGCAATCTGTAAACAACGGCCGTACAATATCCATCTCACCGGCAACGTCTGTATCTGAAGTGGGCGAAAGTAATTAAGTTTCGGGAGAGTACCACAGCGCCTAGAACTGACTTGATTGAATTCTGCCCAAAAGATATGTCCTTCTAGCCTCCCAAAGTGACGTTGTCTGTCGCTGATGGGATGTACAGAGTCCGTATCCTGCCCATGGTCGGAGCATTAACACTACATTGTGCCAAGCTAATGGAAACGCACCGTGAGGAAATATTTCTTCCCCGGAAAGAATTCGGCGCAGCGCCTGGACCCGGATGTTCTGCAGGACGAGGACTCTGTGATACGCAGCCACTGTTGGGATGACTGCGACTTGGGAAGCGCCATAGGACGCCATGGGATCAAGGTACTGGCTTGCCATCGAGGCCACGGTTCCTAGGTTGAAGGCAACGGCATAGCCATACACACGAAGGGAATCTGTTGGCGCATGTGCTGACAGATGGATGCTCAGTGTTTCGGTGATAGATTCGATACAATATTTGTCTGCAAGGGTAAGTAACAGCGGTATAACGGGCAACGGTATGACTGTTCCGGGAATGTACTGCGGCTGGAACAGATGGTTGGACTGAGCGCTGTTGTTGTCGCGATAATGGATTGCATGGCTGTGAACTTGGACGGGGAGCCCGGGCGGATTATGCAGTACATTCAAGAGAACCGTCAGGTTACTGGCACGCTCGTCGAGCCTGATTATTTCGTTGACGCAAGTTGTTCGGCTGTCGCAGCAGCTGAACATATCACCTAAAATACAAATGTTACACAGTGAAGACATAAAGGCATCAAAAACATACGGAATACTTGGCTATTTTCAATCGCTCTTCGGCTGGCAGGGAATACTTGGTTGTCAGGTATAGACGAAATAATAATGTCCGGTTCCAGACATTCAAAGGCGGTCAAAACCATCGACATCTGATCCAGCTACAGGATAAATCCAGCATTATATGGCGACGGCTGTGACAGCGTGGCACGGACGTGTCCTTTCTGCACGCGCCATCGTGATTTACGTGGATGTAAATGAACGATATGCAGCAGGCCTCCGTCAGATATACATGTACTAGAATTCGTGATAAATGCATGTTCCAACACCAAGTGAAAAAAAAAAAACCAGTCAAAGGAGGGAGTGTAACCGCAACGAAGGAGAAAGGTCATAGTGGTATCATCAAAGCAGGTAAAGAAGGATCTAAGCAACCAATATCCCAGCGAGCGCCCCTACACGATAATACACCTCGTCGATTTCTTCTCTTTCTGTTTCGGCGGTGCGCCACTTCCGCTCACTGGACCTGCTTCTAGACTTCGCGTTTGTCGCAGCGCTCGCACGAGATTCATGAATAAGCGCTCGACATTTTGTGCCGTTTTCGCCGACGTTTCGATAAATTCGCAGCCAAACTGACGCGCGAGTGCGGCACCTTCCTCCTTCGAAACTTCCCGTTCGTAAGTTTTGTCGCATTTATTGCCGACTAGCATAAAGATGGGATCTCCCCTTTTCACCCGCCGCATCGACTGACGGAAAACCTCAAGACGATCGAACGTTGAGCGAGATGCGATTGAATACACAAGGATAAAGCCTTGACCCTCCCTAGCGAGACAGAGACGATGGATAAAGGAGCCGGCTGGAAGAGACTGGAAGAGACTGACCGAACCCATTGATCTCGTAGTGTAGCATACTCCTCTACCCTCGACGTCAGATCCTGGTAGTCGGAACGAAGGAGTACAGACTCACCCTGGCCCGCAGTGTCAATTACTTCTACAAAACACATACGATTGTCCACTATCAGTTGCTTCCGGTAAGCATCTTCTATCGTTGGGTCATATGTCTGGAAAAATGAAGTGAACACAGCAGTACGTCAGGGTCGGTGACCATGAGACACACCTCTATAGAGGCAGGCGCGAAACTTGCGTGAATTGAGAGATACGAGGCGACGGGTGATTGACGCACCAACAAAACAGTTTAATGTGAACTTGAAGAAATGAGAATTAAGATCAGATATAGGCTGGAGCACGAGCTATGAATGCGCACCTGGACAGCAAGAGCTGTTTTGCCCACACCACCATCACCAAGAACAGCTACTCTCCAGTTGTCCATTTCTGAAGAAGATATTGAATATATGAATCAATGGAGTGTCGCAGGAAGGGGCACCTCAGAAAGGTCGGAGTAAGCGCAAATGAAAGTGTCGAATAAATTGAGAAGAGTCGGGCAGAAAGTGAGATAGGAGAGCGTGAAAGATGAAGAGAGACGAGGAATGCAGCAGCAAAAGAAAAGAGGCAAGATGGAGAGGGAAGTCGTTCAGAATCGTGTTTCGTGGGTGTGTCGTAAAGAAAGGCGGAGAGGATAGGATAGCCTTAGGGAAACGGCAAGCGACTCAAATTGGACCAATTCGTCCTACAGATTACCTACAGACTCCTACCTTTCTCCTTTTTAAGGTAATTTCCCATTTTAGGGTAGTTTTCTCCCCATTGTTTCCTCCCTTTTTTTCCTCATTTACTCCTCCATAACCGGCATATGGGCTCCGGATTCACGGGTACTGGTCAGTTCACCGCGTCGGCCATCTCCGTTCATCACCTACCCCCGTCCACAAATGTCAGTTCTTCATACCCTGCATGATATATCATGTCAAGAGATGCCTTGCGAATCGATGTAGCCATCCCTCACCTCTGCCATGTTTCGGCCCAGCGTGCTGTCCAATTAAAACTGTTTTGTGGCATTACTGCATGCCCTCTCGGCTACAACCGTCCCAAGCAGAATCCTGGCGTGTACGACATACGACATACACAGCACAGGAGAGCTACCCGTTCACAGGCGGCTGTCGGCTCTCCCATTCCAATCGGAACCAACCCCATTCCGATTTCCAGGACAAGATATTCGAAAGATCATTCTGACCCATTTCCACTCTTAAGGCTTCTTGCGGAGCCGAGAGATGGCTATAGACTTGGGCAGAATTAGATATCCGCTGGGGACCATTATTCTAGACATTTTCAACAACCTTTACAATCCATTCAATCCAATAGTAGTTTTTTTAGATTGTCAAAAAAGAAGCGAGTTTGTCTGGAAAACATTGCGGCAGCGGTCGTCCTATTTTGAAATACCAAGGATGCTTAGTGTCTAAACTCAAATATTCCGAGATGTAAGCCAATCGCGTCAGAGATTTCATACGCCCATTGTCGTTATAAATATAGGTCTCCCCATATGGTCGGGTCTGCAATAACCGGGGATTAGTGAATGCCTCTGGTAAAATCCTACCGAGGGCTGCGGAAATAGAAAAACCGTAAGGAAAACCCAAGAGCGATGGGAACAAGAGGGGAGAATCATGCGATGAGACCATTCCATCCGCCGTGTCTGGTAATGAAAAGGCAGGAGCAGGAGTCGATGAGGACGAGGACGGCTGATTTTAGAACCGCCTTGATCACAGCCACTTTGAGGGAATGTGCCTTCATCTAATCTTATCACCCGTTCCCTGGCTAGCCTCGGTCCTCTGTGGAATGGTACAGCCTGGTTTGCTTTTGAGCCTTGTTTAACCTGAGCGATTAGAGTTTGTAAGCATGAGGTGCCTTGCAGACAATCGCATGGACCAACAAGGATCAACGTTCAAGGGGAACGAGGAGTGCCCCTGGATGACCTCGAGTTGAACTAGTACCTCTTTCTTAATCTTGAGTGCCTTGTTACGCTGATGGATCAGGTACCTGCGCCGGTTGCTATTATTTTCGGTTCTGTCTTTGTCCTGAAAGTTTTGTATTCTCTGTGCCGGGAATAGTTGTCTGTACATATGATTCGGATCTGATGACCAGGCCCCCGCTTTTCGGCGCTCATTTCTAATGCCAACGAGCCTCCACGTACCCAACGCACATGGCCCGCTGATTTTATACATTCGGTCGAATCAACGAACAACGCAACGGGATGACCAGACTACGTGGGTATATCTCGATCGATCTCCGGCTTTGGGCGTCTTTCTCATCACGGAGTTGCTGCTTTCTTAATGAAAACTGGGTTCTTTCCGGCGTTCGCCCAAAATACCACTAAATAACTACTTTCCCAGTCTTATTAAATAATATATATCCCCCGAGTATCCCCACCATGAATTCTGTTTACGTGTCCTTGTGTGCTTATATTATCCCAGGTGCGTCTTAAGCAGATGTTCAGATACCGCATTATAGTTTCTCGGCATCCATCCAAATTACCGATTCAGAACAAGTGCTACATGGCCAGTCCGATGTTGTCGTGGGTTGGGGTACTACGTATTGGGCGGTCGGGCCGAATTGCTGTTTAAGGCAACAGGCGTCATGAGTCGGGCCCGATTCCCGTCATACTCATTACGCAAGTATGACTATGTCATAAACACGTCAGCACATACGGGGAGCTTGCTCTCGTACAAGTACAGTTTGTAAAACACCTCGAGAAATGGTATATACACGCATTGCACGCGCACAATCTTCGAAACTAGCAGAATTACCAGCAAGACGTCTATAGATAGTCGAGTCTAATATAAAAAGGTGGAGAATACAATGGCTCATAACCGTACCATTGGCCAAAGAAGCGGGGTGAGCATACTCGTTATAATAAACAATTGTTGTGTGCGTATGAGAAGAAAAGGAAGTCGGCGTGTGATAAAACAGAGGCATCGGGGTTGTTTTGTGGTCCTCTTCGTCGCGTTTCGGGCTATGCAGTGCCCAAACCCGAACTCCCCAACGAAAAAGTCCAATTCCGGCATGTGTGCTGCAGCGCGTTTTACACACGCGCTCAATCCTGCCTGCTGAATTCCGCCTGGGTGAGGTCGAGCACAAAAGTATGGAAGTGGTTGGCAGGCGGTTCGATGATCTTTACGGGTTTCTTGTTGCTCGCTTTCGAACCGAACGGTTGGAGCGCAGCCGCAACAGAGGGAAATGGACGGAGGGCGCGTGAAGATGGGAAAGATTGATTTCGTCGAGGCACTATCCTTTTCGCCTGTCCAGAAGTGCACGACGAACCAGCAAGCGGCGACGAGATAGTGGGTCGTGACATGGTCAAGGACGCTAAGACAAGACAATCGTCAGTTGAGGACGCCAAAAGAGCAAGAAACGCACCCATTGTGCTTGTGCTTGTGCTTGTGCTTGCAGAGGCTCGAATGGAAACAGGGATTACGGACGGCCGGGAAAGTGAAAGTGAAAGTGGGGAAGAGAAAGAAAGGAGAACGATTGGAGAGTAGTTAAATGGTTTGGGGTGTTCCCCAAATTGTCAATGGTTCAGTTGGGGATTGCCTTTTGTAGAAGTCCGCTAATGCGGCCCTGATATTCGGATATTCGGGCCAGGTCGGTGGGACGCCGGACTTGAGCACCAGCCCACTATTAAGGCCTACAAGCAACAACGGGCGCATACCCTGCACTATCCCTGCCGACCCACAGCTAACAGCGGTCGGAATATCCTTATCATTTATCGGACTTGCTTCATTGTCGAGAAATCACTACTTTACATATCACGCCACAAGTTTCTCCGCCTCGCTGCGTCACACGACATGTCTCGGCCTTTGAAATGGGATGTGACACCCTGCCAAGTATATCCCTTTGAAACTATAGATTATGTATACTGTACAAGCGAGCTGAGCAAATGGCGATGTAGGTTGAGAATGCACGAGCTGCTGTTCTACGATGGATGGATGGAGATATCAACAATAAAAGGACGTGGTAAAAGTATTAGGCGCGACGAATATCAGCTGGGAATTGTGAGCCATGTCGCGGGGGAATATGCGTGTGCTGGAAGTGTCAGCAATAGACAGAAATAGATAGAGACTGGCCGTCGCGGGGGAAAATGTGCTGCAAATACGGCTGATAAAAAAAGGCTGCCCTTCTGCTCGCATGCTCTCCCCACACTCAGAACCTTCCCTTTCTACAAACCAAGTTAGAACTAAGATGCAGCTCTGCTAACAGTCCAAAAAAGATATGAACCAAGACCCAAACGGCTGAGCATCACCCGTCAGAGCCTTGTTCAGGAGGAAGAGATAGACGAGACAAGTCATCAACGTGAGCACTGAAACAGCTCGTGACGACTACTGAACGTCTGTGAGCAGATTACGCTCAAGGATGTATTTGCCTTCTTTGTACTTCTGAGAAGGCTCGTAGGCTTTGTCCTACAAAAGGCAAACGGGATACTAAGTTTGATTGAATGATGTACAAACACGAAGGACGCACGTATTTCCATCCGAGACAGGTGCTGCACTTGCAGCAATAGATGTCTCGCACGGTGTGGGCGCCTGTTGTCATGGTGCGATCATTCGGCTCGCCCTCGACAACATTGACACTGGAACAGAACAAGGTTGAACGATGATGAGCCGGCAGAAGAAAAGGAAGAACATACACTCCGTCAAAGAGATAAGCCCTGCCGTGCTGGCCGTTGAACGCCTGAGAAGGGGGGATTAGTAGGTGGATGGATGTAGTTAGGGTGTCGATGGAGAGGCATACTCTGGATATCATGGAATGTATTGTTGCCAGATGGGTCCTGCAGTTAGAGCAGCCATAAATGCGCTCTCCAGCGAGATAGCGGCGATAGCTCATGCCCATCTTGATATCAGCGAAGCAGTTGTGCGAGAAGGTACTGTTGTTAATGGGTAGGAGCCAAGACGGGCACAATGGAGGGAAGAGTAACAAGTCGGTATCCCGGGGCTCCTTATATAAATGACGGTCGTGTATAGTGAGGGATGGTGGAAAGAAGGATGATGAGATACCGCTGCCGGATGTTTTTCCTTTAATTGGTTTGTCTGACTACGATGCCGCTGCCGGCCACGACCCAGGACTGGGCGTTTCTGACTTGCTACTCGAGTCGAGTCACCGCTCTAACGCCGCCGTGGTAGAGGTATACGGTATACGCTGTGTGATGAATACGCTGTACGCTGTGATGGAATACCCTGTGATGGAATACCCTGTGAGGTATACGCTGTGGTGAATACCCTGTGAGGTATACCTTGTGATGAATACCCTGTAAGGTATGCCCTGTGAAAGGTAATGCTGCCTCCGGATCTAGTATACTCTGTGTAATACTCAGTGTAGTATTGTTGTTGCCAACATTGACGAGCTTGATTATATCACGTGATGTATTATCTAATACGAACGCTTGGAGGATCATCACTCCTACGTCGCGACTACTCCCTTGCAGTCAAACTGGGTCTTACATTCTGCTCGTCTGCTTTGGCGCACATTGCCGTCTCTTCCATGATTAACGGGCCACAGAAACGACCAGCCAACGACCTCTTGCCAGAACCTCCATCGAAACAACCTCGCCGTGCTCTCTTCGGTCCTTCAGGCGAAAAGGCGAGTCCCTCCCAGTCTCTTTCTTCTCGCTGGAAGACCGTCACGATATCCTTCATTTCCCTTATTGGTGACACCATATCCTCCGTGATACGCGGTCAGTACGGCTCTATCCACGCCATTTTACCCCATCTTCTGATCCCTGTACAGTGCCACAAATGTCAGATTCGAACATTGAGGCGCGTCAAGAGCCAAAAGAGCTTCAGGATCAAGCTCAGGACATGCCGCCGCAGCCTTCACCTTCTCTTCAGAATGCAGAAGCAGGTCCGTCACGCGTCCCCGTCGAATCAAGGCAGAGCAGTGTGGCAGAGAGCTTGAGTGTAGCTGGCGATGGGTGGCAGGAACAGCAGCTATTACGTTCAGTCGGTCAACCTGGACGCGACTCGCAGTCACCGTTTCAATTTTCGCAGAACAGCTCTTTTCGTGGAAGCGTCTCGTCATCACAAGGACACCCGCCATTTCAGTTCGCAACTTACCAACCCAGTTCCATACCCAGCAACTTCCGAGACACACCCCTTCGCAAGCCCCGCCCACGTCCATCGCGCCGGAAGGGATCCATGGGCCCCCCTCCCGTCCCGCCGGCCCGCAATACACTTGTGTTTCCTCTGTCTGTACCCCCCTCACCTCAATCGTCTTCTTCACGTTCAGATATAGAGCAAGCACCTGGACGTATTCAGAATCCCATCCATGCCCTGACTTCCCATCTATCTAAAATAAAGCATTATGATAGACCACATATACATGCTGCTCAGGTGGGCTTCATCCCTGGGCATCTTGCCATCTTTCTCACTCCTCGCAGCATAAAGCTCAAGTAGCAGCCGAGAAAACAAAGGATCGAACGCGACTGCTTACACATCTATACAACATCAACAAGAAACAAGGTGAGCAGACAGGCACTCTTCTGCAAAGCCGGTTCTAATGTCATCGCTAAAGGCTATGGTTCTAGTTTCCAAGAGTTTGATAGTCTCCTTCAGTATCGTGCTCTGTTAGAGGGCGTCGATACCCCGTCAAGGCAAAGACTATTGTCTGGTGCGTTTGCTAACTCGTTGGTCACGATCGAGAGCTAATATCGTAACCCGACAGCTTCGCCATCGTTAACGGACCTACGTTCCAAATCTACCCAGCCCATCCAACCAACCCGACTGCGTAGGCATTCAGATATTTCTGTAAGTCCATCCCTTCACTTCCTCCCCATCCTTCAATTCAACACCCATCTAGGAATTCCCAGGTTATCTTCGTCTTGCTCTCGAGAAAGCTCGCGCTACTCTGAACGGGTACGTGCATATGTCTAATTAAGGTCACCCAGACTTAACGAAGGACAGACCGAAACCAGCGATGCCATTCAGCCCTGCTGAGGAACAACTCAGGCTGAAGGACAGAACGAAAGATGCGCAAATTGAATATCGCCTCCGCGGGGCAAAACGAAAACCCTTGCCAAAGGTGCTCCCTGACGAAGACGAACTCAAAGTGAAAGCCTTCCTCAAAAAGTCCGGTGTCGTGTCAAAGTACGGGCGAGAACAGGTCACTGGGCAAGACCTTCAACGATTAAAGCCTGGTCAATGGCTAAATGACGAGATTATCAACTTTTACGGTGCAATGATTCTCGGGCGCTCCGAAGCTAGCAAGGAAAATCCTGCAGTCAATGGAACGGTGAAAAGGAAGGTGACACCGTTGAATGTACATTATTTCAGTACCTTCTTTTGGTCGAAATTGGACCAGGACGGTTATGAGAAAGCGCGGTTGACAAAATGGACAAAAAAGGTTCGAATGATGAGCAGACGCTTGTCCGCCGTGACTGAAGGCTTTGCAGTTTGACTTATTCGCAAAAGATATGGTGCTTATACCAGTTAATCATAACAACATGCACTGGACAGCCGCGGCCATCAATTTCCGCCGCAAACGAATAGAATCGTATGACAGTATGAATATGAGCCGGCAGCTAGTGTTCAAGGTATGGTGTACATTTCCTGAGGGCAATGTAGCTTTGCTCACATCATTTCAGCTTCTTCGACATTACCTAGATGCTGAGCATCGCAATAAAAAGAAGAAACCTTTCGATTTTACTGGCTGGGAAGATTATACGCTCAAGGTATGTAGGAGCGCCTTTATGAGAATTGGAATAACTGAACGTAACATTCAAGAAGGATACCCCACAGCAAGAGAACGGATATGATTGCGGGGTATTTACCTGCCAATTCTTGCAATCGCTATCCAAGGGTGAAGAATCGTTCAACTTCAGCCAGGCTGATATTCCCTATCTTCGTCGGCGAATGATCTTGGAGATTGGACAGGCATCACTTGGAGATGATCTATAGCATTTATATCTGCTGTATCTATTCGTGCGGGGTGTTCGTAACATGCGAGGGTGGTTGCGTGTGTCTTTATTGGCTAATATATACAAGTGATGAACGAGGACAGCGATAAATAATGAGCCATGCATCACCTCCGGAACCACCAGACAACCAGGAAAAACCAGAAAACGATGACCAGAAAGACGATGTACCACAGCCATCGGCAGCCCTGGCGCGCAGCCATGTTGTTCATTCGACGGAATGTCCCCGAAAGGATCCCGGACGTTTCTGCAAAGGCGTCGTTCTGTCGCGCAGTTCAGTTGCGTATCTCCAAGTTCAACGTCGACAGAAGCACACCATCTGGCTTAGCTGCACCGCCGATTGTCGAACTTCGCTCCCAATGCCAATCGTCATCTGTATTTCGAGTGTTCATTCGCTTTTGAATAGCATGAAGGGGCAAGGCGAGCACAGATCACGACTCACATCCTTCAGTTGTTTTACTTTGGCGCTCAATCCCTCCAGCATTTCATCATTTTGCCCCTCCAAGTCATCTGCGTAGCGGTGTCCACTAGATTCACCAAAATGGCCTCCACCTGGGGAGGAACGTCCTGACAGCGGGAGTAGCGGCGAACGGTCACGAAGAGGCACTCGAATTCTGGATTCAACATATAGATGAGTTCCTTGACTGTTAGAGTTGATGATGGTACTTACCGTGATGACATGCGAAAGGAGAAGCTTGCAGACTGCAGTACATTCGTTCATGTTCAAATTTGGTCGTGACACGTATAGGTGTCACGCGCTGAGAAATGCCTCAAAACAAGCCTAACAATACATCTATACGCAGGAGAAATAAAACAGGGAACAACTACACCTGAATCTACAGGTTAAAAGATCGAAACGGTACCGAATTTATGGTATAATAATGTAAAGTAATGGGGTGCAACAGAACATGCGAAAGGATAGAGCCAGATGTGTTTCAAAGTGCCTGTGTCAAACGTCCATGCCCAGTGATAAATGCAATGCCCAAGTAATCAGTACAATGATAAAATGTCATGGAAAGTCGTGTGATGCTCAATCGATGCTCATACGATTTGGATTGGCACTGGCTGCTCTGCTATGCGACTGATTCTTCCCGGACATGGTGTTCTTTCGTTTCACTAAACACGAAAATCGTCAGCATTGGTCGGGAAGCATCTAAAGAAATACCAACGCGAGTCCTTCAATCCTCGGCCAAAACTCCTCGTGATAAGGTATGAAAAAACGAAAGTCACCGAGAGCAATAGGATCGCAATGACGGCTGAAACAAAATATCAACGATATGCGCGATTAAGTATGCCAACCAAGCCTTACAGAAAGTGGTAAGCGACTTCCATATGAATTCAAAGTCTCGATTCTTGTACACGAGGACCTTCACGAGCTAGGCAGAGCCATGAGATTCATCGATAGCACTAAGATAAGTGCATACCTTGTATATGAAGTACACCATCGCACCTACACAGCCTGACATAAAGGTCGCCATCATCCATTTGTTCTCATGCTTGGCTGCATAATGGCCTTCAACCAGAAGGACGATCGATAGAGGGAGAGCAGCGATGGTCACATAATATTCCCAGTCGTTGCTGTTAAGCACCAGCCATAAAAACTGGACCGAAAATCCCGCAAAGAAGAAAACGTCAAATTTGATCAGACATTCATAAATCTGATAATTAGCGTAGAGCTTCTTGATCCTCCTGTCAGCCCCAAGGAACTTGTATACTTTCCAGCCAAATTCGTGATAAATTTTCCACCCCAGGCCTATGAACGCAAGTTCGGCAGCTGCGATCACGCAAGGGATTATTGCAGTCAGAACGTTGATTGGGATGTCAGAAATGCCGCCCGAGGCTCCATTGGCATTCAGCAGCACTTCTTTGATTTCGCCTATCTGTATGATAGCGTAGAGCAGCAGCAGAGCATTGAAGAGACTGTAAATATATTAAATACTTGGACTGAATCCACAAGGAAGGCAGGGGACATACGTTAGAGCGATAAATTGTAGTGTATTTCTTGTCACGACGGCTTCCGCAGCCATGTAGAATTGAAACACACTGTGCAACTTGTTCAACGGATCAAAGGAGAGAAAAAGGGGCCATGCTTACTGAGCTATGGCAAATATACTCAGATAGACAGACATCTTTTTGGTGTTTGCGCTGCCTTGCGTCTCTCGATTCACCCTCACGAGTAGTTCCCCTTCGATAGCAAGATCTATTGCTGTTTCGATGAGAACTGTCAGGACGTATAGGCGACACGCTATTGAATCTGGAATTATCTGTAACGCCGTGAGATTGTTATAATCAAAATCAAAGAACTGGCAAACCGACATTGGCACATTGATACCACCGTTGCTTCTCCATCTCCTTCGCCGGTAGAGGCGGGTAAAGAGGCTGCGGCTGATCGTGGAAGGTGTCGTCGGACTGCTTTGAGGAAAAAGTAGTCTTCATTGGCGTCGAAGGACCCCTGCGGTGTTGCGGTGAGCCCATTGTTGGCGTTTCGACGGCAAATGTCTTGTGGTGGGCATTGGCGGCAAAGGGAGAAGCATACTCGTCAATGAGATCATCATAGGATGCCTTGACTTCGGACTGCGGCTCTTGGAAATACTGCGACTTTGTCTGATAGTGGTAGAGGGACAGGTCGTCTGAGTCGGGATAATGCGCCATGAGAAGGCTGGAGAGCGTGTCGGCGAGCGAGTAAAAGGATTGTCAGACTCTTGATGAAGAGCAATGAAGGAAGGTGACGGCAAAAGAAGAAGAAAAAAAGTGAGTTAGCTTGGCCTGCTGCGTTCGTTGGGAGGAAAGGTGCCGAACGCTCACAAATTCCTGTGTTTCCTGTTTGGTCTTGATTGATTGCAAAAAGGTGGCACTGCCAAGCCTAATTACGAGTTCCGTTCTTTCTGCTTGCGATATGGATGTTGTTACACCGAGACCTGCACGGTATTCGATAGTTAAAAAGGCCCTGGCAATTTGTGGTGGTAGTGCTGAACAACCGGAAACATCTATTTCAGAGTACCTTGGTAACAAGGAATTGCACATGGCCTCCACATGGCTATCAAATGACCATTCTAACATTTTATTGGCTCTCTAGTAGCAATATTCCAGCAATTTACATCACTCAAAAGGCCTCAGTGTTCCGGTAACCCTCCTCACAAGGTCAACGGGTCCTACATTTGCCTCTCAGTCAAACCTATCATATCTGGAGGCGCTGCGGGCTCACCAACAATGCCAAGAACTGTTCGAGAACCAGCCTCGATTTGTGTTCTTCCGCTAGCATGGCTTCAGCAGCAAAGAAGAACTGATAACACAAATGCCTACGCGTCTTGGATCGATCTCGTGCATAAATTCAAGCTTTGAGCTAGAGCTTGCAGTTCCAGAAGTATCTCCTCGTCAGAACACCAACGGGTCAATTTGGGTCGTCTGCAGGGGCTTGTCAATTCGATAATGGTACATGGATGAGCGATAACTTCACGTACCCGGCGCGTTCCCAGCGTCTCAATAGCTGGACATTCCTTGGTAAGGATATTGTCAACTCATCACTTAGATCCACGCACCGGTACATTTGAGGATAGCATAGACTTGTAGCATGCGAGGACAGCATGACTAAACACCCCAGTGATTAGCAAATCGACCAACAACAAAAAAGACGACACACGAGCACCTGAAGACTCAAAATGTCACGAATAGACCAGAATTTTCAGGGCAGAGCCAACTTACTGTGCAGCTATTTTTCCAGAGGTCATACCCAGATCCTCCCTAACCACGAGTACCTGCGAGTATGACGCGTTTGAGTCGACATTTAAATTCTCAAGGACGCCGAGGTACCATCGTGCATTCCTCAGTGGGACCAATTTTGAGAGACGAGAGATCACCACTGACTTGATCTTCATCACTTTCATTGTCTTCATCGTTACCGTGCAGAAGGCCTGCGGCCTCTGTGCCCTTTGCGACAGTCTCGATAGCCTGACCATGAGGCTTTTCGCTCTTGACTGGGCGCCGGGGTGATACGTTTGATCCTACCCACAGACCAATAGCAAAGGTAACAGCAACGACCACGCCATACATTCCCGCTGGTTGCTTATCGGTCAAACTGTGAAGAACACGAGACGAGGTAGTACACAATCACCTGAACTAGAACCGAATGTTTGCATGGTATCTAACTTGAAGCTCAACCGTCCGGCCCGGAGCTCAAGAAAATATCATACTTTCCCACGGTCTAACTTGATTACAGGAGTAACAACACTGTACATAAAATCATCATTAGAACTAGGATTTCTCAGCAGTCAGGTAATCTTTTCCAGTTGTCTTTCTGGCCCAGGCCAGGAATCTACCTCCATATACATGTGTTGCACACTAGGAGTAAATGATCTTACCCATAAGCACTGGAATGACCAACGTACTTTATTGAGCTCACTTCTGCAAGATTTGGTGAATTTCCTTCGAATTGGCCATCTTCTTCTCACATCGGTCTCCAGTGATGGGATCCTAGAGCTGTTCTGATGCATTCGTTACTTCTATTCGCAGGTTCCAGCTACCTTCCGCTATGCATCAGCAATATGGCCTGCTAATTCCGCCGTTATAGACACTGCCGTCGCCGTCAGCGATCAGTTTCCCGGTTGTGGCAGAGAGCCACAGTGCAATTCGTGGTGGTAAGCGGTCCACTACTTCTATCAGAAGATCAAATGGACCCAATTCTGTTGCTTTGAGTTCGCCATCCATCCCAGCATTTTGCATTCGGCTCCAACCGATCAGACTTCAGATCGGCGTTTAGCAATCTCGGTTAGTCTTCTGCTTCTCTCAGAGTTATTTCTTACCGCTATTTGCGGCCGCAGCTGTGCTTCGTTACAAGCTCTATCGCAACTATCAAAGGGCCGAATCCTTCGCTTTCCATCGCAGAAACCAGCTGCAAACAGCGGCAACTCCTTGGGTCAGATGGGTTGACATTGATATCTCTCCCATCGCCTCGTTGTATAATTTTAACACTAAAGGATTGAACCTATGCAATTGTATTAACGGTTAAATATTACAATATCATACATAATCCAATGAGATGATCCAATGATGCAGTTCAGGAGCTGTCCGTGTCAGTTGATGAGCCTGTTTCGTCGCCGGCATCATCTGTAAAATTCTCATGAGCACTGATGTTTCTATCGAGCTCACAATTTACCCTGGACATAGTCTGGTAGAAGGGAAGGAGGTGGAGGCCGGGGTGGACTCATTCTCTTCGAAATGGGTCGGGGAGGACCCTTGCCCTTCACTATCTTTGCATTAGAACCACGAGAAGCAAATGTTGGGCTGTGCCCTGAGAATGAGGAAGATACTGTTGTCCTGATGGATCCAACATCCGGTGACGACGCCCGAGACGACGGTGAGGATCTGTCCAGGAAAGAGGCCGTTGATGAGTCTCGTAGCTTCGATGGTACCATGGAGTGCGAGTTAGTAGATGGCAGAGCGGGCATTGATAGCATTCCGTCATGTTCTGCCTTAACCCTGGACACCGGGGATCCTGAACCCGTGTAAATAAAGGCGAGTGTACAACAGACAATGCTTACCTTTCTGCTGTTTTTGCTTCTTATTGGGAGATACTTGCGGCGAGGTCTTTAGCGAATCCTATGTTTTTCAGCACAATGGTTAGAAGGCAAACAACGTAGAATTACCCGTTTTCGCTTCAAGTTGAACTCGGCTTCGTCTGTAAGAGCTGGTAATCAACTCAAAACGAGCTTTCGGAAGTAGAGGCGTACCTGCTCGCTTACTTTTTGACTTGCTCTTTGACTTGAGTGGTCGACTATCTTCTGAGACGTTCCCATCGTCCGTAGGTGGAGATGCAGACCTACCAGGATCGGAAGATTGTCTGTTGCTTTGTCAGATACAAGACGCATTTGGCAGTGAACGGGCGTACTTGGGCTTGGAATTTGTCCGTGCCGCAGATCGTCTAGCTGTCGAGAGCCCCATACATGTGGCAAGGTGTGGAGCGTAACGATTTGAGGCAATCTGTTGCACGACATAACGTCAAATAGGGTGCGATACACCCGAGCGCAAGCCGTTACCGGATGAGAGCATTGAACACAGTCCAAATACACATTGCTTCCGTCCAATTTTGCGCCATTTGGTGTGTTTGTACCAGTTCTATGAGCAGCTTGTTTGTTGTCCGCGGACGCGGGAGTTCCTGGCCTCGTGGATGGTACGGTTTGTGATGAAGAGGTCGTGGAGCCTGGTAAGTGTACTGATACGGGTAATTAGCATCACACTCTACTTTGCAGAGACATACACACCCGCATTACAACTGAACAAGCAGAAACAATCAGTTCGTTAGCACGTTGTGCAGCAATATATTACAGACCGAGTATTGCATACAGAGCATATTGAACGGCTCTTCAAGACATCGTGGTGAGCCTCTATAGCAGCATCCATAACGATCTCATCAAGCATTGCACAAAACAGTTTGTTAGTCTGGCCGACGATCACCTATTGTCAGTAGTAGTTTCCAAGTTGAAGCACAAAGAGCATACCAACGATGCCAATAAAGCCTCCTTTTCAACCCTTCTTGACATCTTCAATAGTATGATACGTATAGAAAACAAGTAAGCTCTGTACTGGTAGCTTGACTGTCGATGCAGAATGTTGGACTTGAACAAAAGAGCAAATGGTAAAAGTCCAACGCGACTCGGAACGTAATTACTAGCCACGTGCTCGATCACACCTGCCAATTCCGAAAGTCGATGAACGATACTCATCTACTAGAAAGAAAAGAGGATACATTAATCTTTGGTCGTAATTCCATGGGTATAAGTTGAAAATCATGAAAAATTAACGTGGTTAGAACGGCCCAAATATCTACCACATAAAATCAGTTAGCTGTCCTCCCTCTTTCTCTTAGCTCAAATTAATACTGCGACGCCGTTAACCGAGAGATGGTGAACACCCCAATAATCGCAATAGCAAGAGCCCCGATACTGGCCGGTAGGAGCAGGTCTCTAGGTATTCCCATTACTTGATCGAAGGAAGCCGGCACAGGCGGGACGGCCTCCTTGGTGAAGCCCTCGGACTGCTCCAATTCTACAATTTCCTGGGCAGCAGCAGCGGCAGCGGCAACTTCAGCGGCCTTGGCATCGACATTTCCTGCACCAGCCTCATCCCAGCCCTTACCACCCTGCACAAACAGGACTACGCGGTCCGAATTCGAGGCCCGTGCGATCTTCACAGCGTCAGTAACATCATGGTCCGAAGTAATGAGAACGGTGTCGCCGTCTGTGTCAGTATACAACAGTTGGAAATCAATAGGATCGGGTCGTATGTCAGAACCCTCCGTGGCTGAGAACTCGGTGAAGAAGGGATCTGTTGCCAATTTTCCAGAAACAACTTCTCGCAAGTGTGCAATGTCGTCATGACGAGCTTGGAAGCGATGTGTCCTCCCACTGGGTGTACGGAACTTGAAGACGTAAGTACCATCGTCGACAGGAAGAGGTCCTGGGGCGGAAGCCTGCGCAGCATTCTTTTTGCGTGAATATTCCTCCAGTACGGATGGCTCATCATCAATAACGGATGCCGAGTCATTGGGATGGACCTCAGACTGAGGAGATCGCGGCATGAGGTGAGAGAGACTGCCCATCGATGGTGCATTCCGTACTCGAGAGCCTGATAGGGCCGACTCTGAGTCCTCGAAGGAGTCGAAGAAGCGACCCCACATTGGTCCACCTTCTGCATCAGTAGGACCACCTTCAGCGCCCATGGAATTCATCTTGCAACGATTAGCTACATTCAAGTAGTGGGTGTGGATAATAGCTTACCTGCTCCAGAGTAGCATACGTCAACTTCAAGACATCGATTATAGCTACCAAACGCCCGTCGGCTTCAACGACAGGGAGATTAAGGTAGTGGCCATCTAGAGAATACAATTTTCAGCATCATAGAGTTAACGCGGAGGAGATGCACGAACTATGCATCTTTTTCAGAGCATCATGAACAGTGAGAGTAGGAACCGCCGTATCAGGATGCGGCGTCATGACCCGAACGACACTACACCTTTCTGCATCCAGTCCTGCGGCAATAACACGCAGTACAACATCTTTACTGGTGAAGATACCAGCAATCTTAGAGGGCATATTCGGTCCCAAACCATTTTCCATAACACAGACAGCGGTCGTTTTCCTTTCCTTCATCAATTTGGCAACTTCACGAACTGTAGTCTTTGGTCCGACCATGGCAGGTTGAGTACGCGAGTCCATGAGACTGGTGAGGTCCGGAAGCGCCGTCTTTTCGCGCAGCTTCTCAGCCCAAGCAAGCATTGCGACGGCTTGTGGGTTTGAGGTTACGGATCCAAGTTCAGACTGTACACCTGCCATTGCAGAAAAGAGCTGCTCGGAGGCAGCTGAACTTCTCTCGACCTTCCCGAGTGCTTCGTGAAAAACCTTTGTGATATCGAGAAGACCAACTACGTTTCCTTCTTCGTTGCAAACGGGCTATCGAAGATTATTAGGGGTGCAGCTGATTTCAATATGCAGACACCCACTAGATGCCTAAAATGTTTTGAAACCATCAGCTGCAGTGCCTCGGTCGCGCTCGTCGTCGACTGCGTGACCATAGGATTTCTGGTCATTATCTGATGCACGGGAGTGAGATGGGGATCCAAGCCGTCCGCAGTGACCTGAGATATGCATGAAAGATAGGAATGACGCGACGTAGAGGAGACGCACTCGATACGCCAAATCCTTGGCAGTGAAGATTCCGCTGAGCCCTTCGTCATCATCAACGACAAGGACACAGTCCGTTCGTTTGGCAGCACAAAGCTGACTTGCTTCTGCGACAGTGATGTTCTCAGGAACTGTTAGGGCTGGGGCTGGCTTGAGTGCCGCGACGGTTCCCTTTTGTGCATTTGACCTATTGCCGCGCTTACTGCTCCGCTGGTGCTGTGTCGTCGAAATGGTGCGCTTCCGGGCGAGTTCAGATTCTATCTTCTTGCGAATAGCCTATCCCACGTGTAAACTCGACACATAGAACCGGAACAGAGATACACGCACTTCGTCCCGCTTTGACTGCTTCTTCCTTGTTTCGCTTTGGAATCCTGAGAGCGACGACATGGACACGGAACCGTTCTGACCGTGGTTGAAACGGGAAGGAAGAGGAGAAGGAGAGCGGTCGGAGTTGGGTCCTGGAAAAGGGACAGGCGAGGGAGGGCCGAGATTACGCTGGGGATTAGAGTGCGAGGGTACTGGGATCCGTGACATGCCTGTCCGACTCTGCTGATGTTGAGAGCTTTGCCTTTCCCTGCCAATCCCAAAGAATTACTTTTTTATTTTCGGCTTCCCATTGGCTCCTGTTTGGCAACAGCCTCGGCACTCCAGAACAGTCCAGTACCATCCACTGACTCGATATAAATTTCCAATATATTCGCATAGTCCGTCCTTTTCCTTCATTTCCATGCTACTGTCTTCCCACTTTCTCCTTGGTCTCACAAGTAGTAACCGCCCCCGATCAACGCCCATTGGCAGTCTGGCATGACACTGCGTATGTCAAAAAATTTCATTTATAATAAATCCGAAACAGGTCTTTGCATAGATCCACGTCAGCTTCACGATGCCTTGGCCAACCTGCAGGACAGCTTCGATGGTGTCCTACTCCAAATAGGGAGTAAAAGAGAGACGTTGCGGTGTCGGCAAGAGCAGATGATACTGTAGACACCATGCTTTCAAATGTGTGTGTATGTATTGGAGACTCAGCCTACTGCAATATATCTACGAAACCCGCCATTTCGTTCAGTGGAGTATATACACATCGTCAAACCAGTCCAATAAGATTTGCATCGAGGCGCGTTCTACCAAGATAAATTTACTGTCCACCCGCAGGCGCTGCAGCAGGCGTAATGTTGCTTCCTCCCCAGCGAGCTATCAACCGCCGCGCCTGAGACCAGATGTTGGCCAAGGTCGGGTTGTTCTGCTGAGCAAGCAGCGCGTTGATGCGAGCATCTGTAGCAGCAAAGGCATCACGAGTGAACGCTGACTGGTAGTATCGTTGCCGTAAAAAGTGAACATAAACAACGGGGGAGAGAAGTGAGTTTTGAAACACGAGGGCTCCGAGAACAACTCGAACGAGAATGAGAAGTTCGGTGTAGGCCACTGCACGCATTGCGGAGTCATAGTTGTCTACGGGGCACCCCTGTTAGCACGAAGAAGGGTATACACAATAAGAATCCAATCACTTTTAACCCAGACCTGGAGCTTCTTCGCATAGGGATGTGGTGTAAGCGGTCCTCCAGAGGTAGCAGGTGGTCCTGGTGGAAGGAACTGAGCCATCAGGGTCGTTCGCGTAAAGGTCAGTGCATGGAACAAGGAGAAGATGCTGAATGGAAGAAGGGTGACTAGGAAACAATGAGCTATATGACATAAACGAGACGGAGGAATACGGACTAGCAATGGGCTTGGAAGACCACCAAAAGAATGCAAGTAAAAGATATTGGACGTTCTTACATAAAAATCTTGTCAGTACCTTTATCGAAATAATCAGAGAAGAGCTGCCTACTTCATCCATCATTGCCCGCCTGACGTAGGCAAGGTTGGGTTGAGGAGTCTGCTCGGTCGATAAGAAAGGATTACGTCATGAAACGAACCAACACGCACGCCTAGAGCTTTTCTGGACAAGGAAAGACGAATAAGCGACGGTAAGATGAATGTTCACGACAGTACTCACTGGCAGACAATGGCATAGCTGACGAGTGCACCAGTGTAACTCGCTGTGCGGCGTATGCGACCAACATGAGAGCATGTCCGACCGCCTTAGAGACTACGCACTTTTGTACCACCAAGACGAGACACTCTTAAAAGTGATCCAGGCGATAAAATATCGCAATGCTGAGAGCAGCAAGATGAAGTGGCCAGACGCCCAGAGGTAATGCTGCACAGGCAGATGGGTTTGTTAAGCTCGGCTATGGTCGCAGCATGGAATGGTAAAAGAGGACAGACCTGAGTGGCAGCCATAGAGGCTATTTGGAGGATGAAAATAGATGAGCAGGAAAGAATTTACTGAGATGAAGGCGACGAATAATCCCGGTGTGGCCAGCTGTCCATGTTTGGCGCAACGTGGTCCATGACGGTTCACGTGATTTGGATGACGGAAATATGCTATTACTACTAGAGATGCAGTAAACTGTAAAATAAATGTCGCAACGTCTCTCAGCGACTCCACTGACCACTAGCCGCCATCTTCTGCCGCTCTCTTCCCTTCTTGTACACCTCTTTCTCGACTCTTTTTCTTCCCAGTGCCTCTATCCGCCGACTTTTACCCTGATTCCGATGTTCCCGTACCTCCAGCTGTTTATCCTCGCCGTCGTCCAGTGCTGCCTCATCAAACTCTAGTTCCTCAAACTCTTCTTCTTCGTCATGGTGTGGACGTTTCCGCTTTGCTGACAAACTACTGCTCCCACCGCCGATATTCACATTGACGCGAGGAGGAACGGAGAAGCCAAAGGCCTTTCCAACCTTGGCGAGATCCAGCGCATTCACATCAAAAATCTTCTTGAGCGAGTATGAAGCGTATGCTTGCAGGTATGACCGGAAGCCATCTTTGGCAGACTGGTGAAGGAAATAATTCTTCTGTAGTAACTTCTCGAGCTGATGGAAAATCAGCCGATGTTCATTCAAAGGCAGAAGAAGACAGACCTGGCTCTGCACATTCTTTATACGATCTGCAGGGAAGCTGAACTCGTTGAGAGGTACCTTGGCCTCTTTCAGATATCTTAAGAATCCCAGCTCACTCTTGAGCAGAAATAGCAGACTTTTGCCCACTTTTCCTGCTCGAGCTGTACGACCAACCCGGTGGATGTATTCTCGAGGATCATCAGGAGGGTCAAACTGGACGATCCAGTCTACACGAGGTATATCTAATCCTCGAGCAGCAACGTTAGTCGACAGCAAAATGCCTGACTCAGCATTGATGAACTCGAAGAATGTGTTTGTCCGTTTCTGCTGTTTTTGCTTTCCCTACAGCAAGTCAGCATAACCAAGTTATTTCTTGACACTGGTGGACTTACATGTAAGTCGAGAACCGGGACATCAATGTAGTTGAGTAGTTCGGCATGATACTTGACAGAATCACAGCTGGAAAAGAAAACAATGATCTTTTTCTTTCGGTATTTGCTGAGAAAGGTGAAGAGTAGGAGGAATCGTCGGTCAGAGGAACATACAACGTAGCCCTGAGAAAGCGTCGATACAGTGCTAGTTGACTCTTCCTTATCAACGTCCACTTGCACAGGACCAGGGCGAAGTGATATCCGCGCAAGATCCTGTACTTTTGTTGTCTGGGTAGCAGAGAATAGCATCGACTGCCGGTTTTCTGATGCAGACTTGTGAGAAACGCAAGGATGAAGAACGTGTAGCGCACCGTTAGGCAAGAGCTTTATAATTCTCTTCATCTGCTCCTCAAACCCTACTTCAAGAATTCTGTCCGCTTCATCGATAACCAAAGCCTTCAGATTGCGATATACGAAGCCTTTTGTGCTCTGCTCTAGTCAGTAAGCACCAGTGAACGATGGAAGTATGATGCGCACCTCGAGATGATCCCATAACCGTCCGGGAGTCGCTACCAGGAGATTAACACCCTTCGCTAGCTTGTCCGCTTCTGCTCTTCGATTGGCACCTCCCATGATGATACCAAACGTTTGCGAATGATGAGCCATGAGATCTTTCGCAACGCCGAATATTTGCAAAGCTAGTTCTCGTGTCGGCGAAATGATGATGATTCCAGTCCCTGTTGCAAAGTATTAGTAGAAGTACAGCGAGGAACTAGAAATCTATACCGTTCTGAGGCTTGAATTTTAATCTATGTAAAAGTTCCACAGCCGGAATGAGGAACGCGAGCGTTTTTCCAGACCCGGTACGAGCAGCGCCTAGGAGATCTTTGCCAGCGAGAAGCAAGGGAATCGATTTTTCTTGTACGGGTGTCATGGTAGAGAACCCCATTTCTTCAAGGGCCTTCAATGCGTGTTGGGATAGTTCAAGGGTAGAAAATGGCTTCCTAGGCGAAGCGTTGTCCGTCACAATAGAGGAGGAGGCTCCAGTGTCCATTGCGCAAGCCACCGTATGAATGAACAATGATTTGGGCCGGTGAGAGGTCAATAGGCTTTTTGTCGACGGTCGATGAAGAATTGAAAAAAGCTGCCTCGGAGTTTGCCGAATCCATCTTTTCCGTTCATGTCTCGTTCTGCTTGTTCGTACTCTGCTATTCAGGCTGTTCTGCTTCCGGCTGAGATTTTTTCTATCTAGTCATAACAACCCTTGCTCTGGGGGTCGCTTCCGGTGCTCTCGGATTTTTTGTTGGTTACTTACGACACCGTCCTGAAGAAAATCAGCTTGGACACGAAGCAGAAGACGAGGAAGACATCCCTGACGGAGATCTTACTGCTGTATCAGCTCGTTTTCTTGAGCCCTGCAAACTTGTATGAAAATATATTTTATTTTGGCTGTATCAACAACCAGAATGCAGGTTTTGGTCGTTCGAACTGATCTGAAAATGGGTAGCGGTAAAATAGCGGCACGGTAGGCGTGACTCCTTGTGTTTTGTAATAGTAACTGATTTCATGTGTAGATGCGGGTGCGTCTGTTGAAGTGGACATGCGATTTCTCAGCCTTAGGAACTCGATAGAGACGCGACACTTCGCTGCTACAAGGCGCTGGTGAAGAAAAATTCTAGCGTGGGGCATGTCTGTATTCACTAAAATGTCGCTGACGATGTTGTAGCTTGTTGGCCATTGGGAACACACAGGGTAAATTATGTACCCTTGCAACAGTTGGAGATCATCTGAATGCCCGCAGGCAAGCGAAAATCGTGCTCAAGACTACTTCAGAGGAACGGATTCTTGAACTGGAAACGATCGCGAAGAGCCTGAACCTATGCGCACGTTCAGTAAAGGACCAGTAAGCTTTTGATGGATTATTAGCTCCAGTTGACTGGTCTGCAGGGGTACAAGGACGGTTCTTGGCATTGGCCCTGCTCCCGTCAGACTCATCAACGAAGTTACTGGCAAATTGCGCTTGCTGTGAGGACAGAAGATAGGAATCTGATTGCTATACAAGGCCAGTCTAGATGGCTAATGGTGCAGTGTACATGCGGATGTTAGTGATACAGTGTGGAGAATAGAAAGGATACAATCAGCAATCTGGTACACCATTGTCACCGACTTGGTGCAACAGACATGTATCGACTTGACATGCGTTGTTTCATTCATAGCAGCTGACGAGTCGGATCCACCGCTCTGAACCTTCGAGTTTCCTGTCGTAGTTGTGCTGCCGGTGGCCCCATTGTCTAAGCAGAGTTATACGCACTGCAGACTTAGCGGACAAGACCTTGATGAGAGTGGGTGAACCGTCTGTACAGAGGGGAAGAACCAGAGACCACGCCTTATACTGCTCAGGCTCCGGTATTGTTGACGCGTCTTCCTAGGGGCACGTGAACTCAATTTTTGCCTAATTCAATGTCGTGCTCGCGAATGAATGTTCCTTTTCTTCCTGCCTTTTGTTTCTTTTTACCGTCATGTCCAGCTTTGCCGTCGCACGAGCATACCATCAGTCTTTCCACACTTACCCTAGTATCACGCTTGCCTGCATAGGTGGAACCATGAATGGACTCGGCGATGTCGTTGCTCAGGTCTCTCAGATGATCGTCAGTCGTTATGCCTATTTGAAAAGGGTGTTTCTCAAAAAACCGTGCAGTTCACAAAAGCACATGAACAACGTCCTTCGTATGATTTTCACAGAACATTTCGCTTTTTCTGCTTCGGTTTTGCAATAAGTATGCCCTTTTCTCTTTCAGATTCTTTCCGTCTCACCTCCCTTCTAGGTCCCTGGATTGGAAGATGGAACAAATTCCTCGAGTGTCGATTCCCAATAAGGCGCACTTCCACCAACTCGAGTCGTGGAAGGGCCAAATCTCTCGCCAAAAGAGTCGCCTGTGATCAAATTTTCATGTGCGCTTCTCTCTCATCTCTCTATGTTGGAACACTTCTGACAGTCAACCTGATAGGGCACCAATTGGGGTATGTATAGCTTCGGTTCTTCGCTTCCTTCTCTGATCTCCGTCGGCAGCTCGCTCTCTTTTTGGGTTCTATGGGATTAATGGAAGGCCGAAATCTCTCTCAAATACAAGAAAAATACAAAGATCTTTACAAGCCCGCCCTCATCACCAACTGGCAAGTCTGGCCCGTCGCGCAACTCGTCAACTTTCGTTTCATGCCTCTGCCCTATCGCGTCCCCTTCCAATCCACATGCGGTGTGTTCTGGACGCTCTATTTGTCCATCATCAATTCAAAGTTGGCTTCCATCTTCAATGTTTATCGCGATTACTAACTTCACTGGTAGTGAGGATCAAAAACAAGATAGACGGGATCCCTCGAACTGAATTTCTTCTCAACATGGACACTAATATATATACATATCTATCGCATTTAATCACGAGTTCCTCTCATCATTTCAACCGGAATCATCTGTAGTCCATACTAGTCATACATCCTAGAGCATGTAGTAGCATACAACATTTCATGAAGCCCCATACTTGTGTCTAAAGTAAGCTGGCGGCAACGTAGCAAGAACATCAACTAACGGCCTCTCAACCACAACCAACTCTCCAGGAGAGATGAAATCAGCATGCAAGATCGGTCTAAAGTGAGTGATCATTTTAAAGTCAGTAGCATGCTGATCCTGGGCCGCAATCGCAGGCCGCTTCATGTTGTGCGCGCGCCGACGCTTTTTATTGAATCCACCATTACTAAAGTTGGAGCCGTCCATATTGATCTTGCACATCCAGGTCGAACCCCAGAACAAGGCGTATTTCGTCGGTGAAGAGTCTGACGTACTCTGTCGCGCACCAGGATCGAATGCCACACCAACAATAGGATCATGCGCCTGGGTGAATCGCTGAGGGAGACTCGCAACGAGGGCCTTGGACCACGAGGGGAACTGTCGTGATTCCACATCGTATATCTGGATGGAGTTGTCAGGGAAGGCGAGGGTTAGCAAACTTGACTTTGACGGGTCAAACGCCAAGGTTTGAGCGGGATGAGCGAAAGAAGGTAGAACGCAATGGTGCTGAAAGTTCTTGAGAAAGAAGACGCGGAAGCAAGACAAAATACTTACTTGGATAGAGTCCAGGTTGAAGACATGAGTCCGGGCGTTATCGTCAGAAGTCGCAGCCCACTGTCCATCAGCACTGACAGAAATTCGCAGAATGTTAACAGCCACACAAGATGATGAATTATTGTCGGGCGTAGCCTCCATATCAACATCCCCGTCAGGCCTGAGTTTCTTGGTGACCCGGTCTCCACCCATACCGTTTCTCTGGCGGTGATGATCAAACCTTCGCAAAACCCTGGGTTCACCCGAATCATTTCCTATATCTATGAGTAAGACGCAAGATGACATGGACGTTGCCATCACAAGCTTGGAAGAATCAGGTGTAAACGCGAAGGCCAGTCCTCCTGTCGAATCAGGTGTAAAAGGAAGCTGGGCTTGCAATATTGATCCAAAGTTGCGCACTCGTTTAGGTGTGAGATCACCCTTGGGCTGAACCTTTCATCAGTTGATGTATGACGACGCAACCAGCGAATATACTCACATCGGTCGCCAAAGAAAACAATTTGGTCTCATACAGATCGGAAACAACGAACCATAGGCCATCATCTGATATAGCACTCGCAACAAGGTTGGTGTGGACATTAAGATCCATCTCCAAAACTTTCTCCCAAGCGTCATCTCCAGACGCCGTTTCTCCATCATCAAGATTCCCCTCGGAACGTTGGTTGATTCTCCATATGCTCACGCCAGCTTCTCGCAGGCAAGAAACGAGACGGGCACCTCGGGAAATGGATATTGCAGAGGCGTTCGACGGTCCAGCCGCGTATGCCAGTCGTCGATGGTAGGACTCACTAAACGTAGCCTCGGTACTAGTTGCAAGTGGATTTATGATTTTATTGATTGTGCTAGAAGGAAGTGCGGCGGGTGTGACGACGACGGACATGTCAAGCCCACCGGAGGCCAGTACAGGAGCGATGTCGATGGGGAAAGATCGTTTATGTGTGATTGGTAGAGGTGTGTAGGGTGGCCACATCGCCAGTGCACGGACGTCATGTGAATGCAATCGACGAAAACTTGATTGGATCCATCGAGTTGTTGTCCGTCCTGCAGATGAGCCGTCGGTCACATGAGTTTTTACCAGCGAATATTGCGTCGTCTTTTGATCTACGCCTGAGGAGTATACAACTGACCCTTCCTAGAGATAAATTAAGTTAACTAACGCGATTGACAAGACAACAGAAGGAACTGACAGGACTGACTGCGAGACACAGAGCATCAGCATCGTGCCCTTGGAAGGTTTGCAGCTGAGTGCAAGTCCTTGAATCCCAGAACTTGACCATTCCGAGGGAGTCCCCAGAGACAATGGTACCATCGCTTGTACAAGTCAGTGGCGGCGACAAAGACAGAAAAGAGCACCAACCCAAGTGCACACACTGCCCATACCAGGGTCCTTTCGCCTCGTACTTTGTCAGTACCCATTCGTTCGGATGAGCGGCCCGTTACAGCATCCCATTTACGCAGACTGCTATCCGACCCTCCTGTCACCAACCATGAGTCTGCCCACTCGTATTCTTCGTCGTCAGTTTGTCTGGGGTCAGTCGAGGCTCGCTTGAGAGTGGGTGGACCCCATGCAATGCTCAAAAGTCGGGATTTGACGCGATCGAACTTTCGAAGGTGAACTAAATCATCGTCTAGCAAAGACAGGATGCGTATACTTCCGTCCTCGCATCCCATTGCCAGCTGAGTCGACGCAGGGTTGACTGAGACGGACCAAATAGAGCCACCCTGGGAACTTATAGTTCTCTATCAGAAATGTCATTCAACACTGCAGAAGAAGGCGGTATATAACCTACTCGCACGCAACATCGGTCCGTGTCCCATTCCAACAGTTCACTGCCGCCGCCGGAGCTGAACAGGCGTAGTACATCAAGATTCGGAACCTCGTCAAAACGAAGCTGATGCGGACATCGTATGGAGAAGGCAAGAGAATCGACTTTGGATGGATATAGACCTGGTAGTGTCTGAGGCGAGATTAGCACAAGTCATAGAGAGCAGTAGTTGCACACCTTGGTCACTGCCCACGCTTGGGGTGAATGAAAACCATCCTTCTCGCCTGCCCAGTGACAAAGATCGATGCTCCCATTGGCATGACCAACAGCGAGGGTTGCGAAACGTGGAAACTGGGCTGCTGCCGTTGAAGCCTTTGCTTTGGGCGAGGGTAGGGGCAGAGGAGGAAAGGCCAAGGCGGTGATTGGAGAAGGGGTATAGTCGACGAACCTGCAACGGTGGACGCTGATGGCTGTCTGAATGTGAGAGTCGGCCATGGCTGCACCAAGAGACGCGACTTTTTTTTTTCCGATGCCTGATCTGGGCGAAAAAACGTGACCAGGTACATTACCTGCACCTTGAGAATCACGGTCATCAAAAACTACGCTTCAAAAACATCATGTCCTTCCTTGGTGGTGGTCCGCGGGCTGGTCCAAATGGCGGTGTCAACCCAGAAAAAATTGAAATGGCCATTACCGAGTGACTATCCTCATTCTTCGTTTTCGCTCCGTTCTGACTGTATCCACAGACTGGACACAGTCACCGACTTCTTCAACCGCATGGTGGCGTATGGACGTTCTTTTTGTCCCCTTTGAGATGTCTGAACGTTGCTCTAGGTCATGCCATAATAAATGCATTCCCGCCAGATACGCAGACGGCGAGCTGAACAAAGGCGAGCAGGTCTGCATAGACCGCTGCGTCGCAAAATACAACGACGTGCAGAAGAAAGTCGGCGAGAAGATACAAAGTAGAAGTGCAGCGAACGCAGGTAGCTCAGGCTTCGGTCCACTGTAATCATCTTCCATCGCACCATATTTATTCCTCGGCCCCCACACTCTGAAATCTAAGATCGAAAGTAATTCCGTGTCAAGTCTACACCAAAGCAATTGTAGTGCGAAAAAGTAAAAACAACAGGTCATTTCCCAAAAGTTGGGAAGCATTCAGCAAGGGTCTTGCTGTGCTTGTTCTGTGCATGCTCCTCTAGCCTGTTACGATAATTCGTTCAGAAAAAAAATACGATGAGTCCTCAAATACTCACGCGGGTGCCCGAGTAGTGACAAACTTGATGAAGATATTAGCCAGCCCCCTGTCATGTAAGGGATGTAAAATGCTCACGAATGCCTGTCGACATGTCGCACAGAGGATGTTCGTAGCTGCTGCGTTGGACTTTGACTGCGACTTGGATCCCTTCGCAGCGTTTTTGTCCGCATTTCTCTCCCGTTTCTGAGCTGCCTTGGCGCCCTATACATGAGATGAGAATGAGCCACCATACAGACAACTTTTTCTCTCACGTTTCCCATTTTCAAATCCGAGTTTGAACAAACCCACAGCGCAACGAAATGAGCGAAAGGCGACGTAAATTGGACAAACACCTGTTACGTAAGGTCTCGATTTCACAAATTCCGGTCGTTTTCCGGACCGTCTCTTTTGTCAGAAATATTCCACCATGATAACAAGTTTAGATGACTCAACGAACTCTTTCTTCTTTACGACTACGTCCACTCTTTTTCGTCCAGCCGCGCAAAATGTCTTCTTCCTTAGATGGCGCCAGAGCAAAGGTTATCCAATCTGCCAAGGTCGAACTTTTGTCCAAGACTCAAGCTCTAGAGAATGATTATAAACGCAAGGAAATCGCTCGAAGCTTCATTTGTGAGTCGTTGTAATTGCAACAATGGAGCCCATACTGATGAGATAGTGAAGCGGATACCATTACTGGTTGGCCACCCTCTCAGTTATATCTCCTGGCAGCTTAAATGAAATAAAATGTCACAGTTCCCACCGCAGAGATGTATGCCTATGCCGTCAATGCGACTCTAGGTGACGACGTATATTCGGAGCCTTCGACCACGCCAGTTATTTATCAGCCTACTTATCAGTATTCATCTTGACATCCCTCTCCTATTAGCGCCCTGGAAGCTCATATCGCCCAGCTGACCGGCAAGGAAGCTGGACTATTCATGCCATCAGGAACGGCATCGAACCAGATTGCGCTACGCACGCATTTGAAGCAACCTCCATACACAGTCTTGTGTGACCACCGTGGCCATATTCACAGGTATGCGTGTCGCATGAATCTCATCCGTAGCTAATTTTAATTATAGATATGAAGTCGGGGGAACACCCTTCCACTCTGGTGCTGCCATGACCACTTTGATCCCCTCAAATGGTACAAATATCGCATGCCAGTCTGTGTGCGAACTAATTTTGCAACAGGTCATCATCTCACTTTGTCGGAGGTGGAAGACAATGTGATCTATGACACAGATGTCCACTTGTAAGTCCATACTCGTTTGTTTCCGCACTTTTTTTCGTTTATCCTCGGGCAGAGCTCCGACAGAGGTCATCTCGCTTGAGAACACTCTCAATGGAACTATATTCCCGCAGGACGAAATCATTGCTATCTCCGAGTTTGCCCGTTCGCACAATATTAAGATGCATCTTGATGGTGCACGTCTCTGGCATGTTGCTATTGAGACTGGGTTATCTTTGAAGGAGTTGTGCGATGCCTTCGACACTGTCAGCCTCTGTTTCAGCAAAGGGCTAGGTAAGTTACTATATTATCCGAATTTTAGGTACTCATTGTCCTCTGTGTAAAGGCGCACCTATCGGTTCTTGCTTAGTCGGCCCAACAGAGTTCATAGCGAAGGCCCGTCGATTCAGAAAGCTTTTTGGGGGCGGTATGCGACAAACTGGTATTCTCGCTGCATCGGCTGCTTACGCTCTCAACTACAATTTTCCGCTACTTGTCAATGTCCATGCACTTGCTCGCAAGGTCCAAAAAGGCCTTGAGGACGTCGGTGTGACCATTCTAAGCCCAGCTGAGACTTGTATGGTGCGTGTTTACTATACTGCGCCTCAGAGATTGGCTCTTATAGCTCCATTTCAGATTTTCTACGATGCTTCGAGCATTGGCGCAACGTATGATGAAATATTCGAGCGAGGGAGAAAGTTGCCAGAGCCCCTCATACTGGGGGGTTCCAGAGTTGTCATCCACATACAGACTTCCGAGGCTGCTGTGGACGATTTCTTGACCTTAATTCGGGACATCGCCGGGGAGAAAAAGAGAGCAGGATTTGTTAAGCCTGAAACAAATGGTCAGACTCATTTCAAGGAGGTTTATGTCAGAAGGGTCAGCCATTAGAAGAATACAACAATACAAATTAGATATATGTACGCTGTACAATGAAAACGGAGCCTCTTATCCTTTGCCGATATATCTTTGCTTTTCGTAGTCCTTCCACAATGCTTTCATCATTGCTTTTCCACCCGCATCAAGAGACGATAGCATGATTGCGTCTCGACTGTGTTCATTGATCATGTCACACAAGGCGAAAAGGCCAGGCTCTAATTCTTTCCGAAGACTTGCCGGGAAGACACAAAGAGGATCGCCGACAGCATTAATATGTGCCGCCAACACATAAGCAGCATGCTTGGAAAACGGTCCCACCAAAGACTCCGCCTTTTGGACCTCTCGACTCGATGACTGGGCTTTGACTATGTTTTTGGTAGCCAAGGATTCCAAGAGTCGAGAAAGTGTCTTAGCTTCTTCGTTGCCCAGAGGTTGCTGGGGGGTTATCCAAGGTGGGAAGCTCTGTGCGACCATGGCGCTCTGCTTTGCCCCAAGCTGAGCGCGTGGTCTCCGCATGGTCATCAATAACTGTCGCAGAATGTAACTGAGATGGGGCAAGGTTTGGACGACAAGGTCGCGTCGGAAACGGACAAGGGCCCGAATGACTATGACGACATCATGGAAGGTGGCCGTCGAGGTGTTCTTATCTTGTTCTCGAGCACCAGACAGAAGCTTTGCTATAAGTGACCATATCGCGCTGACGTCAACTGGTCGTAGCGTCATTGGCTGTTCAAGATCGGTGAGGTTCATATAATAATGATACAGTCACCAGAATAGCCTACTCGGTCGCGGCATCGTTGAACTAGGAAGCGGAGTACCTGCTGGCGGATCAACGGGGACATTGAGATGAATACATCCCTACTCCCGAATGTCGTTATACAGAATGTCGTAAAGGTTTGAGCAATTGGGAAGGTAGCTTGTGTATCGGATATGTAAGAGACATTTCCATGCTGAGCAGAAACGAAAGTGACCAACTTGTTGGAATCTCTTGTAACAATAACATGGATACGCCTACCATACACTGTAAGGATGCCATGGTGTGTTCGCCATCCAAAAGCGAATGAGAGATTGTCTTTGTTACAAGGGTAAATTCCCGAGCCGATAGTCCTCCATATATGTCGGCTAGAATGGCATCCATGCAGGCTTGACCTAATTGATAGTAAGTAAAGAAGCAAGTGCCCGTTATTCTCCATTTACCTTCGACGCCGATTGCTGGATATAGAACCACATAGGCTTCCGTTACTATATCCAAAAGCACGCTCCGGGCACCATCTGTGCTGTACAAGAATTCCTCTTTGAGGATCGCAAAAGCAGTTGTTATCGCATGATCATGAGTATGATTTTTATCGAGCTGACAGAACTTGAGGCACAACTGATGTCCGTACATCTGTGAATTGACGCCTACAGGTTGATAGGGTATAAGAGCGATACGGCACCGGCAAACAATGGACGACATACCTTGGGGCGTTAGCCATCGTTGAAGGGATATAATGCAATGCCACCCTATCAACAGGCCACTGGCATGCGTTTTCAAGTCGTCTGCAGTTAGGTCGCTCGCTATCATAGCCATCATAGAAGGTTGAAGGAAGTTCTTGAAATCTTTATGAATCTTACGCATGTCAGCCCTGAATTCATCTGAGAAACTAGCAGAGAGACATATCAGCAAAGGAAGCTCCACCCAAAAGCAAAATTCCAACCTGTCAGCTTGGTGCTCTCTGATCAAAAGCTGAAGCATTCGCTGGAAGCACTGTGAACGGACGTCTCGCTCAAGGAAAGAACTGAGCTGCAGCCTCAAATGAAAGCCGGACAATAGTTCCGCCGCGGCTGAGCGATGGCTCTTCTCTTCTTTCAAGAGCGAGCTAACAGCAAAAGGATAAGTTTCAATATCGATTGCAGCGTCTCTAACTTACGATAGATAAAACTCAGCAAGATCCAGCGTGGCAAGCGTCAATTCTTGCTTGGTTATGGCAGCTGTGCCAGATGTCATTAAATGTTCCAAGTAGGACGGAACATCTTCAAGCTACCTTCATGTGAGTCAATCGGTAGAAGAAATAAGTATCAAGCTAACCGGTCTGTCAATGACGCCAAGATGTGAGAATACCCGCCTCGCAAAAGTGCGGAGCACTGATGCAGATTGGGAGATGTATTCCTGATCTTCGTTTGTCGAGCCACAGATCGACGTATCTGCGCATAATGCTTTCTTCGCAAAATTTAACCGTGACTGCCGAGAGAAATACTCAACTGGGAACGCCAGTAGAATACGGAACACAAGTATTATGTCACGGCGTGTTGTACTATCATTTCGGACAGAGTCCTCCGGTCGCTGGTCATTAGTTCTTAGTATTGATGTCGCCTCATCAAAATACGCAAGGAATGCATCTAATTCCACCTGTATGAATTACGTTGTCAACATGACAAATAAGCTACTCACTGCGTAAGCTCGGCAACTCCCAAACTTGAGCCGATGACAGGCAATGCTGGAGTACGGTGTTACCGTCCCTGACGATGACGCTAACAAGATTTCTCAATTGCTCATCGGATGCCAAATCACTAAGCCTCATTGAAAACACAACTTACTCACAAAGAGACTGCAGACTTACTCTAGAATTGGAAGCCATTGGTCGATAAGAAGATGAAGCAGCGCAATCTGTGTACGGCTAGCATCTTGGGATATCGAGCCCTGTGCAACAAAGGCAATCAATTTGTCCACTAAAGATGCGTGCTCCTCAATATCATGGCCGACAGAATCAAGCAGAGTTCTAAACTATAACAAGAGAAGATGAACGACAATAGACACATACACAGAAAGAGACATACAATCTCAAAGTTCATAGTAGGATAAATAGGGTATCCATGTTCATCACTGCTTTCGTCCATTAACACCATGAGCTTCGTCAACATTTTGCTTTCCCATGAATCTTCTGGGGTCAATGAGTGACAACGCTGAGCGCCCATGGAGTATTGCAGACGGAGAAGTGATGACACTCCCACCGATGATCCCCACACCTCATGAGAGTGAGTACTAATTGTTTTGTTCAGAAATCTTACAGACTTGGATAGGACTGGACACAGTGACGCGCTCCGGAAAGCGTCAGCAGAGCGGTGCGTCTCTTCTCGAATTGAGGACGGTAACGATTGCTGCGATATCGCGGATAGAATAACAGTGGATATCCGACACGAGAGTGTCAGACAGAAAGCTGACACGTCCAAATCGTGGATGATGTCTTCGGAAGCAACCATAGGTGATTTCCCCTTCTTTACTTTTTTGATGTGCTCCGACAGGGTTTCTTGTGCAGCTGAGAACGCATCAGAGCACGAAGCAAGAGTTTCAAAGATTGAGCGAATAGTCGGTAGTATTTGAGTGGAAGTGAGGAAAGTCCGAATAGATATAACCAAGCGATCAAAATGAGCAGGATGAACAAGTGCAGACGCTTCCGTGGCGATCTGATAGGCCGACCTAACGTCGTCGAGGAGGGGCGTTATCTGGTCTCGTCCAAGCGCTGATAGTATGACGGAGATGTGAGTATTCAGGGTGCGAGTCTTGGAGTGATAATCCAATAGAGTTTCCAGTAACGAGAAGAAAGAGTCGACAGTGGATGTCTGTGTGATGATAGATATCTAAGATAAAGAGAGGTTGGGACGAAATGATATACTCACCACTAATATTAGGGGTAAGATCCTGGGCAATGCCGCTTCTAGGATACTGTACTCTATGCGGGCGATCATAGTGAGCACATCAGCTACAAGCGAGACAATGTTCTGTTGTTCTTCTAAAAGTCGATCAGGTGGTGGCGCACAGTCAATGAGCTCCAGGCATACCTGCAGCGCTAGTGGTGCTGAGAACTGAAATGGCATTCTCGACGACCTTTGCGAAGACCCCTTCAAAATCTCGCTGACTGTTGGAGAACAGTGCTTCTTCATCGATGACCTTCAACAATCCCACCTGAGCCCTCCAAGCTCTGGCTTCTAGGCCACTGGCATCTAACAAAGGCTGAGAAGAAACGAAAAAGCACATCCCCGCCGCTCGAACTTCCTCTACCCCACCTGTCGACTGCCGCGATGATCCCTGTCCGAATAGTGCCCCGCGAAACCGTTTTGCGGTGGTTACGAACGAGCGAAATATGCGAGGAAGGTTGCCCAGAAGTGATGGTTTGTCTACGCCCTCCAGGACGTCGAAAAATGCAATTTCACCGTCAACAGACTGCCGGAGGATATCGAGGCTGAAGAGGATTTCAACGCCAGCAGCATATATGTTCTCCCCAAGAATGGAGCTTGCGGCTTCTGGACTAGTGTATGCTATCCAATCACAAAGGTACATTTGGGTAAATGTAGAATAAAGCTACGAGACTCTTTAATGAAGGACAGAGAGCAACGTGAAAGAAACTGACCTTCTTTTTCATTGACGAATTATTGAGGGAGGACATGAATGAGTGAATTAACCACTGTCCAATCTGATCGTGATTCCTGTCCGATTGACAGCACTGTGCAGAAGACAAGAATATTCCGAAGCACTCCAACAAATTTTCGGTGGTAAATTTATGTACTGCCAGCGGCCACAATATCGCCAGACAGTTGCATGTAAGGAGCATTAGGTGTCGCCGAACTTGGTTATCAACATCTGATAGGCCTCTGAGGAGGGAAACGACGACAGGTAGGACCGGGATACGATTCAAAAGCGGTAACAGCCATGTCCTTAAGGAGGCTTGCGGAGACGAGATGACATCGAGTAAGAGGCCCCAATAACGAACATCCACAGGAGCGCTGAGAAACGAAAAAGTCAGCACAACATGATGATCATGCATACGAAATGCTCGCACGTCGTTTTTTCTTTAAGCAGTCTAATCAACACCCAATCCGCAATAACTTCCTCTTTTCTAGGGACATAGAAAGCTTTATTATCCCATGCCTGCTTTGCAATCTCAATTTTCGGAGGTCCTTCAGGGAATGGAGGATCAGAGGAGCTCTTCAAGGCTCGCACAAAATCCTGAGACGAGTGAAAAGGCTCCATGACTGAGTGCTTGATCAAAACCTTGAACACGGAAATAATTTTTCTTCACCGGCCCGGAACTGCCAGTTGTGCCCTGTGCCAACTCTTTCACTGACTTCATTACTACTTGCTCCATCTCTCTCGTCGTTTGAATAGCATGAATCTCTCGGAATGTCAGTCACTCCAGAGAGAGGAATGGGAAGTCTTGGAGGTGTGCATACATCTCCTTCTTTAATGGCGTGTGTTTTAATACAATTCTCTAGTCCATCTATCCTGAATGCGTTTCCAGCGGCATATGCGATACTTCGGTAAAGCTTGAAATCCCTGTAGAGTTCAGTGAACCTCGTACCGTCTCTATCTCCAATGATGGTCTTTCGCAATCTCTTTCTCTGACTGTGTTACCGCCGCTTCTGCTGCATATTGACTTGCCTTTGGCCTACCCCCTCTACGATCCTCCACAATTGGTATCGATACACGCTACGCATCTTTGGATGCCCCGATTATCTAAGCTTCAAAGTACCCTGTCTCGGATGTGGCAACCTGGAGAAACTGTATTATACAACTGGGTTGAATTCATTCATGGCGGAGAGTTCTTGCACTCTGTAGATCTTACATCCGACACGGATCCTACGGTCATTAAGTGCGCATTTCCTGCATTTCTGGTGATTCTTTCATTAACGACGCCGTAGCCTCCCTCATCCAGCACCTCAGCTTCTTTCGCCTTTGCTGGCTGCCTATGAAGTGTCCTCAAAATCTAACCGATTCGCACAAAATTCATACCCGTGTTCCATTTGTCTGACTTCCCATAAAGGCTCCAAGTGTTTGCAGCTAACATGCGGTCATGTCTTTTGCCGACCCTGTCTCGAAGATTTTTGGCAAATGTGTGTGAGAGAAGGAGAGGTTTCTAGAGTAGGCTGCCCTGATCCACGTTGTGTCAAGTTTGGCAGAGAAGCGAATGAGGAGGAAGTCGCACGTATTTTAACACCGGAAGAAATACAACGATGGCGTCGGTTGAAGGAAAAGTGCATGCTTGAAAAAGGTGAACTCATTTGCTCTACATGCGCTAAGTAATGCTAATTTATGCGCACGCAGACCCTACTATCATGCATTGCCCGATGACCTTTTGTCAGACGGCTGTCCCTAAACAAACTGCTAACGATGAGGAATCCGGCTGGGACCGCCTAAGAACATGTCCGTCATGTTTATGCTCGTTCTGTTCGATTTGCAAGCACGCATGGTAAGCAACATAGCTGTAACCAATGTAGGGATTAGCTGAACGAAGTAGGCACGGTCCTATATCGCCCTGCTTGGCCTCTGCGCCGAATGAAATCGTCAAAGAGTATCTTGCGCTGGCTGAAGGCTCGTCACGCCGTGAAGTACTTCTCAGGAAGTACGGGAGAGGCAATGTTCTCAAGCTCGTCAATGCATACCACGAAGACCAACTAAGTCGGCAATGGCTCGAATCAAGCACGATGGCATGCCCTGGATGTGAGGTGCACGTGGAGAAAGCCATGGGTTGCAACCATGTAACGTCTCTCTCGGAGAGTGTAGTAGAAAGGCTCCTTTTTGACGATTATTTATTTCTAGATGACATGTGCTAGATGCCAGATGCACTTTTGTTACCGATGCGGCGCAAAGCTCAACGGATCGAACCCATATGTGCATTTCTCGACACCCGGTGCGCGATGCTACAACAAGCTGTTCGACTTTGAACAGGGATGACGAGGAATGGATCCACGACCTAGATGGGTTATGAATGGAACGGAACTCGAGTATTGTAGAATAGACACTCCGGAGAGATGTCTCGGAAGCGGCCTCATGAGGAGAGACGGTCGTCATAGAATTTATTAAGTAGAGAAACTTTTGAGGCAGAATGCAGACACCGAAAGAGGCAACTTGAGGGCGGAATGAAAAGGCGGCAAAGACACCGGGTGACTATCTGAGACTTGCTCTGACCTTTAATTTTTTGACTATTTTTGATCTTGCATTGTTCCGGATATCGAGGATATAGGTCGAGTATATTCCTTAATATTCGTCTATATAACTCGTTTCCCAGCGTGCTCGGTCTGTCTTTTGCCCGGCTTTGGTGCATTTCCGTCAATAGTGGAATTTGCCAGCAACGGCAGCAGCAGACCCAGCATCGATACCACTTCCAGTGTCGCATACCCTCCTATCCAATACCCTCACCTTCCACGACGCCAGTTATTCCGTTTCTCTCTTTCTGCACTCGACATGGACGTCTATACAACTTCTTTCACTTATCCACGCCGGTCGCGACACATTCATTCCCCGTCTTCATCACTCGACTACGCGTCCGCCACAGAGCTCAGAGGCACACCAAGCGAGCCTTTTCCTACACCACACCTTCTCCAGCAGCATGTAAACACTTCTAGTATTCCTTCAGAGGCCGACACTGAAGCCATCGCCAAGCTTGCCATGCTTGCCGGCACCTTGCATGGTTGTCATGTCTCTTATTTCTTGACCGACCAAGGTCGCGGTTGGAATTTCCATGTTACCGGCTCCTACCAGCAGGTCATGATTACTCGTGGTATGATATTAAAAGAGTGTCCCGTCCAGGTGCGTTGCCTTTTTCTCTCTCTCTCTACCAGTAGCTGACGCTGTCCCAGCACCGCGCCGCAATCAAGGTTACACGTTCAGAGATCCTCGATTCTCCTTCTTCGAAGCCTGCACTCAAGCCGGAGGTCAGACGTCGACTGGACGACATCGCTTCGCAGACTCTAGCGCATATAGCCGTCGTTAACAGCCCTTTGTCGCTCTCAAGTCGCACCCCCCCAGACGGGATCAGTAGCAGCGCTGGTTGGTCCGGGCTCGAGACTGAACGTATATGCGAGCTTGTTGTGACAGGGCCTGGCGACTCCGTTGACTTGGCGAGGGTGCGGTTGATGGTCATGCTAGACGAACTGGTGCGTTCTTGGCCCAATTTCCTGTGCTTCGAGCTTACATACCTCACAGAGTGGTCTTAAATCCGAAATGTGCGAGATTGACTACAAACTCGCCTCCATCATCGCTGGCAAGAAGCGTGGTGTTCTTCAGTCTATCCAGGAAGAGACCGCCACAAACATCTATCTGCCTTCCCCGTTACAAGGTCTGGTAGGACCTGATATTTCCCTTTCCTCTGGCACGACGGGCAGTTCTCGTTCGAGTAGTGTAATCTGGATCACAGGCGAGTTTTTTGGCGTACAACGTGCGAGAGACATGTTGTATCAGGTGTCAGCTACGAAGGTACGATTGTCACACCGGAATCCATGTCCATCTTCTTACACCACGCAGAGCAAGTCAGTTATTTCAAGAGACACCGCTATTTTGCCACGCAAGCTGGACTGGATGGTGACAGACCGACCCGACGACCTCAAGTCTATAATGAGTGACAATGCTACGTTCATACAATTTCCCCCTCTCGGTAGCTCCACCAGCCTCATCACTGTCTTTGGGGACAGCCGCGTCAACATACAACGCACGATTCGCTCCATCATGCAACTCGTACGTCAGTCAATATTGGCTTCCTCTCACGCTCAATCTATTCGTAGGCTTGCAGCTATTACGTTGGATCTTTCTGGCTTTTGCCCGTACAATTTAATGCGCTCTTACCGCCCACGACACTGGGTGCTAGTCAAGTTTCTACACTGCTCAAACAAATTTCGATTACGACTGGTGCCGAAGTCGTTTTCAAGAGCATGTGCTTTGAGATGCACGGTCTAGAGCATGAAGTGAGAGCTGCAGTCGGCATGGTCATGGAACTGGATCTCATCAAAGTACGGCTTCCAAGCATCAGTCCGGTCCTCGGTTTTAATCCTTGTTACAGACTTTCCAGCATGAAATACGTTTTCAGATCGAGCTATCAAACGAGCATCGTGAATTCATTAGCGGGAAGAAGAACGGCAAAATAAACAAGATCATGCAGACGACTAATGTCAAAATCAAATTCGAGACGTTTAACGACCACAACTTCCTCATCGACATTTCTGGACCCGACAGTTCTGTTTTGCAGGGCCTCTCACTACTCCAAGAGGAACTTCCAGCCGAAATATCTTTCCATGTCCCAGAGGCCTATCACAAGCGCATCATTGGCGTCGGTGGGAGGAGCATCCAGCGCATCATGAAGAAGTATGGTGTATACGTCAAGTTCTCCAATGCGGAGGAGTTTGCTGCATTGGGTGGCTATAACGACAATGACGACAACGTTGTGGCCAGGACACCAGCAAAAAATGCCATTAATCTGGACAATCTCAAGCAATCAGTGATGGAGCTGGTCAGCCCTAAGGTAACGGCTACTTTATTTCTTGATAAACAATTGACATATAATCATCCAGGATAAGGACTTCGTCAACGAGACGGTTGCCATACCTCGACGGTATCATCGTACGCTTCTGGGGGAGAAAAGTATTTTCATTCGCGACATCGAAACGAAGACAAACTCTCACGTCCGATTCCCGGACAAGGAGACAGCATCCGACATTGTGACAATATTCGGACCTGAAAGCCAGGTTCAGATTGCCGCTGCTATGCTTTTGGTACGGCTTACTACACGTTTTCACGTTTTCTACTGACAGCCCTCTCTAGGAACATGTCCCGTTCGAAGCCGATATGGCTGTGCCTTCGAGCTCTGAAATTCCCCGGATTTGTAACTCACCCGAATTTCTCACGTTCGCGGAAGGTATCAAGCGTGATTTGCAGGTGTCCATCGTACCAAACCTCAAAACCGTCACCGCGAATGGGACCTCTACCTCCGATGCGTCTCCAGAGTACACATTCAAGTTCCGTTGCCAGCGAAGTAACAGTGACTTCCTCATCACCGCTCGCGAGATGCTTGAGCAGTTCCTGGTTAACCACAACATCCATGTCTATCCTTCACCGACGTCTCACACACACAAACGTGGAGATTCATTTGCGGAAGCCTTCCCACATTTCGATAGCAAAGTTCTTTCTGCAGCGGCAAAGACTCGAGGTAAGCCTTTTTGTTAAATGTCGTAGACGTCACTCATCTCATCGTTTCAGTAGAGTCGGTAGACCTTGGACGTTCGGATCCTGTCCTTGGAGACCGGCGGTTACGTCTGGCTAATTCATCTCCTGATGTGAAAGCTCTCTTCAACTCGCCGGCATACATCTACAATTTTGAAGAGCATGATGATACCCAAGGCGCATATGGCCCTGGCCCTACACTTGAGTATTGGTCACCGTTACCCCCCATTGTATGTCACTTGCAAGGTCGTACGGTCCAATGGTACTGACAGATGATAGGGATCTGGCATACCTTCTCGCACGCGCCATACTGAGGATGCTTTGAAACGAGGTTCGGACTCACTACTCGAAGCAAAATTGAAAGAACAGATATCTAAACCCCGCTCTCTGACGAATCGGGCCCAGTCCCTTGACTTGACCTATTCCCTCTCGCGAATCACGGAAACCTCCTCTGGTCTTCCGCCGGACTCGCCGACAACTTCAACGGGCGACAACGGTGGAAATTCGAGTCCAACATCAGCCACTGCCCCTTCCTTCCCTAGTGTGTACGGTCCACCTATGTCGTCACGTTCCGCCGTCATTGGTGTACCGCAGATGTCGGGCGGAGCGTATGAAGCTGATGATGTTGATGCCGAAGCTTCGCGGATGATGTCGAATCTGGGTTTATGATGGATGTTCTGTGAACTCTTCTTACCGGAAGACGGCGTCTGCATAAAAATCCGAAGATAAACATCGGACAATATATTTCTTGATTCTGCTTTGTTATCCTATATTTTTACCCTTCGTCTTCACCGATTACGATTCGGTTTGTATTTAAGTACCTACACTCAAACACATTTACCATTTTCCCTATATCTCATCTCCAGTGTACAGTTTGCTTCCTACAATAGTGGGCTGGTCGTATCGTTATATTTTCACTAATAGAAATTTAATGGTATGAATGTCAATGAAAAAGGTGGTATCAATGAATTAGTTCACGATCCAAGGTACTTCGTACATAACGAAATCGAAGAAGTCCTGCTCCATTAATGATTGGTATTCTCCCACAAAGTCCTCCGAAGTCTTCGCCTTTGATTGCGCACCACTGGCGCGCGAGCCAAGATATGAGAAATGTGACTGCAGTATACTAAATAGCTTCTTTGCTGACTTCGCATCTGGCTGCAAAAGGAGATAACAGGTGAATATGTCCCAGCATTACATATGGACAAGTATACCTTAACGGCAAGCCCTATGTAGTTTGCAGGAAGTCCATATCTAAGCACGCTCTCAACGAATAGACGAATAACTTTGAGGTGTACGAGAAGCTGGAAAGATTCAGAGAAATTCGTCCGTGACAAGTGGAGAAGCTCAGTCTGATTTCTTGTGAGCTCAGGTTACACCACAATGATTAAATCCCTGCATACCCAGAGTTCCTTTTCCGTGATATCCGCCGTTTGGAGCTCTTGGCGCTGATTGTCAATGTCTTCTTCGGAATACACGAAGTCTCGCACGATGAACCTATGCAGACGGGTATTTACAGACGGCGAAGAAGTGCGAAGTAGATATCGTACTTATTCTCACGACATTTTTGCACGAATTCATCGCGTACTCGTCTGAATACGACGACGCTGTATAAAGTATACTCGTCATCGGAAGCGATGGACCTGGGGTGATCAGATTTGAAATGACGTAGCAGAAGTCGACGCACTGAGCTGAACGAGGCACCACCATTGACGCGAACCTTTCGTATTTAGAATTCCAGACCTTGACCAAATTTCTGTATGGATGTAAGCCATCTGGCATCATCACTCGTTCCATTGAGTAAACATACTTGGGGACAGCAACTACGAGCGTTTCGAGATATTCAGAGTCGCCTATGAAGTCCTCTTTAGACACAACATCCACCAAAGAACGAACGGAGAGATTCCCACTGAGACAACGTCAGCGACGAGTTATTCATCGACATTAGGACAACGCACGTCTTCTTTCGCTGCATCTGCACTAAAGAACCTTTCACCAAGTTGTAATTTGTCAACTTTGCTCGCATTGAGTTGTCAATCGATGTCATTTCCTTTACAGCAGCGTCCATGATCAGCGATATTGTCGTTCCGAAGGGCGCCAACCTTGTTCAGCGTCTCAACCATCTCTCTGAGTCCCTTCTGTACGCCATACCGGCCTTCGTTCCACTTCCAATCATCGAGAACATAGCTATCAACGGTCCTTTCGTTTACCAAGATGTGCTGGGCCAGTCTTGAAGGATCATTGTTTAACAGATTGCGCAAAGTGTCGACCACCTTTGCTACAGTAGCGGTAAAATAGGTTTCTTGTTTCGGAAGGTCTTCAGATAGTGCAATGAGCAGATCTAGTGTTCCTGTCTTTGTGTTCCACTGTCAGACGGCTCTTAGTAATGGGCAAAGAGAAAGCACCTTGAATGATGGTATGCTGAATTGTGAAATCGAGTTAGGAGGGTAGTTTTTCAACTGTTGGGTGACCTTATGAGTGATCTCCTGGTGGACCCCTTCCGAGTCTCCATTCAGTGGGATAGAAATTAGCCAGGTACTTTGGTCGGAAGGCATTACAAGTTCGTCGTAGTCCAAGTTCGTCGAGGGGCTTCCGTGCAGTGCTGGTGTACTTTGGTCCTGTTTGTATTCAAAGCCTTTCCTCGATCTCTCTCCACCAGGATGCTTTTCAATTCCCTGCTAAAGGGCACTTTACGAATTCCTTTCTCGCGATTTGCCTCCTCTTCTAATGTAGCTCCTCTGATATTGTCTCCCCTCCAATTGCGCGAGATGTTGCACTCAAAAACTCTAGTCTCCGTGCTGGATGCTTCTTGGTTTATGCCCAACAGTCCTCGCAATGCAAAGAGCGAATTTATTGCGAAGAGAATACCAGGTTCTCAGTTTCTGGACTTAGATGAAGTGGCCAGCTCCCATCAGTTAGGCCTCAAACATATGATGCCCACGGAACGCGTATTCGCGGATGCGTGTGGTATGTGGCTTCATCTATCTCTGTATGGAAGACCAAGTGAACCTGGTCACGGTAGAAAGATTTGGAATTGAACCTGCATCTCATGTTGTGATGTGAGACGGTCAACGTTCCGTGTCCTCAGTCGTCCTAATCCCACAACCCAGATACGACAGTCACGGCATCTTTTCCTCACCTCGCGCCCTGTTCATGTTCAGATCGTTTGGCCATACTAATTCCAGTATTGTCAATGGTGGTTTGCCGCTCTGGGAAGACTTGGGTTTTCCTATTGAAGATGGGCCTGCTTCTGAACCGGAGCCAGCTGAATATCCAGCGCCAATGCTTGATGTGTCGACTATTCGCAGTGCGCTCCAGGACCTCGCATTACTGTTCTCTATCACTGCTTACAGTCCTCTTTATCAGATTATGAACAAATGGTTGCCAATTCAGCCTTGGACCCGCAATCGGTCGGTGCCGACGTTGTATTAGACGCGCGTTCCCGGGGCAGGTAAAATCTACTAAGCTCAATCAAGTGATTTAGTTTACACTTTGAACGTTACAGGTTTACAGGTGCAGATCCTGAGCCAAGGCCCGGTCTCGAGTCCGGACACATACCTCGCTCATTCTCGCTGCCGTTCAATGTTTTCTTGGAACAGCAAAGCACGGCATCGAATCCGATATACACAACCCTGCGTCCCATTCCGGAAATCCGTCAAGCGTTAGTTGATGCTGTTGGAGAAAAGCAGGTCGAAGCAATTTTGAAAGGAGATGCATCTGTCGTGACCACTTGTGGTAGCGGGATGACCGCCGCTGTACTCTGGTTAGGTTTGAAACTTTTGGGCGCCCACAAAGTTGGGCTATACGACGAGGTTGGTCCTCCGAAAATCTGTCAACGTGAAACCCAGGCTGATCTTTATCACCCTTTTTCATCTCGCAGTCCTGGACTGGTTATGCAATGCGCGGCTCGAGCAAAATTGAGAAGACTGTTTAGAGAGCGGCGGGCGTTATGTACAGCAGACCGCAATGATTCCATTTGTGGTTCTTCCCGCAGACTTTCAATTTCCGATTTACAAGTCTAGGCAGAGCAATTACCAGTTGTCAAGAAGCTGTTGGTGTCCTCCCTGGCATACGACATTGTACAGCCGAATAATATTAATACAATAAATATCATGGTAAAAATACAGCAACACGGACAGCTCGCACAAAAGGCGTCTACAGCCCTAGCCCGAATGAATACACACTGAAACACGCGACCTTAGCACACAAATTCGTGTAATACGTCTATGAATGGGGGCGGTGGTAAATGTGGTAGCTTTCCCAACACTTGGGCGGCTATCAGAAAGGGTCAGTGAGAAACGAGGCCGCAGCATTTTCACTTACGCCTTCCGCTGTACATGATCTCGATTCGATGACTCTTTCCTCTCCGAAATATAGTCAACCTCCAGCTGATAGGATCAGGAAACAGCAGAAAGATAGTACACAGGTAGACGTACCTCTCCAAAAGAAGGACGTTAAAGTCCTTCTTAGCAACTTCCTGGATAAGTTGTTGTCGTGAAAACGTTACCGCATTTCGGAGGGCGACACAGGTCAGGTGGTTAACGTCGAAAAGATATGTTCCCCGCGTGTCTACGTCACTAACGGCAACGATATCAAGGGAATCTGTCTCGTAAATGAGGCCTGAGGATGTCGGACGGGGGCATGGTAAGGACCGCACCTTCATCATCATAATACATGTAAACTGGCTTCACAGCCTTGCTATCAACCACCTCCCAGGGTGTCTCCCACTGGCGTCGAAACTTGAATAGCATTGAGTAGAGAAGAGAGAGGAGTCCTATGGTTTGAATGACGGGTGGCAGAATAAGAGGATGGCAGCTTTTTCATATCAGCACTCCTTTACAGCAGCGTCCTTTATAAGGACCCGCAAACAATTGATAAAACACGACGGCAAGCACTGTAAGAGCAATTGGAATGACTCATTGCCCGAATACCAGGGTTGATACAGGGGCTACCACAGGTAACTGTTAGCCGAGTCGGTAAGCGTGTTTACGCGAATCGGATGCGGTTCCGGGATATCGGGGCCGATTTCGGAGTCTTCACGGCGTAGAGGCCGAGTTAGGGGTATTAAGATAACATTACACGTCGGGTAGAACAATGCCACCGTCATCATTATTACATGAAGAGGAAAGCCATGGTACCAACAACCCACACAATGAGGCCGGACAATGATAGGGAACTCGCGAGGGGGTCAGAACCTGAACTCGAGCTGGAACCAGAGCTCGTAGAGTTCGTGGAGTTCGTAGAATTGGTACAAGTTGCATCTATGCTCTGGGAAAGACTGAAGTTGCCCAACAACGTCAAGTCGGAGCACTTGTATGTAAACATCATCAGCGTCAGATCAAGCCAAGTATAATAAAACCCGCCAATACCTGGTAAAGCTGGTCATCGCCTCCATTGTACAGGAACTATATCGCTAACACGTTAATTCATTAGTATGGGTTAATGGCTTGAAGCGCACCTGAAGGGTCACGTTCTGGCCACTCGTAAGACCGGTGGCATTTGTAGAGGAAAGATTCAAAGAAAGACAGAAGAGTCCTTCTCCTTTCAGTTCGAAAAACGGCACGATTTGTTCAAAATCATCAAACGAGGTCGGGTTCGAAGACGTGCTTAGATATACAGCCGCTAGTTACGTATGTTAGTAAAGAATACGCAGAATGATACTTGTTACATACCAGTCCACTGGGGATGCTCCGAATTTAGAGAGAAAAAGCCACTATCAAGTGGGAAATCGGTTCTGTTTTGTGCAACCGAAGTGTATCCGTCTGATAAATCGTAATCGGCGACCTGATAATACGACAAGTGAGGTAACCACATACCGCAAAATGTCGGCTCATTGTCCTCGTTGAACGCGCCGCGGGGGTCAGGAAACTGAAGTTGGAAATGGGCATTGGCCGCTAAAGCAAAGGCCGCCGCAAGGAGGAGGAACTTCATTTTTCTTTGATTTTTGGGGCTGAACGAATAAAGGAGCTGAGCAATGGATAAAAATGCATCTCGTTAGGCTTTATATTCGACTGATGTGAACCAGAGGTATGTACAATCTATCTTTAGGATCGAAAAAGTTTTTTTAACCTGTTTGGTCATGATTGTGACAACGCAAGACGAAGCGGATATTCCTTGTTGCCCGGAATTCCGAATCAGCTTTGAAGAAATTTCAAGTCAGATGGCGTAATCCTGCGTAATCGTCAAGCCCAGCACTCTCTTCATCTTATCATCATGTTCAAGTTGCGTCCCATGCTTCACGCCGCCGAGATGGCTTCCCCTTCTCGCCTCGTCCCAGTATTTCGTCCAGTTTTACTTCGTGCTCGATTCGAATCGTCGACAGCCCCCCCACCCAATTCTGACGACAAGGCCGCCTGGAAGGCTGCAAGGGAGCGTGCCGACGATTTAATCAGAGACTGGGATGCCAAAATCATAACTTACGAAGAGTTGAAGCCGAAAACACAGAGCCCAAGTCCTGTAAGCCTTCTACACCCGACTTTGAACCACATCATTGACCGCTGCAGAACGCCTACCTCATTGATGTTCGCGAACCAGACGAGGCCGCGCAAGGCATGATCCCCTCTGCCGTCAACATACCACTGACCGTCCTGGGAGATGCCCTGCACATGTCTCCAGAAGACTTTTCGACAAAATTCGGCTTCAAGAAACCTGGAGCACGACAAGAAGTTACCTTTTACTGTCGAAGTGGGAAGCGGAGTACCACAGCTAGCGATGTCGCGAAGCGAAACGGATATACCAAGTCTGTCTTCATTTCTGCAGTCTGTATCCATCTGATGTCGCCAGTATCCTCAACTTCAAAGGGTCATGGCTTGATTGGGTAGAAAGGGAAACAAACAAGTAGCGTGTTGTAATCAGCATCCACAACGCCAATAATCATCGTTCTTCTTCATGGTCCGTTCATTTATTTAAGCTGAGTTCCGAGGATCGTCGTTTCTGGAAAACCGTTTTTTGAGACGAATTACCTCATTATTCTTTCGTTTTCCCATCTCCGCACAGAACCTCTCGCCCATCTCCAAAATGACAGGCAAGAAATATGAAGTAGGTTAGTGCTTGCCCGCGTCTCATATTCGGTAACTTTCAGTGTCTTGAAAACCTAGAGGTGGTGAAGGAGGCTCGAAGGACTAGATTAAACAAATGGGTTCGCAGCTCTCCTGCCTTTATTGTTTTGGAGTGACTTCTGACTTTCATTGTAAAGGAATACCTAACAAAGGTATGCGGAGTCAGTCTCAACATAATTCACTCCATGGTATTGAATTATACATGCATATAGTGGTTTGGCTATGAGGATGATGAAAACACGTTGGTGGCTCGGTCGCTCTTAGACACAGATTCTTACTATGTTTCCCTCAGCTGGCAGACAGAATACTCTCTGCAAAGTCATTGCTCGAGACTATTAGAGAGCTTCTGGAATCACGTCGGCGACGGTAATTACGATTTCGCATGCACGGGGCGTATCATCAAGGCGGATCCCGAGTGGATAGGTGAGTTGAGTGACTCATTTGATATTTCGCTGTATCAGCACCCATAGCGAAAGAACAAAACTATTTCCGCGATACATACATCCACAAAACCCACGAAAGATTGACCATCAGGATACCGGCCCGTCCCCTTGTAGTGCATCAGGTGAGCCCGTCAAAATCTGTTATGCAGATCCTATTCCTGATGATATTCATCTTGCAGGAGCATAAACAAGTCCCTTCACCCCATGAATCGACCTCCCATCGCCGCGACGACAAGATTCCCTCCACAGCACGGTCCGCGGATGCACCAGGCAGCCTACCAGAAACGCCGAGGGTCTCAAGAGGTCCTACCACTCAAACTTTGCCTACTTTCAGTCCCAACGACCAAAGCGAACAACATTCCAAATCTAAGTACTCTGGGCTTAAATTCTATAAATCTGGTAGTGCTGACTCTATCTTTCTGGGCGGGTATGATCCCCACGCGTCAATTTCGAAGGACGTCGGTGACGCATTGTTTGCAACCGCCACAGATAGTACCATGACTTCAGCCCTATATGATGATGGCAGCTCCTATCCTGTCACTGACAATGACTTTGAGGATGACTTTCTGTAGGTCGAAAAGGACATTCTCAAGTAAGAAATCTAACCACTATGGACCAAGTGCCGAAGCTTTCAGGCTTGACGAGGCTGACTCAGAGGGGTAACTACTTCTATGGTAATATTTCTATTCATGCTCACTGGTAGCCAGTCCTTTTATCGATGACATTTGGAATGGCGATCTTTTTGTCAAAGTTGGCGGACGAGAACTATTCTGCCAATGTATCAAGGTTTCACCCAATTCGCCTGCTGACAATGACGAACGTATTCGTACTGCTCTTCGATCTCTATCTGACATTTCTGGGACATCCGACCATGAGAAGCGTCACATTTCCCTTGACGGCTTCTATCTAGCGTCAGATCTGAAGTCGATTTTGACAGGGAGGCTTGTAGGATTAATCAATCCTTCAACTATCTCTACTCAAGATTGCTTGCAAAAGCTTCAAGGTTGCATGACGAAATACTCTTTGGTATGAATAACTCTCGTCTATCGGTTTACAAACTGATGAAAAGTATAGGTATCACTCCTACAAGTCCTGGCCCCCAGCGTCGAGACCCAATATCTGCTGTTCTTTCCCCCGTCATTGAAGGGGCTTTGTGGGAAATTCCACCTCTCCCCCGTCTCCATTCATGATTCGACACTGATGGTAATTTTGCTCTCGGCTGCCATACCGGAATTTGGAGGCATTCGACGGTTTGATTGTCTCGTAGGCGAGGTACTCTTGCCTATTTCTGACTGGACAGCATTCTACTCTCGCGACGCCGTTTCTATCTTGGGAGTTCCCGAATGGTTGCTTACGTTTTTGGCGGATTGTCGGTCCTACGCCATATGGCCCGCAGTTGGAAGTGAGCAGTCGCTGCAAACATCACTGCTTCGATCAATCATTCGCAAATACTCGTTTGCCACAGAATCTAATTGGCATAGTGCTGTCGTCCACGAAGCTGGAATCATCTTTGTTCATATTGGATTTTTACGCCGCCTGCGGGAGTCTTTTGTTGTGGCCCGTATGAACGAAGCTACGATTGTTCAATACGGATCCGATGAGACTGTTCATTGCTACAATTGGGGCATGAAAAAATTGTACCACTCGGGTGGTCTTGTCACATTTACAGCAAGCACCCTACTTGATCACCCGCTGCATGTATTCAATCTTCTGGAGTCCGTAGAACGTCGGTTAGAGTGGGACCTCTATGTCATACCATCAGTATTGGAGAGAGCAATCAACACACACTACAAGGACAGAAAGCAGGCACTTGCAGCCTATGACATGTAATGGATCCGCACGGACATTCTTGTATATTCACTGACCACATCCACGTAGGGGTGACTTTGTGTTCGAGCGTATTCTCAATGCTATACAAGAGAGGACGTTGATGTTCGCATCAATATCATCACCGCCAGACGACCACCCCCCGGTCGACTTGACAGATTGGAACTTTCTCTCTGTAGGGCCATGCACCGCTCGAGAAATCCTCGAGTACTGCACGACGGACATGACGGAATACGTCAACCTCGAAGAGACTGCTCTTCTAGATAAAGATATTATTCCTGATCTTGAGGGCATGGCGACAGAGCCCGGTATCGCAAACAAGTATCGGCGCTACATTGTGCTGACATCGGAAAGCAAAAAGCATGACAGTCTCATGGTGAGAGGCCCACCAGTACTGACCATATTTGTCCATCAATCTTCTGTAGGTTGAATGCATCCCGATAACAAAATTCATCTTTGAAAATGCACCCTCTACAGTTATCAAGCGGCCTTTCACTCAAGTTGCCACTAGTTTGTAACCCGCCCAGATGCTTGCCCCGAACTCCTCGAGGTTTAGTACGATTCTTTTGGAGATGCGGTATATACTGAGGAACGCAATTTCTGTCAATGCCGAATTTGTAGATATAGTACAACATAGGAATCAATCCATTCTCCCTTTGAGTGTACGAGAAACCACCTTATCCTTGGTACTGCACTCTATTGTCAGAACCTGAAAAGAAAGCACGTGCAGAAAGCAACTCACATGACATGCACTATGCAGCCCCAACCCGAGTATGCATCACGATCGACAGCATTTAAAATCGTCTGGGATATCGTCTCGAACAAATCCTCAGGCTCCAAACCAGGCTCCCATAGACCTTCAGCAACACCATACAACTTGGAACTGGCCGTTCCGGCGACAACAAAGTCTTTAGCAAAATTTAGACATCCAATGAGGTCGGTAGCTGCAATGAAAGGCTTCAGGCCACCAGAAGGTGTCTTGGAGAGACCAGCCATAACGGGTTCGATGAAATATGGGCCAAATCGATGTTCGTATAGAGTAGACGACACGAGATGGGCAAATGTCTCTGGCTCGATTTCACGTTCTTCCTTGATGGTGTACATGTTGACTCTGTATCTGAATCTCTCTCGTCTAGCAGGACCACAGCATGAGAGTGACTGTTATCAACCAATAATCCTAATACGCACAGTGTAGTTACATCGGTCGCCAGACCAGGAAGCCCAACATATATGCGGTCTGTTACTGGGAATATCTTTACAAGGTGAGAGTCACAGAAAAACGGAAGCATACAGATAAATACCTTTTGAAAATTGGAAGAGATGCCTAGGGCTTGATTTCCAAGTCGTAAGTCAGATGCAATGGCGACACAGTCCTTCCCGACCATAGCTATGACGGAGCCACCGTTATATTCCATTATCGACTAGAAGAAGTTAGCACCCATTCAGGATGCACTTGGTGGACATACCATGATGACAAACAGAAACGGGTGAGAGGAAGGAAGGATGGTGAATGTGTACGCGTACAGTGCTCAGTGACGCGTCCTCAGTGAGTTGTGACTGTCACGGTGTAACGTAACACTTTCCACTACGGCCGGGCCGGGCCTTAGACGTTGACCGACGACGACAATCCTGCCAACAAGCTACCAAGTGAATACTAAATGGCCAGCTCGAGCAGTTTGAAGGTACTCTCGTTGTATACTGACACGTGCAGCCTGTACTGCCCTTGATCTCTTCCTTTACTTCACCAGCGTCCGCTCCCTGACGACGATGACGACGACGACATGTCCATCATTTCGCGTACACCATCTCCATCTCCTAATTCTATGGATGTCGATGAAGATATTAACAAGTACGATGAGTATATCCAAGGTGCACCGCCAGAAATTATCACCGTAGAGACCAAGATCAAGCCAACGAACAAGGGCTTTGCTATGCTCTCAAAGCTAGGATGGACAGAAGGGCAACCGCTTGGTATATCTGGCGATGGTACGGACAGCTCTTATTCGTCAATCAACTCCTAATTGTACGCTAGGTCGAGTAGATCCTATCCCTTTTCAAATGAAGGCTGATGCTACGGGGGTGGGAAAGATCAGTCAAGACGTCCGTATGATAGAAACGACTGTTTCCCAACGCCGAGAACTGGACTCCGAGCGTCAGCACAAGGAGACTGAAGATCAACGCCGTGCTCGACAAGTTTGTATCTCGGTTTTATCACTGCACGACAGACAATGTGTATGCTGTTTGACAGGACAACGCTGCACGCCGTTCAGCTCTCGCAAACGAGCTCTTCGATACCCTCAAGTCCTTCTATTGCAGTTTGTGCGATAAGCAGTTCAAGAATGTTGCTCAGTACGACGAGCACACGAACTCTTATGCTCACCATCACAAGGCACGGTTCAGGGATATGCAGGCCAACGTTCGTATCAAACCGCAGGATGAGGTTGATAAGCGGAAGGAGAAGGAGCGAAAGCGGGAGGAAAGGGAGCTGAGAAAAATCGCAGCGGCGAACGGCGTGAAGATGGCCAAATCTTTCAACCCTGTAGCAACTGCCAATCCGGATTCAAGAGATTCTGCTACCCAGCCCTCGATACCACACGTCACTTCTGGGAATGCTCAACTGGGCTTCAAAAAGCCTGGATGGGCTGCCATCGGGTTGGCCCCGTTACCTCCACCGCCCCCTCCCACCGAGCCACACAGTTCAGTTATTGTAATAAATGGGGGGGACCCGGCGCCATTAGAAGAGCAGGGGACACCTTCGAAGGGAGGTTGGCCGCTCCTTCACACCCCTTCAATTTCTGCATCTATTCCTCTGTCGACAACAAACCTGTCTTGCAACCGTTCACAACCTGCACTTCCGGTAAATCCAGACTCATCTTCTCCTTCAATGTCTTCGGAGGCTTCGAATGCCCCTGCGAAACCATCGAAGGCACAAGCGAGTCGTGCCGGATGGCAGCAATTCCAGAAATCCAATCAAAGGTGGAAATAGACAACATCTCTTTCTACTTACCTCTGATAGTGAAAGTGTACAATAGTAAAAATTTGACTTTCTATCGAGAGGTAAAGAGGTTGTACTACATAGCTACAAAGTGTACTCTTAATTTTGGATCTGTCGCATACGTATAAAAGTAACCGTTACTATCAAGAGGTCATATCCTCTCGTACGAAGGTCATTCGTACGGGGTGAGAAAGAACAAGAATAATAATGATTATGGGGTAAGGGGAACGAACGTGAGCAATTTGTCGTCAAAGCAGAATCGCCGAAACTTGGCATGAGATAAAGGTTAAAGTCCATCGTACGAAATACATCTCGCCAAAACCAAAAGATGATCACTCAGAATCACTTCCAGAGCTGTCTGACGCCGAGCTAGAATCCGACTCACTGTCCATGGCTTTTGGCACTGATACGGCAGCGCCACTGGCACCCTCGAATAGAGCCATACGCTGCTCTAGCTGTCGAATCTTTTCGGCCTCCACGTCTTCATCCATGCTCTTTCTGTTCAGACCACCCGTCCCAGTGCCCTTTCCATGCCGGTTTCGCTTAACCGGAGGCGCACGTAATGGGCGAATGACGAAATTATACAATTTGGTCAGAACCGGAGGTGGAAGTAAATCGATTTCAAGCTCGATCTCCTCAGTGCTCTGTCCGAAAGACTTCAGTAAGGTATTCCATAGTACAATACTCCATCGCTCACGTCTCGGATTTCAGGGACTCCTTCATGAATGATTTTGATTACACGCTCTAGCTTCACTCCATCCAAGCCCTGGATGGCTTCGCTTAAATCTTTCTTTTGATCAAAGGTGAGGAAATCATTTTCGGCAACGCCTGCCTTCTTTCCGGATTTCTTGCCGTTCTTCGGGGGAGGCAGGGGCTTGGGCTTGCTGGGCTTAGACGTCGATGGGTGAGGAGGTTTCTCTTTCTTCGGCTTCTTCTTATCCTTGTTCGCCTTGAGGTTCTTTAGTGCCGTCAGATTATCATTCATTGCTCTCATCTGGTCCTCGAGCACAGCGATGGCACCTAGATCTACGTGAGACACCATAAGTGATTGGATGGGCGAGAAACATACGAGAATGCTCGTCATCGCTTATATCTTCTTCGTCCTCTTCATCATCAGTGACTTCGTGAAGAGGAGGCAAAGCTCTCCATTTCGAGTCGAAAAGCCGTTGTAGCTCTATACCAGCTGTGTTCACAGGCGTTCCTTGAGGATTGAACGCAAAACAGTTGCGGATCATGAGCTTAAAGTCATCGCAAAACTTTTGGGCATTCGGATAGTCGCCATTCTCCAACTTTTTGCGCATCGTCGACATATCCATGGGCTTTTTGACAATCTTCGGATACGTCGGAAGGTCTAGGTTAACCCAGTCTTGATCAACGGATGAGCAACCGCAAAGGGTAACAACTGAAAGTCCGACTCACCAACAGGTTCATAGAACGGACTAGCAATGTCCCAATGCTGTTTTCGACTCAAATCCTGCAGAATTTTGCTGCAGAACTTCAGTTGCTCAGCAGTCCCATCATCCTTTACGCGTCGAGCTTTGCGGTGCTTTTTAGGGGCATCTGCGTATGGCAAATCCTTCGGTGGCGGGGGGTGTATCTCCCTCTTTGGACGGCCAACAGCCTCATTATCATTACGCCGTATAACAGGAACAGATGTCGATGCTCGACGAACCGGTTGCGCTTTCTTAGTTGGCACGGGGGGAGGGGGTGGTGGTGGTGGTGGTGTTGCCACCTTTTTGACCACAGGAGGCTTAGACTTAAAAGGCAAGTCAGCGTCGTCGTTGGTAGGATACAAGGACAAGTAAAGACCTCGATTGTCATTGGCATGTTCTTGACCTGCCTCTCAAAGACTTCCTCTACCCGCCTGCCCATAGCAGAAATGGTATGGTCTGGTCCATTAAACTTGTAACAATTCTCAAAGACGAGACGAACATCAGCCACGAATTCATCTGGGGTTGAGTATCGTGGGTTTGAAGAGTTGAGATCGGGCTTCTGGGGATTGGAAGTGGCTACTTTGCGCTCAATGGTTCCCAGGTCCATGGGTGTCTTGATAATGGTGGGATAGTGGGGGACATTGAGAGCAACAGGGTCGACAGGGCGCAAAAATGGAGCGGCATCTTTAAGCTTCTTCAAAGATTTGACGGAATTGTTGCAAAACCGATACTGCGATAGCGTGAGAGAAGTTGTTGGAAGCGGCGTCGAAGGCACAGGAGTAGAGCTGTGAGAAGCAACGATGGTGCTTGACGCTGGAGGTGGGGTTGCAGACTTTTCAGAGAGATAGGGCAAACGGATTAGCACGCCGAAAGCGGCGTACAGGGTGAAAGAAAGGGCTCACATGTACCAGAGAAGCTTTGTCTGCGTCTGAGTGGACCCTGGCCCTCTTTGCTGGTGGAGGTTTGTCATCATCGTCTTCGTCGAAAGGATCTCTTGATCCCGTAAAAGATTTTGAGGTGCCATTTGACGCGATCTGTGTGGCCGAGGAGCTCCGGAGAAGGTCAGGACTTGTATTGGACGTAGGCGCGTCGGCATCCCCCATCTTGACGTCGTCACCGTTGACGTGATCTGAATTGCCATTGACCCCATTAATGTGGGGCTCGTCAGTCATTAGAAGGTCCGTTGATAGTTCACTGGACGGTGGTGGTGGTGTTCCATAGGGTGGATCGATGGGAATGGATGCTGGCAGCGATGAGACAAAGACGATGACGGCGACGACAACGAAGACATACCTGGATCCAGCGGCGTCCCTGCCTGTGGAACAACCGACACGTCCTCCATCCTGTCTACATCAAGGTCTTCTCTGAGGGACTGAGAACTTTGTCGCGCGTCTTTCTCCTGTTCAAGAAGGTCGATATCAACGTCAACGTTGGGCGTGACGACGGACGATGGTGGAGACTGGGCGGAAAGATTTTCATCGACGCCGTTGTTGGCGCCGGAAGGGTCATGGTCGTCGTGAGTATCGGAAACGGGGTCTTGCGGGAGACTCATGGTGTGACAAGTCACGGTAAGATGGGTGAAATGCGAAAGTAAGAATCGAGTTAAGAGCCGGATCTCCCTTTATATACTTATTCTCGATAAGGTTCGATCCCGCGCAGGGACCACCACTGGCTCTTTTGCCCCGCCCCTTGCCTTCCTCCCTCCCTCCCTATTTGCCCTCACTCTCTGTCTTCTCTATCTACGTGTCCTGCTCTTCGTTTTCTTCTTCTTCGATCGCTGCAAACACGGGTTTCGGCTGGTTCACTCGCCATGCTGTTCGAGGGGTAGCCGCCACGTAAGTACAAAATATCACCAAACAAAGAGCACGTGCTCCGATAACGACTGACCTGCTGTCCATTGGGGATCCTCTGTTGCCCTTGTTGCATATTTGAGTAGTGCTTCTCGAGGCTGTAGAGAACGTAGGTTAGTTCAAGCTCACCGGAAAGCAAGTGAGAAGCACAGAAAGAAAGAAAAAAAAAAAAAGGAAAAAGGAGAAGTCCGGCAGCTCTATCCCCATCAAGCTGAGTTTAAAAAAAAGTTTCGGCACTCACGTCTTCATCTCGGGTCGTGTCCCGGACAAGATTCTGAACAACGTGCTGTGTTGCACTCGCTCCAACCCGTCCGCCCCGCCCTGGCCCAGTCACTGGCAATTCCGGCCTCCTGCTCTTGCGAGGGTCCATCCTGTCCTTGTCCCGCTTTCTCTTCAATGTCTTGACAATGCCGTCGCCCTCCCGGAACATCGGTAAGGCGTGTGGTGTCACAATCGACGGCGCTGCCAATGCGTCTGACATATCCTCAATTGTCACCTTCCTCGGCGGACCTTTATTCATCAACAACTTCGCCCCGTTCGTCGACGTTAATGGCGAATACAGCACACATATTTGCCCGCTCGACAAACCGGTCACAATCTATCACCATCAGCGATGCTCCTTCTAGAACCTTTGAATGCCTCACCTGATTGATCTTTGAGTGCCAAAACACCTTTACCGGCGTCGAATCCACCTCTAGCGTCTTCACAGCTTCCAAAGTAGTCTTATCCAAGAACATGAGCTTCCCGTTGCCTCCTTTTGACGTCGCAGCAGCCCCTGTTATCACATATTTACTATCTGGACTAAACATTGCGTTCGTATTCGGGTACAAAGTTGCCAGGCCTGACTGTGTCGCTAGTGGCTTCTTGAATGAACGTAAATCCCATACTGCGTTTGACCGTCAGAGAAGTCATCGAGTAGTATCGATCAGACATACATTTCACGGTATCATCCCCTCCTCGAGTAAGCACTGTACGGCCGTCAACGCCAAAGACAACTGACCCGGTTTCAGTTCCCTTTGTATGAGCTCCTTCAATCGATAGATTTGGTCTCACGAAGTTCGAGTTGGTTTGCCACATATGCAATGCTCCATCCAGGCAAGCTGTACACAGGTTCGAGCTCAAAGAAAACGTAAACGTAAGACTGGAATACGGAGCGTACCTCCCCCAATTATACGCCCATCTATCGAATAAGCGCATGCTGTTACTTTGGTTCGAGCTCCCCGTTCTTTGGATTTGACGACAATAACGGTCTTTTGCTTGCGTTTATTTTCTACGTCCCATATCCTAGGCCACCGAATAAGAATCTCGTCAATGTAGATAACAAAGCGACTGACCGGATGGTAGAATCCGCGGAGCCCGTAATAAAGATTTTCGAGTCCTTCGGATGCCAGGCACAAGAGGACAGCTCCCCAACATGACCCCTAGAAAAGATTGGTTGCCATTCTCTCCACATCACTCTAAACAGCTTACGATGTGTGCTTCATATCACGGATATAAGGGTCACCCTTGATAAAAGTAGCCCTATCGGTCAGGTGAGGCTATCCAGTTCCCAATAAAACCAACAAAACGAACTCTTCTTCGCCATCTCTGTCATACAGCTTGGCCTGAGTAGTTCCCGATATAACGAGAAACTTTTGGCCATCGTTCGAATACTTTAGATCATGGATCTATCGCACGAGGCGTCGTCAGGCAAGACAGGCCGAGGTATAAACCAACAACTTACGTGATAACTTCCAGCAGGCTCCCAGGTCTTGAAAGGTTTGTATCTCATGTCCATTCCACCGAAGTCCCATAATTTACAGTCGTAATCATGTGAACCAGACAATATCCTTGCACCTGAAGGGTCCAACGCAAGCGCAGAGACGACTTTGGTATGGTCCTTCAAGACGATTTCGTGAGTAACAGGGAAAAGAGGCAGTTCGCTGTCATCAGCATCATCATCGAATTCTGAGGGATCATATTCTGGTTCATGACGGGGTGATGATGGACCGGGTTCGTCATTGTGGTCGTTCTTGTCGTCTTCGCGGGATTCTTCTGACTTTGGAGGCCCTGAAGGAGTGCTAGAAGGTCCAGCAACAATTTCTTGTACAGGTTCAGCTGGTTTGCTTTTGGGAACCTATAAAGGAGGCAAGTCGACGGTCGTCGCAAGGAAACCAGAACATGACGTACCTCTGCCCGTTTGTTTTTGTCGAACCGAGAAGGGTCTAGCTGCCTCTTGGTGGCCGCTTTTCCAAAGCCAGAGATACCCATGGCAGCGAATACATCGTCTGACATTGTGTCGATGTCAGCAGAGCTAAAGGAGCAGCAATCGGCTCCCAAGACAAGTGTTTGCTTAGATAATGCTCCATAAAAGGCAGCCGTGCGCGTTAATATTAATTTTTTATTAATAATTGGCCATTCTCTCACCTCATTGTCCCCAATGCTCAAACGTCAAAGAGCGGCATCGCCACGAGCTTCTGCTTTGAGCGACGTCCCTCTACTTTTTGACGACTCCTCCCGCCCAAAACGCAGGCGAATCTTGCCACCCGCCCTCGATGGAAACCTTCGTGGCAGGATATGGGAGAATGGCAAAGACGACGGGGAGGAGGAGTATGAAAGCGTAGACGAGGAAGGGCAGGATCGGGGCGAGGGCTCCTCAGAATACAAGGCTGCTAACAGCATGTTGCATGAACTGCACGCATTGAACCGCCATCGACAAGCATCTGCAACTACAGTGTGTCACCAACATTGGCCGTACAGACTCCCTGACACGCCTCCTGGAAAAGGCGGCTCTTTAATACATCTTCATCATAACGAGGAGAAGATGTATGCTCAGGAGTGCAGTGGCTCAGGAAATCTGTCGGCAGACGAGCTGCAGAAGGTGACAGAGCGTTACGAGGAGACTAACAAGTTGAGCCACTGCTTCTCTTTGTTGACTGCGACTCATCGTTCGCAGGCGTCTGGGCGTACTATTTCTATCGCGACGGAAAGAATTGGAGGATAAGTAGTGAAGCATTCAAGGACATTCCAGAGAGTGGAGCTATACCCGTGCTCTTTTCTCGCATCTGCATTCTCACCATTGTACAATATCATTCCAGCACTCGTTACGTCTGTTCATGCAATATGATTTCAACAAAGATACCATTACCATCGCGCGGAGATACTCATAAGGCAATGCCAAGCTCCTTACCAAAGATGGCCTGCAACTCCTCATTCAACAAGTCACTCAATGTCTTTTCATCACGCCAGTACCACCAGTTACTGTCGAATTCACTATAGTCATACCGCTTTGGCCCACTGATAGGAAGGATTGAACGATAATATCCAGATGACTATGGTTGACAGCACCATACCTCTGGGGTGAAGACAGCCAAATCTGCTTGTTCGGAGGTTGTTTGTTGATCACGTATGTTCCATGTCCACCCAGATTTAATGTGAGCACGCCGCTCTACACCATGCATACGTACGTTAGGACACAAGCAGAAGGGGCAGTATTGCTGGTATACATACAGAGTACTCGACCTCATGGTCTGGGTTACTTTGAGTTTCGCTGTCTAACAGATCTTCAAGTTGGTCCAGCAAGGCCTCCATCGCACGGTCGGAGACCTCATGATAACGTTCCACTGTAAGATTTCTGAACAAGCGACGGTGAGAGGCATGTTTTCGAAGAGTTAGGGTGAGAAGCTGACCCGCGATGTATCCACTGAGGTGGAGGAGCCTTTGAAATATCGTGGTACTGAGGGGAAGGCTGCGTGCTGAACGGACGAGATATGCTCAAGGAAGGGATTCCCTGGAACAATGACAGTCGCACAATACGCAATGGGCAGAAAGTGGATGGTCGTTTTTCATAGCTATACAGAATACATTTCCGCTTCAACGAACTGAATGAACGGGAGGTGAGTCGAAAGGACATTTGACATTGCGTGGGAATTATCTGACCCAAACTGATAGCCGGCCGCGATATCCGATATTCGGGTTAAAATTGGTTCACATTTGATCACAAACGATTGTAAATGCAACGACTACCTTCTTTTATTATTTACATAAGTAAGCCATGCGAGGCAACACAAAAGACCAAAATTGATCTCTGTGGGAAACGACCAACCTCCAGCTTTTGACTCGCATGTATGAATAGGAGGGTACAAGCAATATACATCGATTTCAGTCACCAAATATCTCAAAGTTCGGCGGACTGTCAATTTAACCGACAACTGCTGCAGCGCTCAACGCTCCCTCAACATCTCAACATCGGGAAACAATTTGAGCTACAGAAAATCATTCGTCGAAATTTTACATATAACAAGGCTAAACAATAGAAAAACCCTTGGGACGACTGTCGGGAGGTCGGTATCGATGGTCCAAGAGATCCGGATTCCCGAGTAATAGATCGACAGCATGGCGAGTCAGATCCAGATTCCCGAGTCATAGATCGTGCCTCAATGACTCGGGAACTCTGCGCCCTTGTGACCACGATGGCAGAGCCAAGAAGAGGTAGGTCTGACGTTACCGGAGCGGGATAGCGCCGCAGCGTAATGAAGATGACACAAAACAGTGGATGAGCAAACTTGCTGACGTGGGCATTGACCAGGAGGAGTCGAGAGACGACGAGGGCGAGCAATAGCCATCAGATGGTGGTAAACAGAATATTGTTCTCGGAATCAGAATTCCAGTACTGCTGTGAATGAAGTCAGCTACGCAAAGCAAAAAGGGCAATGAAGTACCAGAGACGTCTGAAACACCCAACAGTACTAACATCCAAGGAGGAGTGAGGAAAAGGCGACATGAGGGTGAGGAAGGAAAAGAAGCTGCGGACATTTCAAAGGCTTAAGGGTTTATAAAAGGCCGCAGTTTGCCGAGCATCCAGATCGGGGAAAATGCCTCAGCCAAAGCTCATTATGCTATTGGCTGTCCAGGATATGCACCGCGATCACACATGAGGCATTTTCCCCCGATCCTATATTTGTACTATCAAGACAATAAATAAATATTTAATTCAACGTTTGCCTTCCAATCCAGGAAGACTGAACATCTGTCGAAAGCACTCAGTTCGGCCGTAGATGCTAAGAAACTACTACTACTCGTACCTCAAATATCGTCTCAGAAGGAACGCCCCATCCCCGGACGCCCTCTATCCCATTATCCATTCGTGTGCCCAGCATAACTCCAATGACTGCACCACTTTCATCGTCTATTATAGGTCCGCCACTCGACCCCATCGTGGGCAGAGGAGTGAATAAGAGATGAGACAGTGCATCATACGTTCCCGGCTTTGAAAGCTGTCAATTAGCTGTCCTTCGAACTCCAAATTATTTACCATGGTCTCCCGTCCTGCAAAATCTCGGTATCCCAACACCGTTCCGCGAACCCATTTGCTCCATGTACCTCCAACCCAGGGAATCCATCCAGGCTCCATAGGTGGTGATTTCGAATGGGATACAAAATGAGCTCTGATACAAGTGCCGGGTTGAGCTGGATATGGGGACATCGGTAGTGTTTGTACCGAAGCCTTTGAACTTGCTAGCACTAGTAAATCTGACCGTGGAAGCGCCGACGGAATGGCTGAGACGGGATAAATCTGCTGATATTCTGGCGATCCAGAAATCACAAACGTTCCAGATTTCTGCGTGATGCCTCTAGTATTATGTCTTGTCCGAGAACCAGAATCCGCGTCGGATAGTAACAGAGGGGATCTACGCATCTGCAAAGTCTACTGATGAGACCAAATTTATGTCAGGACTCACAAAGTATCTTGCCTCTTCTAATGTATGAGCACAGGTCAAGAAGAGGGTCTCACCTGGAATGGCTGACGGCGCTTCCAGTGCGAACCCAGAAGAGAGTGACACTTTGTGGTCGTCCCGTGTCTCGACGCAGTGGGCAATCATGACGATATTGGACTCGGAGTCACCGGATGTGTTCGGGAGACCATGGCGCTGCCTACTTTCAGAAGGCCGAGATTCATACGGCAGCGAACAGCGGAATACGTGTCCAGAGTTCGCCTCATATTGGCGAATAAGCTCATGAAGAGATGGAATGTCTGTCGATAGATGTGCTAAGATATTCTTGTCCAAACTTGAAGGCAGCGCCGAGTCGGAATCAGGCGTTCGGGGCTGTCGTGAAGTAGCTGGGGCAACTGTAGCATAGCAGTTTCTCAAGCACAACTGGCTCAGAAAGCGTGATCCGTACACATAGCGAGTATAAGCAGGGGGCCATAGCGTTATTAGAGGCATCGTATGTCGGGAACTAATTGACGTCATAATCTACTACAGACTACTACTACCCATAAAATGTGATACACATGTGATCAGTCCTTCAATCGTACACTATCTCGGCATCGTCGTCGACTACGAAGCTTCCTATCTCATACTCATCCGGTTCCTCTTCCCTGGAGGGAGAGCTTGATAACATAGCTCGTCTCTCAGCCATGTCGATACTTCTGCCCCCAAACCGCCCTCGTCTCACAGGACGATGAGCAAATACCGGTCCCCCTCCTCCGACAGGTCCCTGCGACAACAAACTCTGTCGATACGCCAAATTTTGGTCATACGACTGCGAGAACTGGGTTTCAGGCAATTCCTCAAGAAAACGGCGATCGAATTCGCTTTCCACGTCGTCTTCACTATGCGATGAGCCTTCACTCACTTCGTCGCCAGAATGTACAGCATCCATATCCCATACACCCTCAAGTAGTGGACGTGACTTCTCAGATTTCCGTTTGTTCACTGATTTGTCGCGTTTATGAAGTCTTCGCTGGGACAGCGGCGCCAGCTCCATTTCAGGAGAGTCAGTTCGTGCTCTATTTTTGCCTTTTTGGATGCTAGGGCGTACGGGGAAAGATGACTGGGGAGAATTGGCACCAAACGAAGAGGCGAGGATCTGACTAGAAACGGGGGGCGGCGACATGATTGTCCCATGGCCTTTCGTCGCCAGGAGCGATGAGACGGGGTTACTCGATGGGTTACTCGATGGTCCGACCACAAATTTCGGGGAACGGGTGGAGCTGTTGAGGATTTGAATGGATTCCTTCCCAGTGGCGATAAACTTCGTTCGCTTGTGTTGGAGGTTCCTGGTCCGCGACTTCATCTCAATGATCTGAGCAGATTCATCTGCGTCAATGGCAAGCTTGTGACTATATGCCAGATCAGACGATGCAGCATCCGAATCAACAATTTCCACCGAGTCGTCGTCACCAGAAAACCCCTGGTGTATAATTTTCGGAGTGCTCTGAACGGGAGGAGAAGAGCTGATGATATCAAAGGCTACGTCGTCGTCGTTATCCACCAACCAACTCATATCCCGGTTTGAGGATGCCGATTTCGGAGAATGCAATCTATGAACGTGGGCTACATCTATTGCCATGAGAAAAGGCTCAGCTTTGACAAAGACTTGGGGACACACCAGATCTGGGATCGTCAGAGTCAGAGTCGGTCAGATCGACGACACTGCCAGCAGTGGTCTCTGGATATGGCAAAGGAGGAGGAGATATTGGTTTCGAAGACGGATACAAACCCTCTTCGATATCCATGTCATCCGAATCATCCATGCCCTGACTCGATGTTGGCTCTGCCACCTGCTTTCGCTTTTTTCGTTTCGGTCCATCTTCCATGGTTTTGGCTTTCCGTAGCTTTCCCTTTCCCTTGGTGGATCTCGAAACGAATGCTTCAGCCGTCGATTTAGAACGCTTGAGAGCTAACATCCCCAGTTCAAGCTCACGATCTGTGTCGTCGTCTTGTCCAGCAGTCTCCAAATCCCGGAAAGGTTCCACTCTCTTCTTTTTCTTTTGGGCACCTTTGACGACGAGGTCTCGGACCGGAACAAACCCTGTGCTGGCTCCTGGAGGTATATTCCGTTGAATGTTGTCATCACGTTTGCGCTTAGTACCTCTCTGGGGTCCTTCACACAGTGATTTCTTTCGCCCATCCACTCGAATGTATTCTTGGATCTCCATCGTCTTTTCTAGACATTGGGGGGTGATATGATCTGGGAGCAATCGTTCGACGTCAGCGTACAGTTGAAGCTGGTCACCTTGCCAGATAGTTTTTTGGACATTCTTGTATGTGTCCTTGGCTTTATCTAAGTTGAACTCCTCTCTCCCTTCAGAAAGTAATACATGGACCACGCCGGCACGTTTGCGCCCAGTCCTGCCCAGTCGTTGTAACTGAAATAGACGGAGAACTTTTCAGCAATATCAAGGGTGGTATACATGGATTGACTGACCATGCGAATGGGAGTCTTCTGAGCGTCATAACAGACAATGAGATCGACTTCACCGATGTCTAAGCCTTCTTCTCCAATAGATGTGGCAACAAGGACGTTGAACTCATCGTCTTTGAATCTTTTGATGACCTAAGAAAATGGACATGAGTTTTCAATTTGACTGACAAAAATCGAAGCACACCTCCAATTGTTCACGCTGTGAGAATCCCTTTCTTCCTTGCTTATCAGTGCCCTGTCCAATGAACCTGCTCGCACGTATGAGAGGTTTTTCCGCATTGAGAACTTCTACAATCTCGTCCACAGAATCACGATTAGTAGCGAATACCATGACTTTGGTCCTCTCGGGAAGTTCATCTTCAGAGTTTTCTGGAAGTTTCTCTCCAAAATGTTGAACAATGATTCCTTTCAAGAGCTCCATCTTAGGATGCATCGTAAACCCACGAGTCTTTTGGGCTTTCAACTCTCGCATGAGGGAATGAAAGGCTGGTTCATCGTCTAGTTGCTTCGCCTTAGAGGCTGCCTTTGACTTCTTCGCACCAACATCGCCGCCTCCTGATGCGAGCTCCATCAAAGCGTTGTAGCACATTGCTGTCGTTCCCTCAACCTGCAAAAGAATGAGATTGACTCTATAAGGCAGCTTTAATGTGTAGCTTTACCAGATAACCCATAATGCGTGCCAAAGTCATAAGTATCGATAGACTTCTATATGCTGCCCATCCTTGACCTTCCCGAACCTCCTTCATACGAACTTGAAAAATGTACGGATGCATATTCATGACGTTTCCTCCGTGGATCAAGCCTCTCGATACCAGAGGTTTGAAATATATCTTGACGCCAGGTGAGCAGCTTATTGATTATTTACGGAAGCAAAACTTGCCTCCATTAAGTGAGCCAGGAGAGTTCGGATCTTAACAATATCCTCGCTCATGGGAACAATATGCTGTTCTACCCTCTAGTAGAGAAAAGAAAGTTAATATAAAGGTTTCCATGCACAATAGTGCAGACCTTTTCATGAATATATGCCTTCAAATCCAAACTATTTTCGTCGCGAATCTCAATACGGCTAATATGAAGACCGTCAATTAAGGACTGGACAGCCTCAGGATTTCCCCCCGGAGTCGCAGTCAATGCAAGGAGCCGAAAGTGAGGATTTTTTGCCATCAAGAAACGTACGACCTGATTGTAAGCGTAATTGCCAGCTGCTCTATGGGCCTCGTCTAGAAACAGCATTAGGGAGAAGTGAGTCTGATAAAGACGATTTCATACCGACTACAACTAGAATAATATCACGCGCGTCGCATGTCTCCGACGTCAAGTCGTTGACGAGCGTCTGAGGAGTCATGTAAAAAACTCTTTTTTCTTTCCACTGAAATCTTTTACGTCAACCAAAGATGCTCGGTGCTCGGCAATGAGCCAGATACACACCGCTCGATGCCTCATAGGTTTAGGGTTTTCTCCGGTAAGCTCGATGGCATCACTTCCGGGGATTCCACATGTCCTGTGACAAGCATCTATCTGCTGCGCGACAAGAGGCTTTGTTGGTGCCACGAAGACGACTTTCCCCTCTGGGAACCAGCGATAAACTGGGAAGGTTCAGTGCAGTGGCGTCTAAGAATATCATTGAGCTTACAATTAAGCATTACAACGCCTGCGACGAACGTCTTTCCGAGACCTGTCGGAAGCGCTACGATAGTGTTATCGAACAGACAATGTTTAACGATATTAAACTGGTAATCTCGTTTCGGTCGATTCAAAGGATAAATCCAGTGCTTGGCTTCAAGCAAGTCAGCTGATAGCTTCATTGAAGGAGGCTAGAAATTAACTTTAATCGAAACCCGTGTAGAAGTGAAAGAAAAAACGCACAGGCCTAGAAACGCAACGATCGGTCACGTATAGGGTATAAGTGCTCCCAGATCTCAAAAGCGAACCCTTACCCTGCTGCTCAGATGTGAATATCTTTGACTTGCAAAGAAACCACATCGCGCACCAGATACAGACGGAGCCGGAAATTGTTCGAATTCAGGACTCTCGTCAAAACCCTCATCTTCTGGAAAATCAAACGATGCTTTCCCCTTCCCCTTATCCTTGTTCTTGCTCGACTTGAGCCCGGACTTGGCAAACTCGGTGTGGTCCCAGTACTTGGTCTTGGGTGCCTGCTGACCAAAGGGGTTCCTAGAAGTAGATTGAACTCTTTGCGTGGCAGACTTGGGCTTGGAAGTTAAGGCACTTGACGACAGGACTTCTCCGAAGAGCGTCGTTTGCAGATGACCCGAGGTTGAGGACTTCGTGGTGGTAGATGACATACCGGAGGATTGCCCTCGGTAGCTCCTCAAGACAGCTTGGTCGACCTTCTTGAAGTCCTCTTCGTTGAAATCAAAGGTAAGCTCGAATGAGTCGTCCTTGTCAACAGTAGGTGGCGGAACAGGTCGAGCCGCTTTGGAAGGGGAAAAGTGGGCAGCTTCAATAGCATTAAGCTCCTCCAAAAATGCATCGTCGATATCGTCGTCATCAAAGAAGCCATCTGAGCTCATTGGGAATGAGTCGCGTCGTCGCTGGAGGTGAGAACTTGAAGGACGTACGGAGTCGGTGCGCGACACGGTCCACACGTGACACATGTCATCAACTCTTTATTATGTAAATATTTTTCCAACTTGTAACTGAATAAGAGAGCAGTAGAGTGGGCGCTCTTTCATAGCTACGTTCCTCTTGAAATCTGTATTCCTTGACGTATCCATACATAGATTGAATAGTAACAAAGATTTTCATTATCCAGGTATGTGTGGTTAGGGTTTGCTCTGTTATGGCCAGGGGACGATGACCAATCTTCCAATCCCGCTCTTGCTGGTACTCATTTTGCTCTGTCTTCTGCTTGCACTGCTCTAGCAGAAATCCATTGCTCATTATCATTTATTCTTATGGTTTTTGACCCTGCAAACTCTCATCATCTCAAGCCGTGGCTCGTTAGAACACTAGAACCGATGTTCGTGACGTTCTGTGCTCTGGAATAGCTGACGAACTCTGGTCTTGTAGATGCGATGCTGAACCTGGAGCACTGGCTGAATACATTCTAGCCCTTCTCAAGCATAATGTGCCGGAGAGTGAAATGCGAAAGGAACTAGCTGTTCAGCTCGATGAATTTCTCGAGAAAGGTCAGTCAGAATATCGTGGTGCCCATGTTAACCTATGCTGATCATCCAGATTCGACCAGAGTGCCAGCCGTTCCTCGACACATTATTCACTGTTCTACGCACCAAGTCTTATTTACCGTATTCTGCAATACCTTCAGCACCCTCCTTTCCTGACAAAATGCTTGACACCGGTATTCCCATTCCTCTTGATGGTCTCGTTTCCCCTTCCATACCTTCGTCACCTGATCGCATCCGCAAGAGAAGCCTTGATGATGACAAGGACGGTCGACCTGCTAAAGGACCTCGTTTAAATGACGACGGCCAGTTTTCGCGTTACGGTAGCAGCAGAGGCGGTATGGATTCGAGGTCAGCGGGGGGTTGGAACTCACGGGTGGACAAGTCCGCAAACGGTTATCGAGAAGGTTCCTCTCAACCCAGGGGTGCTAGTATGGGGCACGCTGTGGGGCAAATGAATGGCAGACGACCCCAAGCATATCAGCCACCGGACATGAAACGAGGGATATGCAGAGACTATCATAGTATGTTTTATCTCCATTCTTGATTCTTGCAAGCTCACACACTCTTAGACAATGGCTACTGTGCTCGTGGCGCTTTCTGTAAATTCAGCCATGGGGATGATGCCGTCGTTCCCAGCCAAATGTTTCCCATTAATGGCAGTGGCATGACAGGCTCTGGCATGCCATTCATGACTATGTTTGGGCAAGGATTCGGGATGCAAAATGGGCCCGTGGCAGCTTACGATCCTCATGAGTCCCGTATGGACATGAGAAGTATGGGTAACAGCCGATCACAGATGCGGCCTGCTTTCCTCCCAAGAGTCGATGATGGGCAGACAGTTCATGCCTCTGGCGAACTACCTGTGATCCAAGATCTCACCCCAAATATCCCCCATGACGACGTTACGCCTAATCCCACCTCCCAAACTAGTGTCTCCCAGTCGTCATCACCTCAACACCCATCTTCATCACGAATACAACACCCTCATTTGCCCGACATTAATGACGATGTGGCAAATGGTCACCAAGCAAAATACAATGAAGATGTTGAAATGACTCCAGTGTCTGGCTTGTCTCAGAATGGCGGCTATTCCACTGGGATACGCGGGCCTACTGGTCGAGGCCGAGGTACCTTCGGTGATGTCCCAGGTATCCGTCCAGAGAAGAGGAATGACAAAACATTGGTCGTTGAAAAGATACCTGATGACAAGCTGTCCTTGGAGCAGGTTAACGATTGGTTCAAAAAATTTGGCAAGGTCACCAATGTTGCCATTGATCGACCGCACGGAAAAGCTCTTGTCAGCTTTGAGGAACACAGAGAGGCATATGCTGCATGGAAGTCAGAAGACGCAGTTTTCAACAACCGTTTTGTTAAGGTGTTCTGGCATAGACCGATGGAAGGACATGGCCAGATTGGAGCACGCATGCTCGCTGCTTCTGCGCCTATCGTCGCCAATATTTCAGCTAAAGCGGCTTCCGCCGTCTTGCCTGCGGCATCTGTAACTAGCCCTACGACACCTATCCGAAAATCCTCAGTTCCGTCTTCATCGAGTACAATAACACTTGCCGAAAAGCAGCGACGGCTGGAACAGCACATCGCTGAACAGAAATCGCTTATGGCCTCTCTTGCTGCCGCCTCCGGAGAAGAAAAGAAGGGCATCATGGCACGGCTCAGAAAACTGGGTGACGAGATCACTTTGACTTCATCATCCGTCAAATCGAATTCAACTCCTATGAAGACACACTCTAATCCTACTCAGGCTACCGATGAACGACAACAGCAGGAGCGTGCACGACTGGATAAGGAACTGGACTTCCATAGCTCTGTAACTGCCATAGAGGGTGAAGGTGAGACCGCGGAAGACCTCAAGGCCAAGCTGGAAAGACTGAAAGCGGAGGTATGTCGCTATTCTCCTTGATTAGAAAATGAACCTCAGAGAGTGAAAAGGCCGCCAGTCTGGGTTTATCAGACGCGGAACCTAACTACGGCGGATCACACAGACCGTATCGGAGCAGAGGGCGTGGACCCCCCCGTAGTTTTTACAGGGGAGCAGGGCGCGGCGTTGGTCGAGCGAGTATGAAACTTGACAATCGGCCAAAAAGACTTCTTGTTCGGGGCGTTTCCAGTGAGAAAATGCAAGCGCTCAAGGACTGGTACGAGGTAATATCTTCATAGTATTCGTGTCCGCCATGCAATGCTGAGTCATATCTCAGGCAAACGGTCAGGTTGACTCAATATCTACTTTGGAAGATGGCGATGTTGTGGTTTCGTTCAGAACGCGAACAGCCGCAGAGCAGGTTTGGCATACACATCTACATATGAAATCCGTTGCTAACGATGGTAAAGGGAATGGCCAAGGGGAGCAGTATACCGACCGTCGGCGATGTCCACTTATCATGGCATACTGACACACTTCCGCCGTCGTCCTCCACGACAGTCGCACCGGCTGCTGAACTACATCCACCACCGCAGGAGGGCCCTAGCCATAGAGAACGACACTCACCGGCTCCGGAACTCGACACAGAGTCCAAGGGTTCCCCCAATGCACAGGAGGAGGAAGTAATAGCTAGTGGATGGGGTGGTGATGGGGAGGATGGCATGGGCATGTTTTAATTTTGTATAACTGAGGTATCATGTTGTGCTATTACATTTGCTGCCTATCGTCACTTCTAAAACATTGGTTCGGCTCCGGCCTACGTTCACGGAGGGAAACTTCGACACCAAATTATGGGATTAGTTATTAACTTGAGCTGTTACAATTCGACCAGACAAGAGCAAACCACAACATAGACTATAGCTGTACTAGGCTAATTCGTGGAGGTTTGAACACGGCCTCAAATTTAACGCACCTCGACTATCCGCCCATCAGCTGCTCGAAGCTTAGTGGGCCGTGGCCATGCATTCAGTCGAGGGTTCCTTAAGGTAGGTCATCATACTGCCCTGTAAATAACTAATTATCATCCGAGCAAGGACTCGGTGGCCAACAAATTGCGATAGCATATAATGAAATTTGACGTGCCACAGATAAACCCGCCCTGCTGATCCTAGGAAGACGGAGGTAAAAGGATGCGGACAAATGATCCTGAAAACAAGGAGAACGGGAAGCGACTGTAGCAGGCAGAGCCTCGATCATTGCGCACGATCCCAGTGAAGTATTTGGCTGAGCTGGAACTGGCGCCGTGTACATCACGAAAATAAATGTGATATGCGCGATATATCATGGCCCTTGACAGCGTCCAGAATATAGAATGACATTACGCAGAAGAGATGAAGTAACATGTACGAATATTAAGGTCGCAGGTAGGAATGAAGCCACCGTAATAACAAGTGAGAAACATGTTTACACAAAAAAGGGTATTTCTGAGACATCAACAGTTGCATCCATAGCTTTGAGAGCTTTCCGAGTCGAGTTGAATTGGATCCGGGTAGTCGACATACCTGCAAGGGAAGAGTTAGAAAACCTATGGCGTCATAGTAAAGCTCGAATTTCTGACAATTGTTCCTCTGCCTCTTGTTGTAGAGCATTCTTGGCGACAGTTTGAAATGCTTGTTCAACGTTGATGGCTTCCTTGGCGGATGTTTCGAAATAAGGAATATTTCCTTTGGACTGACACCATGTCATGGCGCGCTTCTGGGTAACCTGGTGATACACATGAGTATTGGGATATAAAAAATATTGCTGTTCCAGATGTACCTGCCTCTTGTTCTCTTCAACATCAATCTTATTGCCTAGGACAACGAAGGGAAAGTTCTCCGGATCATGAGGACTCGCTTGGATCAGAAACTCGTCACGCCAACTATCCAGGGTCTCAAATGACTTGGCACTGTTCACATCGTACACAAGGACGCAACAGTCAGCTCCTCGATAGAACGCAACTCCTAGTGATTGAAAGCGTTCCTGCCCGGCGGTGTCCCATAGCTAAGAAGACAAGTCAGAGGACATTCGACTTGAACCCGACACAGCATACCTGCATAGTGACTAACCGGTCATCTACCATAACTTCCTTAGTGAGGCTGCCGGTTGGTCAGACAGTGGCTCACGCGCAACTCGGAGAAACAGGACGCACAAGTCAGCACCGATAGTGGCCTTATACTGGTTGCTGAACCGCTTATTGACATATTGATTCATGAGCGAAGTCTTTCCGACACTGAAGAATGCATGAAACGGAGGATGAGCAGGCCGATGGAGAAAGAGGAAAGCGTGGAGCGGTCGCACCCACTGTCGCCAAGGATGATAACCTTATTGGCAAGTGTTAGACAAGAGAGGATGGAAGGTAAAGAGGCATACTTTAAGCAAAACACGACCCATTATGAGACTGGAAAGTAGTGAAGGGATAGAATGAAAAAAGGTTGGAGTGGTTCAGGTCGTAAGTAAGGTGTATCGAACGAGTTACTCACTCGACAACCCCAAATAGAGAGAAATAGAGTCACAGAGGACGATCACAGCCGGTCACCACCAACCTGTCACGCTTCCCCTCGACATCGCAGTTTCCGTTCTCCTTGTCTCCCTTACTCTCCGTTGCGATGGCTGAGCCTGCTTGGCAAGAGATTCTTCGTGCTCGTCTCCAGGAACGTAATGTAAAGGAGTCTGCGTTTTCGTCTGTCATTGAGCAATGTAACTTCACCTACTATACTTCCTCCGCAGATTGGGCTCATAATCTATCGTGTAGACCGACGGTTAGCACAGCAGACAAAGTTTCTAAAGGAACGAAACGTCCAATTTCTCCGTGCTGCACAGTCTGTCCGAGGTAACAATCCAAGCAGCTCTACCGTCTTCGTTCCAGGGACCAGCGAAGAGTGCGTTATTCAATCCCATTGTCGCTCAATGGCCTTATGTGGACATCTCTTAGGAATCCCGTCTTGTCGGTATACACCGCTTCATTGGAATCCCAGATATCGTCGCTGCGGGATGAGATTGCAGGCGCCTACAAATCTCAGACTCAAAACACTCAGAGGCTGTTGGCCATGACAGAAACACTACGGGAGAAGGAGGAAGCTTCCAGGATTGGCGATGAGAACCTGAGAAAGACGCGAGATGAGCTGGCGGTCCTTCGCCGCAAGGTCGACCAACATAACGAGTTGATGGGTGAGAAGGATCGTACTGTCCAGGTGCGCAAGATCATAAGAGTGCAATTCATTTGCTATCAATCTGACTGTGCTTCACAGATCCTTCACGACGAGATAAGCACCCTTCAGCTTGAACTCGGTCAGATCGAGGAACGAAACCAGACCTTGATAAAAGATAATGCCAAATTGCTACAGAGATGGTTAGATGCGAAGCAGGTGGAAGCGAATAAAATGAACGAAGCAAATGAATTCTACGAGAACATGCGCTCTCGACATCAGAATGTGACAACCTGGCGCGACGAAACTCTTGGTGCCGGTGCGCCTGTTGTAGCGAGCAACGGAGCGGATTCATCATCGCAACCATCCGAGTCGGGAAACGGGGATCTGACCGAGGAGACGAAGGAGACGGAGATGAAGGATGGGATACTATCTCCCACGGAGATGAGCATGGATCCGAGTCCGAATGGTTGATTGTCGATGAATAAATTTTAATTCGCATTCTACTTTTTGGTTTCCGTCGCATACCCATGTCTACTGATATACCTTCACTTTGTTTCAAATCCAAGTGTCTGAGGGGCCGTGTTGATACAGCTCAAGCAATGTCGTGAGTTCATTGTCAAGGAAACGAGTCGAAACCTCGCAGAGCAGCAAGTATGAGATAAAGGATTCGAGAAGAAATAAGAAAACCTATCGATGTCGATGACTGTAGCGTTTGGATACATACGATGAAACAGAAAGTGGCAAGAAATATGTTAAAACACTCTTGATACGATGTATGGAAAACAGAAAACTTGGATGAAAAGAAAAGTCGATAGTCGTGCACTCGAGACAATAAGCTATATAAACATTATTGCAAATGGCAGGGCGCATTACGCATAGGGGAGGGGAGCTACGTCTGAAGGAAAGGAATGATCGGTTCGCAATCTAAGGAGCGCCTTGCATCTGAGTGTCAGGCTGCTGCTGTCCATAATACCCTAATCATGAGAGGATGTGTCAGAACAGAAAGGCGCTTTGAGTATGTCACCGCCACTTACCACTCCAGTAGGTGGAATAATAATTCGGATCACCGCCCCATTGGGCTTGTCCGCCTTGACCTGCTGCCACCGCCGTGGGATCTGCGCCCGGTTGCTGCGCACCGGTTAGACCAAGAGCGCCGGGAGCAGCATTTGAAGGCTGGGGCATGCCTGGGGATCCAGGAACGGCACCACCAGGCGCGCCTGCGGTTTGATTTGGAAATCCGGTGTATCCACCAAAGCCGTACTGCCCGTAAGACGCCGGCTGGGGCATACCATACATAGGCTATGCAAAGGGTCAAGAACAGTTTATATTGAAACCATGCGCAACACATACCATGTTTCCGTACGGAGCTGCAGTGCTAGTGGTAGGACTGAGGGGTTGAGGGGCCGCGCCATCTGCCCTATCTTTGCCCCAACTGCATTTGATTGACCTGCCATGTACCATTTGACCCTGGAGTTGAACGATAGCCAGAGCGGCGTGCTCGTGAGTATCGAGCTTGACGAAAGCAAATCCACGATCAGCTTGCATGCGAATTTCCGATAAATAACCGATGGATTGGAACAATGGGATGAGATCCGCTTGCGTGCAATAAGGAACAAGGTTCCCAACGTAGACAGTGGAGTTGTACGCGGGAGTTTGCTGAACTACGGACTCGTAGGAAAGGGGTCCGCCCTGGAAATTCATCGGAGCGGGCGCACTGCCAGTGCTGCCAGGACGAGGGGATGTGGAAGCAGCAGGAGCGCCCTGTGTTTTCTGATTGGCCCAGTTGACACGGATAGCTCGCGAACCAAGCCATTCACCGTTCATTGTCGCGATAGCCTGCTCCGCATCTGTCTTGTCTCGAAATGCCAAAAAACCATATCCACGAGACTTTCCAGAGTTCATATCCCACATGACTCGAGCATCGGACATGGTGCCAAAAGCACTGAACGCCTTGGCAAGGACCTCATCGTTCACTTCGGGGCTCAGGTCACCCACAAAGACGTGGTAGTGACCGGTGGTATCCTCCTTATTTTGTTGACCTTGATAGGCCCAATTGACACGGATCTCCGTATCGAAGATCTTACGGCCGTTCAGAGTCTGCAGGGCGGTCTCTGCGGCACGCATGTCCATGTATTCGACGAAGCCGTAGTTGAGCCCTCCATGCTGATAGTTCCTGTCTGGGATTATTTTAACATGTTGAACGGGCCCAGCAACAGCAAAGATCTCTGTGAGCATGTACTCCGTCACACGAGGGCTCAGATTTCCGACGTAAAGATGAGCACGTCTCTGAAAATCCGGAACAAAGGAAGGGGGAGCGAAAAGATAGATCAGACGTCAGGGGAAAGAAAGAAAGCAAGAAAAAACTCACCGGAGCCTCAGCCGGACCTCCCATTCCCATTGGATTCATGATTTTAAGAGTACTGAAAAGAAATGAGATCTGTAGTTGGTTCAGCCAGGGGTATCAAAAAAATTACAACGATGCGCACGAAAGACTGAAAAAACAGACACTATATGATAGACAAGTCCGTCAGAGAGGAGAAATGATAGAGACGAGAGAGATGATAGAGACGAGAGAGAGAAAAAGAGAAGAAAAGAGATATTTAGCGACACAATCAACCTGGTGCAGGTAAAGAGAGATTGGATGAGTCAGCACCGCTCAGTCTAAGCATACGTAAACAGCGCAAGCCGGAGCATTTGAGATGGACAATTCTGATTAATTACACTATTTATCCGGTACATGTCCTACTTATCTGCCGGAACATTCAACAAGATGTTTCCCCCACCGCTTGGGATGTATGACACATTGGGGTTAGAGGCAAGCGAATTGACGATAGCCTTAGATGTTTCGATTTTGCGGAATGTGACAAAGGCGTCACCAGCCTTCCCAAGTGCTTGCGAAATGATTTTTGCCGCTGCAGCTTCACCTTCGGCTCGAATAACAGCTGCTTGACGCTCTTGCTCAGCCTAACAACGTGATTAGTCCAATACGTCTGGATGAGAATCAATGAGCTAACCTTTTCAACGACAAATTTCGCCCTCTCAGCATCTTCGCAGCAATTATCAGTAAATAGAGGATAAGATAATACCAAACGTACCTTGCTGCGCAATTTGTTTCGCTTCTACTGCTTGCGTGAATTCCTAGGGGGGTGGGCAAAAGTCAGAACTTAAATCATAATCACCTACAACACTTGTTCCCACCTTTCCGAACGTTAGATGCGTTATAGAAACATCTTCTAAGACAATGTTGAATTCCCCAGCACGCTGCAAAAGGTCAGCCCTTATCCTAGACGACACCTAAGAGTACTGAGCATCACAACAAGTCATATAGCAGCTTGACACGTACCACTTCTCGCTGTGTAATCAATTCCGCTGCATCGAATTGGGCAACAATGCTTTTCAGCACCTCGTTACCAATAGAAGGAAGCACCCTTTCGTCGTAGTCCAAGCCTAGACTTTGGTAGATTTTGGGAAGATGCTCTATGTCGGGTCGGGAGAGAACTCGGAGAGTAATAGACACCATCTGAAGATCCTTCGATCCAGTTGTTGTCGATATATTCTGTGTGACTCGTATCAGATAGACATGGACTCTTGGACATCATTTCACTTGCCCGAGGCTTTATTCGGCAGTCATATAAAATCACCCGCTGGAGCCACGGAATCATGAGATGTGTACCCTCCGGTGCAGCCTATAAACAACCAAAGATAAGAACCATCTCTAAGAATGATCTTCCAAGCCACATACCGTACTCTTAACGCCTGAAAACCTGTCGAACATGACTGCTCGGTAACCACCCGGAACATCGTACAGACTTGCTCTGACTGCAACGGCTGCGACAGCAATAGGAACTAACAATCTACATATTAGTACCTTGGAAAAAATTCAAGCAGAAGTACACTTGCCGATGACTCTGGAAGCATTCTGGGCAAACGCCATGATTGTGAAGGTGAAGGTGCCAAACACATATCAACGACGCGTGTTTTTTTTATAGCTTAGTCACTGACATTTAGTCAAGGAACAAGAACGACGATGCCCAAGGGCATAACAACACTGTATGACCTTTTATCATCGACCTTCACAGGTGTCACTGCCATCAATCTACGTTGCCGGTCTCTCCACAATGTCTGGGCCGACCACAACTTGGACAGTGACATCGAAAGGTCGGGCCAGCGAGTGCACCACACTGAAACAGTCAATTTAGCATCCCTCCCCTCAGTTCCATTGCCCCCTGTCATTGTATAATTCGAGGTCTAGATCTCAAAGATTTTATACAGCTTTTAGGGGAATTTAGAGTGGCAGAAAAATCGAACGGCGGTGCTAACTGTGGAAGCTAGGCTACGACTACCTACAGTAAAACATCCCCTTTAGCGTCTCCTTCCATTCTTGCAGAGTGACTACCGAACTGCATGGCCCTTTTTTTTCGTCCGCTCGCCTGAATTAATCCCATTTTTCGAGCAGCTAATCTCAGTAACATTTTATCTCCAAGGCCCAATTCTAAACGGGGATCCATTTTGTGCTGAACTGGCAAGTTGGCCAAAAATGAGACCACTCCAAATGACAGAAAAGGATGTCTTGTCTCCTTTCCGTGGGATGAACTGGAAATATTGTTACCCAAGTTTTACGAAACCGATTAGCAGAGATAACTTGCCAGATGCGATCGTCGCGACCCAAATTTCGTACTGGAATACGCTGAATTTCTAGCTGAAGCTATGTGAGGTCAGATGAGTGGGGAATAGGATAATCCTTTGGATAAAGAGATCGTACCTCGCCGATCACTGCTTGCCAGCCGCCTGAGTTGAATGACGATCGATGTCTTCCATAACCGCCTAGCAACTCATCGGATCCAAGGCCATTCAAAAGCACACGAGCTGGGCTAGTATATGCTACAGACTCTGCACCTGGATAAGCGCGTACGTGTCCCACTCCACGAGAAGCAAAGTATAAAGCAAGAGCCAGACTCTATTTGGCTTTTCATCATGCAATAGTAGTTTCAATAGTCACAACGCTCACCAAATCCATGACTGTGCGGCTGGGCAGCATCAGGGCTTGAACTATAGGGCGTGCCCCCTGTGATTCCTACTTTACGTGCTCAATGGGAATAAATTCAACCTGCTGGCGGAAATAAGACCAACATGATAAGGGACGTTGATCTCTACCTGTTGGACTCATCAACATAAAGACATTCCAAGCTTTGAAAGGACCATACAAAGTTCCAAGTACGGCCGGGACACAGTCGCCTGAGTTCGTCCACTTCCTGAAGCCCCGTCTTTCTATCAGGAACCATGTACGACACTCTGATAGAATCATCATCAGATGGATTTTTAGCCTTCCTGTGCCGTCTTGATATACCCCCAACGTTGCCTTCTGTCTCCATCTGGATCTTTCGAGGGTTCTCGAAAGCGACGTTGAGGAGGTCGATCGATTCTTCAAGAGGAATATGCCTTGAAACTGCATTAGAGCATCATTTTGAATGTTGGATCGCAGAAACGAACTTGTGGGCAAGGTACGCAATGACTGTTGAATCTATTCCGCCGCTGAAGAGGACGGCTACTCTGGACTGTGTTGGCATGGAACTGTACAAGCAAGGGATTGCATTCAGCCATGACATGTTATTCCGGAGAGAAACAGACCTTTTGTAAGGAACGTTGTGAACGCGGAGCATAACGCTACGATCTAGGTGTGAGATCAAAGCATCTACTGAAGCCAAGAGATAATTAGGTATCTCATCAAGTGAAGCTAAACGCGGCCAAGTATCTGGCGGAACTAAGCGATTCACTAGAGGAGGCTGGACCTGTCTAACATGAAATATTCCTATCATGTCATCGATAAACCGGTACTTACGTAGCTGAAGACAGTGGTTTGAGAAGGCCGTCGAGATAAAGTCTTAAGATGGTCTTCGAACGTGATCTGATTGAGAATAAGCATTTGCGTGGTGAACTGAATAGAGAAAACACTGCCTACGCCTTCTAGCTGAGCGAAATCTTTGAGGTTGAGATAAAAGATGTGATCTGTAGACAACTCCTCAAAAGAACATCCTGCGTCGACACCAGAAGTCACAGAAGTCAATATGAAATATGGATGTGATGGGGAAGGTTTATGGATCAATAGAGACCGACGACCTAGAGGATCACGTCCAAATATAATGCAGCCAGACTCTTCCTGAAAACAAAGCAGCGCCGATTAATAGTCGGCCACGGGCACTAGGAATGGGGAACATCATGATTCATGACTTACATGGTGGAAAACAAAAGCATAGCTACGTTGATAGTTAATCGTTCATCACATAAGGAAGGTACGAAACCACATACGGGCCTTCAACTGACGAGAAAAGGTCTCTGATTTGAGCTGGTGTTTTGAGACCCCTGCTACTTTCAAATAACTTGACGCCGTCGTTTTCAGCTGCATCCATCTAAAAGATGATTTAGCTCTCGGGCGACATTACCAGGAAATGATGTCACTAACGTCTAGTCCTTCGAAGATCTACTTAATTATCAGCCAGTAGAAAGATAGAGCGGGCGCAGCGAGACGAACCTCTCCATTCCAGCAAAAAATATCACCATTTCGGATGTGAGGTTGCACGACAGGTTGGGAACCTCGTAGACACAATTCAGATGCAAAGAACTCTAGATGCAGCATGCCAACATCCGAACTCTGGTCCTTGAAGCTCACTTTGTGGCTTCGTTGGGCATCAGGCCCTAAGTAACATCCAGTGAAAAACTATGGGTTTGATTATGCAGGCTTTCACATACCACGCGCAGCATTTGCATGCCTTAAAGCAATGCATAGCTTCTCATGATATGAGTCGATGGTATCGATGGCCGGAGGGTTGACTTGGAATTGTCGAACACAGAAGAATATGCCACACATATGTACTTTCCAGGTCCGTGGACAACTTGATGGGTGCCGGGCCGATCGCCCAATCTGGGAATGAAAACAGGACAAGTACATTTTCTCTATTTATTTTTCCATTCAATAGTAGTACAATTATCCTCCAGGCTTACGCAGCTCTAACGGGAAAAAATACAACAGCCTGTGTCCTTATGTGCTATAGGTAGACGCAGAAACATTACCGCCGCGGCCAGTCCAGTTGACATCTTAGGATCCTGTCAGTCGACATTGGAAACAAGGTGAAATGGGAAAGCTTACGAATATCCTCGCCCAACTTGAACTTATCATTTTCCTTTCCGGGAAGAACGCGGAATGTGTGAGCGCCAAAGTAATCACGCTAAATGCAGTCTAAGAAATCGTTTGACAGTATTTTAAAGAGGTGCCCATACCTGTGCTTGCAACAAGTTCGCAGGAACGATCTCACTCCTATAGCCATCGAAGAAAGCCAATGCAGTGCTAAAAGCAGGAGTGGGGATGCCCCAAAGCACAGCTTGAGCAATGACACGTCTCCAACCTGGTTGAGCCTTGTGAACGGCTAGGACACAGTCAGTACATGCGAGAACATTGGACTTGTCATAAATACCTTTGTTGAAGAAGTCATCAAAGAGAAGGGACTCCAACTTGGGGTTCTTGTTGTACGCGGAGGTGATGTCCTTCAAGAATACACTCTAGCAAGGCAGCGATGTTTAATGACGCACTGTGGAGTAGAAATGAAGATATACCTTGATGATACACCCACCACGCCACATACTGGCAATGCCGGCATAATTCAAATTCCAACTAAGCTGGAGTAATCAAAATGATTAGATGCATACATGGAAAGTCGGAAAGAAAACACACCTCCTTCGCGGTCTCTCGCATGAGCATGAATCCTTGAGTGTAAGAAATAATCTTGGAAGCATACAGAGCTTGCTCAAGATCATCAATGAACAACTGTTTATCTCCACGGAAGGGCTCTCTTTGAGGTCCGGAAATAGTCTTGCTTGCGCGCACACGCTCGTCTTTTATAGCGGAGAGACAACGGGCGAAAACTGCTTCACCAATAAGTGTGACTAAATTCAGAAATTTGTCAACTGGATCCCACAGACAAAGAAATGGATGCACATACCGGCCATTCCAGCATCCAAGGCAGCGATAGCAGTCCATTTTCCGGTACCTTTCTGACCAGCTTTGTCCAAGATTTTGGTGACTACCGGTTCACCGTCATCATCCTTGAATTTGAGGATGTTGGCTGTAATATCAATGAGGAATGAATCAAGGACGCCCTTATTCCATTTCAAAAAGATATCAGCAATTTCGTCTTCTGAGAGACCTAAACCACGTTTGAGGATGTCATAGGCTTCAGCGATCAGCTGCATGTCTCCGTATTCAATGCCTGATATGATGTAAGTGAATCGTCAGTCATGACGACATGATATCACTTGCCATTGTGAACCATCTTCACGTAGTGACCCGACCCCGTCTCCCCGACCCAGTCGCAGCAAGGCTCACCGTATGCCTGGGCTGCAGTTTTCTGGAATATTTCTTTGATGGCGGGCCAAGCCGCGGGCGAACCACCAGGCATAAGAGACGGACCATATCTGGCACCTTCCTCACCACCTGAAACACCAGAGCCAACGAAGAGGAACCCTTTGGACTCCAGCTCCTTCGTGCGACGGATAGAATCAGGATAGTGAGAATTTCCGCCATCAATGATAATGTCACCGGGCTCAAGATAGGGAATGAGCTGTTGAATGAATGAGTCAACTGCCGCGCCAGCCTTAACCAGTAAAATGATTTTGCGGGGCCTCTTCAGCTTTGCGCACAGTTCCTCGATGGAGTGAGCGCCTTGAATGTTAGTACCTGCGAAGATGTGAGCAGATATGTAGAGATTACAGAATCACGAGGTGGTACCTTTCGCTTCGTTGGCCAAGAAATGATCCACTTTCTCGACAGTACGATTGTAGGCTACGACGGTGAAGCCTTTGTCGTTCATGTTCAGTATTAAGTTCTGGCCCTACAAAAAAGTGTGAGTGAAACTGGACATCTACGCGACGGATAGGGATCCGACCATAACGGCCAGGCCGATGAGTCCAATGTCTCCTCTGATGCATAAAATTAATGGATGACGCAGAATCGTCGAGAGAGAAGGGTACGTACGTAGCCATTTCTGATGTAAGAAGGACGGGTGGTGGTGGTGGAAAGAAAAGTGCTGGCACCCTGGTCACCGTCGAATCGATCAATTGACAGCCGGGTATAACCGGGCCGTTGCTCCGCTTATTCATCCCCCCTCATCGATACCGTGACTGTCGAATTTTGGGGTAAGATTTGCTGCGCTTGTCTATGTACCCATATTCGAATGCTCATCCAGGCTAGCTAGAATTTCACTCGTCCTAAGATTTACTCGAAGCAGGTTCCCCTATAGCACTCGGGGTTAGGCACCTACCTCGGCAGCGCCTGGCAGCGGCAGTGCCTTGGGAATAGTCTGGGAATTTCTCAGTGGGCACAACGTTCATTTCATTTGTAGAAGCGCCGGTGCGCTACGTTTTGTCTCCTATCTTCGCCACTCACCCCGTCCAATATGGCATCCCACGGTGCTGCTGCACGGGCCTCTCTTTCCTTAAGCATGCCCTATTCTGGGATCCCCAATAGCCTTTCCAGCCGTGTCGTCGTTTATCAAGGGTGGGTGTTGAAGAAGCGACGCAAAAAGATGCAAGGTCATTTTCTTCATGGCTGCAAATCCCAAGTACCACTCACTCTGACACAGGGTTTGCTCGCCGCTACTTCACACTGTATCAATCTGGCCTTCTTTCTTATTCCTTCGAGCCCGGTCAACCCACTCGAGACCAGATTTCACTGCATCATGCTGCTATTTCCACAGCTCCAGGACGAAAGGATATTCATTTGGACTCAAATACTGCCACATTCCATATTAAGTGTTTAAACACGGATGACTTCAATCAATGGATGGCTGCGTTTAGGTCAAACTTCTTGACCAACATTCGCAGCGTTGTTTGTTCTAAATTGATCTTTCTCAGGATATTTGTCGTCGCAGGTGCAGAAGTTCGTAAATCAAATAGCATAAGATTAGTTTCGCGGCAACAAGGCAACTTCAAATTGAGCAGATCAGGCGCCATCGCCGACGACATGAGCACGGTAAGTCACAACAGATACGTGCTGCTCGTTCTGACTGCTTCCTGTTAAGACCATACATCAACTTGAGGATGCTTTGGATTCTCTTAAGGCCGACGTCAACCCGAAAAAAAACCATAGTTTCATGAAGCAGAAGGAGAAGAAAGATTCCGCGTCCATGTTTGGATTGTTCAAAAAAGGTGAGTCTACCGCCACCTCAACGCGCAACAGCTGAATAATGTCGTAGCCCAACATTTTGCCTCAGATGTTGGCTCTGACAGCATCCATTCAGAATGTAGTGAAAATATAGACCCTTCGTTGAGCTCTTTCCAGCGCGTCCGTCTGGTTTTGGACACGTTGAAAAGTCAACATACCGCCTTGCTTAGGTCCCTTCAGACGTCCACTCAGACCGAGGCTGTCGCCTCTGCTCATGTGTCACCACCTGCAATCACTGAAGAAGAGGAGCATACTATTGCCCCTCACAGCCCTAGTATCTCATTCAAGCCTTCGAAGCGCGCATCAATTGCCACTACCATTACTGATAGCCTCAGTGAGTGGTTTGACGCCTCAGACGGTTTCAATGAGGGCGCCCAAGAATTTGTATTGGATGTCCACGCTTTCCCAGATGGTACTGAACAACCAAGTCGAACGTTGAGTAACGATAGCAGGAGCAGTTTGGATCAAGGAGAAGACTCCAGTGTTGATACTGACATAGCACAGGAACTAGGCTCTACCAGATTACCCAGCGAAGAGTTTACTCAACCCGATGCATCCACCTATGCTCTCCAGGTTGTTCGACGGACCCATTTGCCGGCCCCTCCCGTTGGTGACGAAGGTAGTCTCTTCTCCATGCTCAAGAAAAATGTTGGGAAGGTAAGGATGTCGCCTGTCTATGGTTTCGAAGACCCACTCCTTTTAGGATCTCTCAACAATAGCTTTTCCTGTAACCTTCAACGAACCTTTAACCCTGCTCCAAAGGGCTGCTGAAGAAGTGGAATATTATGATCTTCTCAATCAGGCTGCTGATACAGTAGATCCAGTGGATCGAATGCGTTATGTTGCGGCATTTGCGGTCGCTGGTTATGCGCATACCAAGCATCGCTCAGGGAGGAAAGGATTGTACGGATCCCGTTCTCTTTTAGGTCTCCTGCTAATCTGAGATAGTAATCCAATGCTCGCCGAAACATATGAAGATGTGCGAATGAAATTTATCTCAGAGAAAGTCTGCCACAACCCGCTAGAGATGGCGTATCATGCCGAAGGGAAGAACTGGGAATTATATGCCACATCTGCCGGCAAAACAAAGTTTTGGGGTGTGTAGATGCTTCTATAGCCGAGGAAGGCCCGTAACCTTACCTTCTTTGACGTAGGTAAAAGTCTAGAGATTATCCCGTTGGGTACAACACATGTCAAGATTGGGAAGGATCACTTTCATTGGTATGTGCATCTGAGTTCTCAGGATGGGTCTCTGACGATACCGTTCAGGAAAAAGCCTTCATCATTCATGAGAAATCTTATGGTCGGAACGAAATACCTAGAGCATTGTGGCAAACTCACCATCGAAAACATGCGCGACTCAAGTCGTTGTGTCCTTGACTTTAAGCAGAGCGGGTATTGGGCGGTATCCAACGTTGTCTCTGGTATCCTATACTCTTCATCAGGCGATGTCGTGTCTCAACTCGAAGGTAAATGGGACGAACAGCTTGCTGAGACAGTGGACTCCTCTCACTTGCGTATACTGTGGAGGGCGACGCCTTGGCCTATAGATACTCATCAGTATTATGGATTTACATCGTATGGCATCACGTTAAACGAAATCACGGACGACATTGTTAATTGCTTGCCCCCAACCGATTCTCGTTACCGACCTGACGTCCGAGCCCTTGAGGAAGGTGATTTGGACCTAGCCGAGCATGAGAAGGCACACGTTGAGGAATTACAACGGGACCGGAGGCGTAGAGGAGAAGAACGGCAGGCGCGATGGTTCAAGCAAGTCGGTGATGAATGGATCTATATTGGTGGTTATTGGGAAGCTAGAGCGAAGGGCTGGAAGGACACAGGAATCCAACCTCTCTGGTGATGTGCTACGTATTCTCTTGGTACGGCCACATCAATGATACCCATGACATACGATACTCCTAATACTGATCATCGTCAGGCATAGAGTACATTCTGAGTTGTTGAATAACAACATAACGTCTTACTTAAGAATTCGCAGGGGCTACTTCCACTGAGTGCCCCTCGTACTTTAGCAATCATAGGAAGCGGCGCTCGCAATAGTTCACTGGGACCTAATGATGTGCATGGTTAATTGAATGATGGCCAACGGCGCATAGATACTCCGATCGCGGAGGAAACGATGGCGTGCTAGCGATGGGTAGGTATTTCGTTCGTCGGTAATGTAGAATTATTATTCAGGTACCGGTTATCAATAGGATGGGGAAGTGGTACTGCAGATTTCCCCTATCTCATAGCGGTGAGTGTGCTCACCTCCTACCTCCCTGTCTGGCACTCATGCGGTAGGCAATTCATACGCAGCAAAAGCTTCTGCCGATGGAACGATGGTATCCTCCTCAACCAGCGACACTGATCTCAACGCGGCAGCTGATGCTGCAGCTGGAAAGGACGTCGCAATTGTATTCATAACTGGTGAATCACTGACATCAAGGGTGAACACTTGAACGCTGAGATCCTTTAATAAAAAAGCTGATTCTGGAGAGGGATACATCACAGTGGAAGGTCAGCGACGGGCTTATTGGTGCAATTTCAGCGTATTGACTTATCCTAAAGGGAATTTTGGGGATCGAAATGATCTTCTTGCTTGGCATAGCGGAGTGAGTGATTGTCTTTATCGTGATATCCCATCTTTTACACTTGGAAAATAATCACAGGATGCGTTGGTGCAAAAGGTAGCGAGCATCAACCCCAACACTATGGTGGCAGTAAACAGCGTTGGTCCTATCACAATGGAAAATTGGATCGAGAACGAGAATGGTACGCAGTTCTGCATTATCGCGATAGCACACCAATCGATTTACAACCATGTGTTCTGTAGTGACCACAGTTGTAAGCTCTACTCCCTTTCATTCCTACCAGGACTAAAAACGCAAAGCTATGGAGTGGACTTCCTGAGCAAGGGGCTGGTAATGTTGTAACTGATGTTATTTACAGTGTCTATAACCCAAGGTTTGTTCTAATCCTCTGTTCAACCGAATTATACAGTGATATTTTTTTGCCTTTAGTGGTCGTCTTTCGTTTACGATTGCCCGAAGCATCAGCGACTACTCAGCGGCGGTTATCTACAGTTCCAACTCCTCGATCCTTGATATCCCGTACAATGAAGGGTTGTTTGTTCATTATTGTCATTTCGATGTGCAAGGAACCAAGCCTCGGTTTGAGTTCGGTTTTGGGCTGTCGTACACCACCTTTGAATACTCTGATCTATCTATCTCTGGATCCACTGCGGGCGATATCTCTAGTGGGCCCGGATCCTCTATTGACTCTTCGTGAGTATTATCTACTCCTTGGCTTTCGGCCTGCTTCGAAGGTGTAAAGGCTACATATATCCGTGGTGCAGATTGGATTCACTCTCAAGAATGTTGGAAGTGTCGCGGGACATGAGGCATGAGTTCAGGCAAATAGTCAAGACCGCTCCGCTCAACATCGTTTCAGATCCCCCAATTGTACATTTCGCTGCCTTCCTCTGCAAATTCGCCACCGCAGGGTTTGAAAGGCTTCGATAGTGTTTACCTTGAAGCAGGAGAAAGCACGACAGTTACGATGGAGCTTTCGAGGTACTCATTTGTTGCGGGACGACACAAGTACCTGATGTCAACCTTATATAAGCATAGACAGTTTTGTCCTGAGTCGACGGTCAATTGCCTTTAAGCAATTGA